CTATTGTGCCGGCTTCGTTGTCTATGGTTGATGCTCAATAAGTGTGCCGGGGTTGATACCATATTTCTTTACTCTATAATAATTCTGACAGATGACGATTATATTGAATGGATTCAAATATACTCCCAGCGACATCTTTCGGCCCACCCAGCATTTAAAGTTTTGATTTGAAGGGCTCTAGCAAAAAATAAAGTTGCATAGAGCAAAAAATTTTACGCAGTTTAGAAGTTGATTTATTAACCATCTATTTCGTGTGTTTTTTAAATATATTATTATCGGTCAACCTGACATATATATTTTTGTAACAGACCGATAAAACTTAAGTGGACCGATAGATGGGTCCGAGAGTATATATGTAAGTATTGTTTGAGAATTATATACTTATTTATTAATTGGTTTAAATTTATCTTTACTGGCCATATATTTGGCTTCACATTATTGTATTTAGTTAGAGGTTTGCATCTGAAAAAGATTGCATGTGGTTTATGCCACGCATTAGAAATGATATGGAAACCTAGTCTCTAACAATGGCTGCTAAAACAAACTAAATTTCTATATTAACGCGACACACGCACAGAAAAAACTAAATAATTTGACAAATCAAATATCTGCAAATGAATTCGGCTATCCATTTATTGGGTAAGATAATGTTAAATGGAAGTCCCAACCAATCGCATGATCAGCGTGTTGATCGCATTTTTTTCGCCCCGCCCACTTGATCGCAATTCGCGTGTAACCACTTTTTAGCTCAGTTCGTATACCATATCATTGCTAATTCGATGGGTTTATGTTATGGAAAAACAATAAATCTGCATAACCGTTGTATTACAACCCTTTTTCCGATTGAGCTTTACAGATCAGTTAAAAAAGATAATCAGATTGTACAATTTAACCACAGATCAAGTTAACACACGCTGTCATTTCTCGTTATAGATTGTGAATCTTATGCGAAGTAAGATAAAGTTTCAAGTCAGTTGGGAAACTTAAATGTTTTCAATAACTTGATCTGAGGATTTCTCTAAATACTTTGACGAACATTTCAAATTATTGTCCTGCTCTAGTATTATTAAAGGAGAATATTTACCTCCTCAATACCAAAGAAAATGGGTGGTAATCTAGCTTTAAAATCATTCATTTCCTTCCACTAAAACTGTCACTTTTGCACAAGTGTTTAGTCAATAATGAAAAATCACGCGTGTTCACGTGATGTTTCATTAATTCCCTGCTTACTCATAACTTATGATTATGATAGATCGTTTAAGTGGTAATTCTAAATTTTTTATATGGCAATCCGCCCGTTTTGATAACCAGGTGCTTTATGGACTTGTATCCTGGCTATGTCATTTTCTAATAAAAAAAAAAAAAGATAACCAGGTATTTTAGGTATATTTGCTTCATCCCTGTTTATAAACCACTGTATTAGTGGTACCAGGAGTTAGTATTGGATGTTAGCGAACCATTTTAGAGTACCACAATTGCTTTATTTTCCTTGGTTAACATAGGAACTAGCGTATACATTAGCAAAAACAATTATTTATTTTTATTTAGAACAACACTTTTAATGAAGTTCCAAAAACGCTCATTAGATACTTTTGAAGTCTGCATTGGTACAATTTTTATGTTACGAAATTATTATTAAGAAGACAGCAATATAATTATCATGGTTGATATGGGAACGTGTCTACTTCATTGTTTAAACATTGACGTATAAAAACAAGTTGACTCACAATCGCGCTAAAAAGTATCGGGGGCAAAATTACGCACTTTCGTTAATGAGGGTGTTTGTGAAAATTTACGTCGCCAGTTGGCTCCACTGTGACGCGAGGTCTTTTGTATGAAGTTTTTGCCGCAAACTCCATAGACCAGATCCATAGACTATGAAACATATGCGATTTGACGGATGACCTTTCGTCTCAGTACAGCCACCTGGTGCCCGTCATTTCAGAAAACCCTCATTGTGCGTATTTTTGCTCCCAATCGCAATTCCCGCTCATATACAATTGAACCTTACTGACCCGACATAGCGTATTAATTCGAGAGATTCTATTTTTTTTAAATGTGCATGCTGTTGGTCGCAGATGACCTTTACAGCGTCACCGGGTTTGGGGACGGCGAGATCCTAAGGGGACCTCAAGCCGTAAATTGGCGACTGGCGAGGTATTCCAGGCGGATGGCATCTCCCCACGGGGGGAGTCCCCTCTCCATCTGGAGCCTCTAGACTACGAGCACCTGAGGGGGTCGGCTCAACTAGAGGGCGTCTCTGAGACGAGGACCTCGGCTCTAATTAGCCGTTATCGTGGGGGGCATGCCAGATCCGTTAATGTTATCTATATATATATATATATATATAAAACTCAAAGGTGACTGACTGACATAGTGATCTATCAACGCACAGCCCAAACCACTGGACGGATCGGGCTGAAATTTGGCATGTAGGTAGATGTTATGACGTAGGCATCCGCTAAGACAGGCTTTTTAATCAATTCTACCCCGAAGCGATGCGAGGACGGGCCACTAGTTATATATAATGTGATGAGCGCCGTTCGGAAGATTTATTGATGCACTTTTGTTCAGCGATTGGGAGTCTACTGGTTTTTGTACGTCAACGATCTTATACTAGCTCAGCATCTTTGCTAACGAAACAGGTTTGTAGTGCATCGATTAGATACTTTCAGACGTAGGTTAGGAACAAGTCGAGTGGTTTATTTAATTGTTAACATTTAAACATTAGCGGTTGACATCGGTAAGACTATCTGAGCTTGGAGTGCCGCTGGTGCCACAGCGCGTATCGTGCCGCGGCGGCATCGATCATCTGGTTCATGTGCCGCGTGAGAGTGGTCGCTAGCGGAGTTAGATCGCGAAGCATTTTCTCCTAAGATTGCCAAATAAATAGTTGTAACAACGGTCCCCGTTCACATAGAAACAGGTTTGGTTTTCACACATAAATTTTGCCGGCAATCTGTATAATTCGAGTGTTCTTTAAATAGCTGAGAAGCTCGATGGCGCGGGTGGTTAGCGCGTTCGGCTGCGATCGTTGAATTTAAGCAACTTTCGCAGTGGTCGATCATTGGATGGGTGACCAAAAATTTTTGTGCTTCGGAAGGCACGTTAAGCCGTTAGTCCTGGCTGCATCTGCAGTCGTTAGCACCCACCAGTCCGCACTGGGCCCGCGTGGTGGGTCATGACCCAATCTCCTCATTCCATCCATAAGGAAGGCCTATGCCCCAGCAATGGGGACATTAGTAGGCTGATAATGATGATGATACAATACCTAGGCAATGTATAGAATGCCTGGGGCGACTAGGCAATGTATGAAAATATTGTTTACCGTTTTTTGATTTGCTTAGGATTACCTAGGCAAAGGATTGTAGAGATCACCCGCTGGACCACTAGCAATGGGTAAAATAAACAGATTTTGAAACACTAATTAAACCTAACCTTGAGAAGCTCGAAGGCGTGGGTGTTTAGCGCGTTTGACAGCGATCGTTGAAGTTAAGTAACTTTCGCAGTGGCCGGTCATTGGATGGGTGACCAAAAATCTTCTATCTCAAGTTGGTTTTCACTGGGCCCGCTTGGTGGGTCATGGCCCAATCTACCTTTTCCATCCATAGGGAAGGCCTATGCCCCAGCAGTGGGGACATTAATAGGCAGATGATGATGAAACCTAACATAGCCTACCCAAATAGATAAACATTATATCAATTTAATTTACCTACAGACATTTATAATAAATTTTATAATTAAAATTCATTAAGTATTCATTAATTATTAGCACCAGGGGGCCATTCGCCGAACGGAAATGCTTTGTAAAACGCTAACGCTTTCGTTTTCATTTTGTTATTTCTGACCGCGAGGCATTTGAAAACCTCAGGCGGCTAGAAATAACAAAATGAAATCGTAAGCGTAAGCGTTTTCCAAAGCATTTCCGTTAGGCGAATGGCCCCCTGTCCAGATAATAGATAAATAAAATAAAGAAAAGTCGTCTCACTATTTTCTTTTACACAAATTGCTGGCTGCGCATTCGGTATTCTATAAAATACCTAGGCAAAGTATAAAATGAATAATATTTCATACATTGCTTTGATGTTTAAGGCATTCTATACATTCCTTAAGTCTTGTATAGAATCTCTTATCTATTAGACAAGTCCGTCCGTCCGTCCGTGGTGCTGTTTCAGCGGCCAAACCGTAAGGGATAGATATAGAGAATGTTTAAGTTATAAAAGTTATAAGTTAAGAATAGTCTGATAAGACTACAAATCGGATCTGAGTAACGTAGCACTTCCGGTTTTCGAGAAATCACGCGATTTCTATTTCGAACGAAACCACACAAAATCTCCGAAGTTCTCATTTTTTTGGTGAACAGTTGGTTCACTGGTTTGCTAGTACTACATAATACAGATTGCCGGTAACATACACATCTTAAACGTATAGGGACTAATTAAGCTAGGGTTTGAAAATATTTGTTAATTATAATAAATAAAAAATATCCGATGTTTATGACACACATATTTGTTTAAAAATATTTTTTATTTGACCAATTGGCAACGGATGTGTGATGAATACGAGCATTTGTACATAAATCATGAATTTTTATATATTTCTAAATAAAAATAAACTTATATATGTATCATTAATAATGATAGATATATATATAAGTATATTTTTATGTATATGAGTATATATTATATGTATTCTATCCGTCACCCTAGTATCTTTAACACCAGGCTTACAGTGCTTACTTTGGGGCTAGGATAATTAGTATGTGTACATATACAGGGTGTTACAAAAATACAAATAAATCTTGAAGGGCGTCGAAGTACATCATATAAGGAATCTTCTCTAATTTTTTTTATTACAGCAGATTTATTGCTACTCCTGATAAGGTGCATGACCTCGAACTAGTGACGGGTCTTAAAATGATCGATATTATTATTAATCATTAAAAATAACTGTTATAATAAAAAGTTCAAACTTCTTGCAGATATTTTAAGAAAATTAGAGAAGACTCCTTATATGATGTACTTCAACGCCCTTCAAGCTTTATTTGTAATTTTGTAACAACCTGTATATATAGATAGTATATTTGTTTCGATATTTACCTCAAACGGCCTGAGTTTAAGGTTTCGGAACCTCAGCAGCGCATCGTAGAAGCCATGAGCTCTAGCTATGGCAGCCGCATCCGTAGCCCCGGGTGCCGGGAAGCTGCGCCACAGCTCACGAATCAACTCCCCCCCGGACAGATATATACGATGGAGCTCACTCTTTACGTCCGCCGGGATCAATTCTGCACGAATACATTTAAGGATTTATTTATCTCACTAATATTATAAAGGCGAAAGTTTGTGAATGTGTATGTTTGTTACTTCTTCACGTCTAAACGGCTGGAGCGATTTTAATAAAATTTGGTATGGAGTTAGCTGACACCCTAGATTAACACATAGGCTACTTTTATCCCGAAAAAATGTTAGGTTCCAGAGGGATTTTCAAGAAACTAAGTTAACGCAGACGAAATCGCGGGCGGCCTCTAATTTATTATAAATTGATTCATTGATGAAATGCGAAGATTGAACCGAGCTCAGATAGGCGGTAGCTTAAGATGGTACCCGGCTTAGATGAACTGTTTGTGAATTGCGGTAATGAAATACGTTCGCCTTGTACAACGATTTATTGAAGAAGGAAGGATGACACTATACCAAAACCTATTATAAATAGACCTTCATCATCTTCAATAAAATATTAGCACTATAGACAAAACATATTCTTAAGACTTAGTATTAAGGTTGAAAGTAATTAATAACACCTATGAGACATACATCATGGCGATTGCTTAAGATTGAACCCAGCCCAAATAGGCAGTTGCTTGAGATTGAACCCAGCTCAGATAAGCGGTTGCTTAAGATTGAACCCAGCTCAGACTGTAAACTTGCTTAACTTCCAGAATCACAAACCGACCAATAGGCTTCCTAGTCGCAACAAGTCAGAGTCTTATACTTACTGTTGTGTAGCTTATAACTCATTGCGTTTACGATATAGAAACCTGTGACATACAAACAGATAGACAGTGTGACAGCAATAAGGTTCCGTTTTTGCCCTTTGGGTACGGAATCTTAAAAAGTATATAAATTGTGCCAGTTATTCGTGTGTGAACATAATGCGCGTATGTTTTATTCTTGAAAATACTGCTAATAATGAAGGTGTATATGAAAACTTAGGGCACCAGTTGGTGTCATTGTGGCATGAAGTCTATTGTATGCAGACCCCTCTTTCCCAGTGGGCACTTTGGGCAAGCGCCCAGGGCCCCGCGATCGATAGGGCCCCCCTTCAGAGAAATACAAAGTCCCTAGTTTCTGTTAAATCACCAAACGGGGGTCATAGGGTCATCATCCTAATATGCCCAGGGCCTCCAATAGGTCAAAGCCGGCACTGATTGTTTGATGTGTTTTGGCACGAATTAATCGATTCATAAGTTGAGTATATTTGATCATTATGTAAGCAAAGGTACGCATGCCTCGGCCCGGATGGGCCGGGAACATCGCTGCCCGCCACTCCATCGATACCCGGGCGGGCCGACGACATAGTCGGTGGTGTAGGTATACTCACGGGACATGCTGGCAGCATGGTGATGCCTCATGAGCCCCCCCCCGGGACTCAGCTCCCCCAGTGCGGCCACGCATGCCGATACCTGATACCCGGGCGGGCCGACGACATAGTCGGTGGTGTAGGTATACTCACGGGACATGCTGGCAGCATGGTGATGCCTCATGAGCCCCCCCCCGGGACTCAGCTCCCCCAGTGCGGCCACGCATGCCGACGCCGATACCCGGGCGGGCCGGGAACATTGCTGCCCGCTACTCCACGCCTGTGTAGAGTATATTTATTTTATTCCTCTACTGGGAATAGCTACCGACTGCACGTTTACAATATGTAAAATAGTATTACTGTTAATTTTGATGACAAACATGCAGTCAAATACGCGATCCACAGGTTACATAATAAGTATTAGCGATTTATAATGAGACTAGCTGACCCAGCGAACTTCGTACCGCCCTAAAAAAATAGGGGTTGTCCAGCGGACAAAATTGTGAATCTAAACCATTCTCAGATCCCCTTGAACACACACAAAAAATTTCATCAAAATCGGTCCAGTCGTTTAAGAGAAGTTCAGTGACATACACACTCACAGAAGAATTATATATATAAAGATGCAAAACAAAGACAGATTAACTAGGTACCCTATAATAATCTTAAAATGTCATTGGGTCCTATTCTATGGTCATATACTGTAAAAGTAAATGGTGGTGAAAAATCTGATTTTAACAAGCAGTCTCACCTATAATAAAATTTAAAACAGTTCACTAATTAAAACTCAAAATTCACCCAAGAAGAAAAGAAAAGTTTTTTTTATTATTTATTTATTTGAATTTTTTTATTTATTTATTTAATCTTTTTTGCCTTTACATTGTTAATGGCGGACTTAATGTCAATATGGCATTCTCTACCAGTCAACCGGAAAGAACAATACACAAAGAACATAATTATACTAGCGGCCCGTCCTGTCTTCACTCGGGTGTATTACATACTATGAAAACATAATGAATCAGCATCCGAAAAGAAAACATTAATAAATTGTCTAAGTTTCTTATGTAATTCTTTTCCATTGCCTTTTGATTGCGTTAAAGTCTCGCCACGACATACAGACGTACTTTTTGACCCTTTGACGAATCACAACAGACTGACAGACTTTTTGACTATTTCACTGATCACAACAGACTGACAGACTTTTTGACTTTTGACAAATCACAACAGATTAATAGACTTTTTGACAGATCACAACTGACTGACATACTTTTTGATTCTTTAATGGATCACAACTGACTGATAGAGTTTTGACTCTTTGCCAAATTACAACTGACTAACAGACATTCAATTCAATTCAATTTTTTGGTGATTATGACTGCGTCTCATTACGTGACGATTCCGCCAATGGCTGGGTTAAAGGAGACAAGGTATATGCTGAGTGACACCTCTTTACTGATTACTCTTTGGCGAATCACAACTGACTGACAGTCAATCAATCAATATGTCCATTTCCCTATTTACATAACAGAAGAAGTTTATAGAAGGAAATAAAGACTCGTTCCGGCTACGCACGGGAGTATTGTCGAATCGAATCAGCATCCGGAAATAATAGGTATATACGTAGGTACGATCTGGTAAAAATGAAATCGGACAAGTGGTTGAAGACCCCTAGATATCCCGTGACCTTGGAAATAACAGAACAAAAGTTTTAAACATTGAAGATTTCGTTTTGAAAATCAGTTAAGTGGTTTAAGAAACAGGATTTGACACTCGTAGTCGCATTCCCGTAGAATAGGCTAGTTGCCTATATTTTAAAGTGGTTAATAATATACCTTGATGTTTATTTAACCCCAAAAAATATTATTTTAAATAAAAAAGTACATTAGCAATATGTATTTTGTATTTTAAAAAACTTATTTAAATTTCCCTCGAAAACGCTCTAGACTGTCATGGCGTCTAGAATGACGTCACGCCGTGCAAAGCAAACAATACGCTGTACGCCGACTATTAAAATTATTTAGTTAAAAATGAATCCATCGTATTACAAGTACTGTATAGTGTCCTAGTATAAAAGGAGAAGCATAAAACGCCAGACTAATTATTTATATGCCACAAATGCGGAAAAAATGGTTAGAACTTGCAAGGAGGGATGGTACCTATTCATTGTTTATCAACAAATACAAGAATAATTTTGTGATGAACATTTTGATGTAAGTATTTTGCATAACATAATCAATGAAATCAAAATGTTATACAAGCCGGATAAATTATATTGCATTATATTGATAAAACAATGACAATAGGTTGAGGTTAGGTAAGCTGATTTAATTTTATGGTATGATTTCATTCTATTCTATTTGAGAGTTCAGTATATTTATTCATAATAATAATTATTATTCTTGTTCTAGTTGCCTGTTGTAAATGATATGCTTAATTATGTCGAGTAACTACTGGGATTGGGATTAATTGGGATTTACCGTAGCAAATAATAATATTTTAACCAAAATAAAAAAATAATTGCATAGTTATGCAATTATTTTTTTACGGTACATACTACGGTAAATCCCAATTCCATGGATTTATCCTTCAATACTTATCTGAAAACAAACTGATAATTGTATCAAAGCAACAATAACATGAATGAGATATCAATGAAATGTATGGAAACGGCAACCACAAGTAATGTTTTGCAGGTGGTGACGTCAGTCTTTCTGATTGGTGTTTGCCGTCACGTGATCTAATGCCTATTTTATTCAAATTTATTTTCTAAAAATAATAATAATCTTTAATTATTATGATAAATAGCTTTATTTTTTGTTATCTGTATATCATAATTCATATTTAGAAACTGTAACCCATTCGATTTATTGTTAGTTGACACAAGCCTATTGTTGGGAAAAATGTTGTTTTATTGTAATCATTTACAATAAAACTTTCTATTAGTGAAAGGATTTTTAAAATGGGTCCAGATGAGTCAGTCAATATCCTTTTCTCTCTTTATATACTCGTCATAGTATAGAGTATAGATAGTAAATAATACATATAGAAGCCAATGAAATATCCGAACGCTCAATAAAATTCTTTCCAAGGTAGCTCGACAAAGTAAATAACAAATCATTACTCTGATGATGCATCATGGTGGTATATTCAAAAATCCTTTCTTGCGTGATGCCTACGTCATTTAAACAACCTATTTACTAAAGATCATGTCTCTGCTACCAAAAGTGTAGGCCTGCGTTGACGCACTATTTGAAACTTCAACCTGCTATATCTTTGTTTTATGAGGGTAGTTTTGAAAAATGAAAACAAAGAGCATTTTTATACAGTGTACAAAATTTTAATAAATCCTGGGTGATGTAACAGACTTAGTGTATATCTATTAAATAATGTTTATGCAAAATTTGTAGTCAATAGGTCCAAGGGAAAAGATTTTACGAACAAGGCTGAATTTCATAAAATCCCATCTTATTACTTATCTCTAGGCAATAATAGGAACCTACTGTTCAAATTTCATCATTCCAGGTTCAGCCGTTTTGGCTGTGCGTTGATGGGTCAGTCAGTGTGTCAGTGTCTATTTCTTTCTTTTGATCCAAAGTTCTAAGTGTTAAATGTTTAATGTATAGCGCGTTTAAATTGCACATCTGAAAGAAATGTCATCACATTACCAACGAATAGGGTACTTGACAGTGTTAAAAATAAAGTGCCAATTGTTAGCATCTGTGTTTAGAATGAATATTGGCAGGGGTTTTACTATTTTTACAAAAAAATATTTATAATTTTACTAGAAACTAACGAACTAACGAAAAAGATAATAGCTTTCTTATCTATTGTCACGTGACCCAAAACGCTTGTGATTGGCAGAGCCTAAAATGACGTCACTCGCAAGTAAACTTCCGGTTAAAGTGATATTACATTGTATCGTTTGACGTTTTAATAACAGTCGAGTGACGTCACACACTAGTAAGACGCCATATTGTCCAGAGAAACGGCGGCAAATTGAAAATGGAGTTTTTGATTTGGTTATTTTTACTGAAATACACAACAGATGAATATCCACTTTTTACGGACTCCATAAACATTAGTCAATAACGTGAGATCGTTTTCTAAAACTTGTCAAATACCCTATTACCGGATAAAAGTATCTTACATCTCAATCTAGCCCATAAATTTATTAGCGTACCAAATTACATCCAAATCCATTCAGTAGTTTTTGCGTGAAAGCATAACGAACAAACTCACTTTCACATTTATAATTAGTGATGCGCCGATACCGATACGATGATCGTATATTTTTTAAAATTTCGAGTGAAACAAAACGCATAATGCGTCAATTTCTGAGCGCACCTGTCCTTTTTGTTTGAAATTGACAGTTATGACGCAGAAAATTGTTCAAATAAAATGAAACAATTCAAAATAGATAACTAAATTATAAAATATAATTAGTTAAATAAAAATACGTTTCTTTATTTTTATTTTACTAAGAAATAATAATATATTAACAGACAAAGTGATACAAACAAAGCTTCGAATAAATTCAATAAAATGCAAACCAAAATCGTAATGTATCTGTATCGTAATTCGTCGTTATCGTATTGAGCCTATACGATGTATTCACCATTCGTATTGGTATCGTATAAACCGTATCGTTGCATCCCTATTTATAATATTAGTAAAAAGGACATTGTTCTGCGTCCATACATTGTTAGCCTAAGAACCAACAATCATGAAATATTATTTTCTAGGTTCGAAATCGCAAGAAAATGACAGTAAAAACAAAGATTATTGACGGACATTTCTGAGAACTTAAATTATTAGGAAAATTAATATTTTTTTGACGGTATGTTTAATATTCAATGAAACGTAGGTCAATCTATGAACTTAGTATGAACTCAGTATGAAGTGAATTAAAATTACAACTAATTAATTTTATTCGGTGCGATTTTAAAGAATAACTATTAGTAAAAACTTGCTTAGGTAGGAATCATTAATAAAATAAAAACTGTAGTTTTGCTTCTTATTTATTGACTATTTTTCACATAATTGTATCATATTGTATATTGTATTTATTTGTATATCACATGTATATTATGTAAATATGCAGCGTGAATGTGTATCATATATTCTTGAATAATTTGGCAGTATGATCCTCTCAGGATGTTGTGGCACAGGTTCACTAGCACTTGGTAATAAAGGCTCTGCTCTTTAGTAACATCGATGGCGATCATATTAGATAGCCGAAATAGTAAAATTAAAGGAAAAACAATCGCAAATAAACACACAACAGGTAATCCGAAACGAGAATGCACTTTCCGGTATATTATACTACTCTTTGGAATGCACGAATGCCACAGATTACTACGAATGCAAACTGCCTGCACCACAACCACAGAGTATCGAGTTTTATGCCGGCCCTTCACTTAACAACTGTTTGTCCTTGTTTTGCTTAATAAGGAATGAAAAGGACAGACTGATGTCATGTTTTAAAATAGCAAATACGAATAGCCAAGTGAAGTGCCGGCATTAGGAAGAAAGAGTGTTTTGTTTGCAGCGCTGTCATAGATTATACGCATAAAATGGTATTTATTGTCTCAGATTATTTTTTACTTTTTAATTTAGCTTACTTAACTGGAAGTGTCCGTCACAATCTAAATACTGATAATTATCGTAAAAAATATACTAAGAATTATCATAAATGCCAAATTGCTGTTGGTTCTTAGGCCAATTTTAACATTGTCCTTTGTATTATTCTTGAAAAAATATCTTGACTGCATTTAAAATAGAGTTAATATAATCAGAATATTCATTACTAATATAATTATTAGTGTAATTTACCTGACATATCGACGCTAGCGCAGATAGCGGAGGGGAGTTAGTGTTGGGGCCGGTCTGGTTGACCTGCGACGACGGACCCAGGAGATATCTCTCTACCTGAGGACAAACACAATAGGGGTGATGACGGGGTACAGTAAACGAAATTCTATTTAGTCCGTCCGTAGATGATCAAAAAATAATGGACACGTATTTTTTCTTTGGGCAATCAACCAAAAAATGACTAAGTTATAGCGTGTCAAAGTTTGGGAGTAGGGGCTCGTGACGTCACTTTTAAGTGAAAATTGTACCAAAACGTGACGTCATGCGCTTTTCAAATCAATATATCTCTGCAATGTTTATATTATGTGAAAAAAGAAAAAATACGTGTCCAATACTTTTTGATAATCTACCTGATAAACGAAGAGAAAAAAAGTCATCATCCCTATTATTAACTATTATATTTTGTATAGAACTAGTATACAACTATTAGTAAAACTAGCAGACAACTAGTGAACAAGGGTTCTTTTATTAAATTAAAATAGAAATAAATAAAATAATTAAAGAAAATATAACTAGAAAAAATTCCACGTGGTCCGCGTGGAATTTTTTCTAGTTATATTTTCTTTAGATTTAAACATCAAGCAGTTACATGCTTTAATAACAATAAAAATTATAAATAAAATAATTTATTATTTATTAGTTTAGCATGACCACTGATGACTTGTCGCTGCAGACGAAAGACGAAGATGATGAAAAGAAGATGTAGACTTTTCAACGGTCCGCGCGTGACTGTGAACCAAGAAGTGCTTGAGTGGAGTTCAAGCCCATCTTAATTATTTACGTATTTAATAATATCTTTGTTTTAAGGACTACATACATACTACCCGCATCATTAACGATGAAGAGGTGACCAACAAACTCGAGTCTCTACAATGAGGGCTACCGTTTTCTGCCTCACCAGATGGCGCCACTGTTGAGTGAGGTCCTAAATTGTAACTTTTAAAGTTTATTAATACGCACATGAAATCAAAGGTTACATTTAGATCGTATTTTAACACAAAAGAACCATATCCTAAACATAATAGGCCATGCCACAGTGACGCGCAGTTCCGTTTTATTCGGAAAAAATGGGAACATAATCATTTTTCTAAGCTCAAATTTTTAATAACTGACATTCATTGCCACATATTTGCCATAATTAAGCCGAATTGTTACCAATTATTCACAACATTATTTTAATAAGAAATAAACCCGCGTAGTCAACCAACAAGCAATAACATTTGACATTTCGGAGACCTCACGTTACACTAGCGCCTCTAGGGCGGATTCATACGCGACAGCCCTCATTACGCTGCGATCTGGCATCATTAAGCGCATTCTACCGACTGTTCCACGGCGAGTGTTCTGAGGAGTTATTCTCCCTTATCCCTCCATCACCTTTTCTTCAGAGCACGCGCGCTGGCCTACGTTGCCACCGACTTACTGTGGCCACTATTCCTACACAAACAAAGAAATTTGTGGACTCATTTCTTTGTCGTACTATTCGTAAGTGTAATTCTTTGCCCGCACACGTCCCTCCTTCCTACAATCTCGGGTCCTTTAAGAAGAAGGCGTGAAGAAGCATTTTTGGCAAGGTGAGGATGGTTGGTGTGGCAGTTTACAACTGCTCTACCAGCTATTTTCGCGTTTGGACTCTATCACCACTTAACTTGGTGGGATAGAGTAATTTACCTACCTGGCTTTATATAAAAAAAGTTATCAGATCTCAGGTAGAGTCAAGCTTCACTCCACACACCCTAACTCTACAAGGCCTAACTTCAGAAACTCAGACTTTGGTCAAAATTTGGCTTGGCAGTTTCTTTACTACAAGAACTGTTGTATCACAAGAAATTAATGAACAGTTAAAAAAGATCACCTTACCCCTATGTGAGTGCAGCGAAATGGCACTACCGTGCCCCGAGATGGAGATGGATATGTTTATGAAACGAATTCCTATTTATCATTTTATTTATAAATATATTATCAGCGTTTAATCAATTTATTTATTCTGCTTTTGAATTTCTTACTCGAATTAGTTTGCGAATTCTTAGAAATTACTAGGTTGCCATTGATGTAAATTCCGGCATGAATCTCTTAACTTTTTCTTAACAAAGTTTGGTGACTCATTTCTTTGTCGTATTCGTAAGTGGAATTCTTTACCCGCGCACGTGTTTCGCGCCCGTCCTTCCTACAATCTGGGGTCCTTTAAGAGAAGAGAGGCGTGAAGAAGCATTTTTGTAGGCCGGCAAAGTAAGGATGGTTGGTGTGGCAGTCTTTAACTGTTGTACCAAATATCTTCGCGTTTGGACTTTCATCATCAACCTATTAATGTCCCCACAGCTGGGGCACAGGCCTTCCCTATGGATGGAATAGGGAGATCGGGTCATGACCCACCACGCGAGTCCAGTGCGGATGGTGGGTGCTAACGACTGCAGATGCAGCCGGCGCCGACGGCTTAACTTGCCTTCCGAAGCACAGAGGAGCTCGAGATAGTAAATTTTTGGTCACCCATCCAATGACCGACCACTATGAAAGTTGCTTAGCTTCAACGATCGCAGCCGAACGCGCTAACCACTTGCGCCATCGAGCTCCTCAACTGGACTTTATCACTACCTAATCAGATGGGGTAGAATCATTTGCCTACCTGGCTATATAAAAAAATACATTATCATACTGTGTATAAAAAAGTACTCACTTTAGATAATTTGAGTTCTTGCGTCTCCGGGTCCTCGGTGGGAGCTTCTAAGTCTTCGTAGTGTAATTTCTCTAATATCCTTCGCTTTTTATCCGGTGGGCCTTCTACGGGTTCTTCTGATGGCCTCTTCTCTACGCCGTTCGTCTCTTTCACTCCATTCTCTATGACTTTGTTATTGTTTGTGGTTTTATTGCTACTATTACTATTACTACTAGAATTTGTTTTATGACTAGCTTTGAGCACCTGAAAATGATTAGAGTTTATAAATAAGTGCATGATGAAACGCCTTACAAAATATTAAAAATAAAGTGCCAATTGTTAGCATGTGCGTTTAGATAATCTACCTGATAAACGAAGAAAAAAAAATTAGTCATCATCCTTATTGGCTATCTGTACATTAAGCATAGAAACAATAATAGTGGTAGCATAGTGGTTAGTGCGTTCGCCCGGATAGCAAAGGATGCCGGTTCGAGTGCCGTCTGCTAGGTAGCAATCTGCGTGGATTTTTTTTAGTAAAATTTTCTTTAGATTTTATCACCCAACAAGTTAATGCTTAAAAAAAACGGCCAAGTGCGAGTCGAACTCGCGCACCGAGTGTACCGTACAAACCTGTAGGTATATTTTAATAATTATTAAAAAACATTTTTTGAAGTTATACTTCTTTAGGCGCGTTATGAAAAAATGATGAGAGTGAAATTTTAATGCGCGCGCATCACTGTAACACAAAATTTTAACAGCATGAAGTTGGTCGCTTTAGCGACCAACTTCATGCGTTACTTTTGTGTTTACCGCACATTAAGAAAATCTACCAACAAAATAGAAATAGAATCTCTATTTAGTGGGCGCTAACGACTGCATTGTGAAGGCCTATCAAAAGTATTTATTAATCTGGAACAACGGAACCAAAGCGCGATTCAGGAGACTACAGCGCCATCTCTTGACCATTGGTGTAGTAGAACCAAAAACCACATCTTTATTTTTTGTAATAAAGTAACAGTTATAGGTATTCATATTTATAATATTTATCCACATGTTTCTAGTTTGTATATTCGGAATAAGTGTTTGAGTTTCATACAAGTGCAAATCACATATGTTCTAATAAATTATATTCAGTAGCGATTTTAATTGAATATTTTGATTATTTATTTATTTTTTCAAATTAAAACTGAACTTTATTGACTTCGTCCTTTTCCAGACTTTTTATTAATTTATTGTAATTAATTATTTGCATGCAATTAAAAACTAATTACAAATGATGCCAAAGAAGGATAACTTCTCACGCGCCTACATAAGTACACGCATCCATTTTTTATTATATGTTGTAATTAAAAATTTGCGGTTTTCCCAATTTTTCCTTTACCTGTACTATAAGACGTTACTTCGTACCAAATTTCAAGATTATAAGTTCACGGGAGGTACCATGTAGGTTTTGATTCCCGTGCGTGTTTCGAAAATTTGCGGAAATTTACGGCATAAAGGGCTGTATGTTTTGATTGCTTTGGCTTAGAAGTTTGACTTTTTCATAACTTCAAGGGAGAATGTATAGTAGACATGAGTATTAGATATGAATTTCAGTTTGATACCTCCACGCGTTCCTGAGAAAAACGGTCTTGACAGACGGACGGACGGACAACAAAGTGATTCTATATAAGGGTTCCGTTTTTTCCTTTTGAGGTACGGAACCCTAAAAATAGAAAAAATATCTAATATATAAAATTCTCGTGTCGCGGTGTTCGTGGTTAAACTCCTCCGAAACGGCTCGACCGATTTTCGTGAAATTTTATATGCATATTCAGTAGGTCTGAGAATCGGATGTAATCTATTTTTCATCTCCCTAAATGTTAAGGGTAATCCACCCCTAAATTTTTTTTTTCAATTTTAGAGTTTTTATATTTTAATTTTTTTTATGATACATTATACACAAATACATACAACCCTAAATTTTCACCTTTCTTCCACCAACCCCTATTTTTTTATGGCGGTACGAAGTTTGCTGGGTCAGCTAGTATCTCTTATCTGTGGTGCTGTTTCGGCGGCCAAACCGTAAGAGATAGATAAAGAGCATATTTAAGTTATAAGTTAAGAATAGTCTGATAAGACTACAAACCGGATTTGAGTAACGTAGCACTTCCGGTTTTTGAGAAATCAGGTTTTGGTGAACATTTGGTTCACTGGTTTGCTAGTAAATATATAATAGTATCTCACCATGATGGAGTGTTGGTTGAACCGCTTGATCATGTTGCGGTGTATGGAGGAGTCCCCGCGCTCCGGGGGCTCCTCGTCGGCCAGCGGAGCGCCCTCGCTGAACGACGGCAAGTCCACCTGGGAGTAAGGTTACCATTTACCTATTTCAAAAGTCCCGACTTAAATCCTGACAATTCCAAAAAACTCCGGACTTTTTACCACGAAACATTACTCAGTTACATATATAAGATAAGAGCCCTTTTACAAAATTGTGCCGCTGCCGTACTGATCGGCGCGTAGGTAGATTTGCACTAGTATATATTGCATTTTACGGGTGATGTTTCGAGTCTTATAAAATAATTATAAATGAACTGATTATAAAAATATACACATATTTCAGTAGTTCAATGATTGTATAATAGATATATGTATTATAGATTAGTTTTATGAAAGTTCTTCATGGTACAGTAGGGTCTCGCTAATCCGGATAGGGAAAAACAAGACCCCTTCCGAATTATCGAGGCATCCAGATTATAGTATGCAGTTTTAATAGGAATATAACACGTTTTTAACTCGGGTTTCATATATTTTTTTTTTAAGGCTACTTAAGACAAGAGTAAATACGTGTGACGTACAAATGTACTTATAAAAATTCAAACATGTACCAAGAAATTTGCGCACTACACATGAAATAAAAAAGTAACAATTTTTAAAAAAGTCAGTAATATATCCCAACTGCGATCATCTCGTCTGTCCGGATTACAGCGTGCACTGAAGTAACAGGGGTCCGGATTAACGAAACTCTACTGTAGTTCTATTTAATTCAATATCAAAATACGAGGTAAACCTGCATTATTTTTTGGGAAAACTCACGGAGGTTACATGTTTTTTTTTTGATAATCAATGAGATGGAAAATCAAAATTCTAATACATTATGCTACAACAAAAACATATTTCTGATGTCGTAGTAATTAATTTGATCTAATTTATTGATCATTATTGAGAGATTGAGGCGTTTGTAGTTATGCATATTATCGTTTTTTCCGTAAACTAGCTGCAGTAGAACGATCAGTACAAAAAAAGGCAAATAGTGTTTGCAAATATTCTACATTATCTTACAAAAGGAAGAATAAATCAACTGTTTACTTCTATTGGAAATAGTTCAAAATTTTTCCTAAGGGGGTAAACCAGGCGATCAAAAATTACAAATGCAAAAAATGTGAAAAGGCTCATGAACTTCTTAAATTTCAAGGCCCATGAGTCATGGCTCATAAATGTTAGTAACGACTTAAATAACCTATGTTAGTATTTACATTAAAATTGGAATCAATATTCATTTTAATAAATACACTAGACTAGGATTGCTAGATGCTGGCTTATCAATTACGGGACATTTGTATTCCCCGCAAACGATGCATCAGTAACGCGATTTTTAACGCATTATAGCGTAAAAATCGTCATTGCTTGCATCCGCAAACATCCCAGACGACTATACATAACTCTAAGATTTACGGTATTCTACAATGGTATGTTATTTGACTTAATATGTACTTTTATTTGCCATATTCCATCTGATTTAATAAATCCGGTCAATTTAATAGAGCCGGTTAAAGTCCGGGCTACAGGCCAAAAGTTCGGACTAATCCAGACGGATGGTAACCCTACTGCTTCGCTTTGCTGCGTCGCTTGTATATTTCAATGGAAGAGTTCCATATGGGACGACACGATTGATTACTCTCAATTTTTTTTGCCGTTATTAATTTCGAGACAATGGTCACGCCTAGTACTACAGTCGCTACTATATCATAAATTGTTATTGCTACTTTGTATTTTCGTCACAATAAATACCCAAAAAGAATGTAAAGAGATGACTGACGTGCTAAAGACTCCTAAAGAAAAGAAAAATGTCGTGAGATCAATACCGTTCATACCGTGAGATCTAGCGTGGTGTGTCTCATAGCGGAAGCTATCGCATGGTCGTCCATCTTGGCACATTCACCGAACAGATCCTTGCTCGACGACGACGCAATGCGATCCCTAAAACAAAAACCATCAATAGATCAATGTTCCGCAGGTCACGTAAAAATTTGGTTGTGAGAAATTGTCGACCAAAAATATATGATTTTTGTTGATTGAGGATTGTTGGCCAAAAATGTATAATTTTTGTTTATTTAGGATTGTTGGACAATAATGTTTAATTTTTGTTGTTTGAGGATTGTTGGCCAAAACTGTTTAATTTTTGTTGTTAGAGGATTGTTGGCCCAATAAATATATTTTTTTGTTGTTAGAGGATTGTTGGCCAAAAATGTATAATTTTTATCGTCAAAAGATCTTTAACCAGATATATCTCAAGTTTTTCCGTTCTTTAAAAGGCACGTTAAGCTATTGGTCCCAGTTCCTGAGGTCGTTGGCACTCACTAATCCGCACTGGGCCCACATGGCTAATAATAATAATACCTCCCATAGAGAAGACCTGTGCCCCATCAGTGTTGTAATAAGTTTTCCCGATTTACTTAAGAATGTGGTCAGGGTAGACAACGCGCGAATCATACTGTACTAAGTGGTGTTGATTCTAGCATGATTCTACACCTAAACTTAAATTTTACAACAGTGTATCCTTGTCATGCTCTATACAGAATGAAAAGGAGAGACTAATGTTAAATTTCATAAAAAGTTGAGTGACTAAACTAAAAATCTCAATTGGAACACCATTTTTTTCTTTCCCTTTCATTTTTAGTTCATTTATTTAACAAGTGTAACGCATAAAGAAAATTTTACTAGGAAAAGTTTTATGCAATCCAAGCAGCAGGCATGAATCGAATCCTGCCTGGACCGTGTTTACACCAGTTTTTTTTAGAATTAAACATCTAACAGTTATGCCCTTTATGCGTATTATTAAATGTAGCTCAAACTGTTTAAATTACCTATGAAAATAATGAGATTGGAAGAATTTAGTCCAAAATTCAGCCTCCGTCATCTTATTGGGAACATAGTCGCTGTGTTTCTTCCTGACAGCCGGATAAGTTTTAAATATGGCGTCTATTATGTCTTGCGTAAGGTTGTATTTGAGGCCGTTGCAACCGTCAGTTTGTGGCTGGATATCTGCCAGGAATGCCCCTGATACACCTGTTGGGCAAAAAAAGCTCGCAAAATTATTATTCAATCAAAATAATTTTATACTATATCTTGAGAATGTCGATCACGCAAGTGGTGAGCGCGTTCGGCTGCGATCGTTGAGTTAAGCAACTTCCGAAGTGGTCGGTCATTGGATAGGTCACCAAAAAATTTACTTCTCTCGCTCCTCCATGATTCGGAAATCACGTTAAGCCTTCGGTCGCGGCTGCATTTTTTTTAAAGATTCTCGCGTTAGCATCCACGAATTTGCACTAGGCCTGCGTAGTCCATACCGAAATCCTGTGTCTCAGCAACATTAATAGGCTGATGATGATGATGAATTCTATATTGCTTATAAAGAATATAAGTTTTGTCAGCTATTCACTCATACAACATTAAATGTTATATTTTATTAACAAATTAGCATAATTAAATGTTTTGATGCTCTTCAATTTTTTAGGGCACACATGGGACAATTCATTAATAAATTGGATTAAGTTTTATTTAATTCAATAGAAAGATATCACTAAGCTTACTACTTTTAGTATGAATAACCTTATATTGTGATGTCAGTTCTATTTTATACAAAATCGAACAAAGTTATAAGAACGAAAATATTCATATTAATCCACAAACTTAAGAAAATCATTGGGGCTGCATTTTATGGTCATAAAATAACAACCTGCCTTTAATTTATATTCTTCTTTTCTTAATACAGAAAATCATTTATTCAGTAAAACTAGTTTTAACGGATTAATGCACAAACTTTATTTATTTATTGATGTTTCCGCAGCCTTTTCAGATCTGCATTGTCAGAATAATGTTTTTTTTTTGACCTACCTAAGAAATAAATATCATTTATTCAGAATAGAAACACCATATCTGCAAAGATATGAACATCAACTAGATATCTCGTAGAAGCTGGGGGAGGCCTTGTGTAAATGACAAAATTCTAGTAATGTATGTAGTATATTTTTTTTTAAGCATTGTTTAAAACTGATAGCTGAAATAAAGGCTTTTTTATTTATTTATTTTTTTCTTAATTCGGGGCAGAACATAGTAGCCCCTGACTTTCTCTAAGCTTACTACTTTTAATAGGGAACAAAAAAATCATAAATTAAAAACTTGCAAACACAATAATCTTACCAGCTTCCTGTTTTATATTATTAGATTCTGTATAAAGTTTTAATGTAGGAGTATTCCAGTATTCTTCACTATTAATTACTTTTGATATCACTAAGTCTTCATATAAATGCTTTAAATTAGGATGTAAAGACAATAATCTGGAACAAAGAGACAATCATTTTTTTGATGAAATAATTTAAAGTACCCGAGAATTATTTTAAAATATAGTAGGGTCAAGTGGGAAACAGTGTAACAGGGGGTATAGTGTAACAAAAGGAATATCACTATATTATACCTGGCCATTGGACATCTGATGACAGCTGCTTAAGATAACGACGAAACTAATAAACAGACAGACCACAGAAAAATAAGAAGTGTTACACTGTGCCCCTTATGTTACACTGACCCCCACTTCACCCTACACAGGTTTGCTTTCGTGTAAAGAAGTATGTTATGATATTTTTATAAAGAAAATGTCTATTAAAAAGTATCTTGATTACAATGTTTTTTTTTATAATTGTATACCTACAATGAAATAGGATCTTTTATTTAATTAATGTATTTTATACCTATATTTTTGGAAGGTCTTGGGATAAAATTTTGTGATAGTATGAATGAAGCCTTTTTTGCTTTGTCTATCAGGTATATTATGAAAAAGTATTGGACACATATTTTGTCTTATTTATTATGTAATCAAAACATTACAGAGATAAATTGTTTTGAAATGTCACATGACATCATGTCTTGGTACAATTTTTACTTAGAAGTGAGGTCATGAGCACTCCCAAAATTTTTATTTTCAGACTTTATCTTTGTAATTTTTTAGTTGGTTGACAAAACAAAAAATAAGTATCCATTATTTTTATCATGTAACAGTCTAAATAGAATTTTGTTTAATTTACCCAGTTATTATCCTTATTGATTTATTACAGTTATTAATCTATTTGTGGGACTAGGCAATATTCCTAATATCAGATCAGAAAACCTTAATTTTAACATTTATTATAATATTTAAATACAAAGTACAGCTAATCACTCCCGCTAGAAGCTAATAATAAAATGTAAGTGTAGTTATTTTGGAAAATAATCATAGTGCACAAAATTTGTGCCTTCAGCCATCATCATCTCGCCCAGCTACAAAAGACAAATAATATGAAATATAAGAATTTTACTTAGACTTCATCTCGAGTTCTCCATCTATTTGTCTTTTAAACTTTGGCAACAAATCTTGTAACAACAGCTTCACTTGATCCCGGTCTTTAGCTTGAGCGTCTGCCCCTGCTGGATTCACAAAATGAAATGTGGAACATGTGCCATCATGAAGTACTACTTGAAGTTGAACCTTTGGTTTCCCTATGGGAGATATCTTTTGTGCTGAAACATAAATAAAAACAAAAACCAAGTCAAACGATAGCATTATTGACGAGCTCTGTGGCCGAGTGGTTTGTACGCCGGGTTTCATGGTGTCGCCAACTCGAGAGGTCCCGGGTTCGAATCCCGGTTGGGCAGATGTTTGTGTTATGAATACAAGCATTTGTACTCCAGTCATGGATGTTTAATATGTATTTCTATATAAATATACTTACATATGTACAGTATATGTATTCTATCCATTACCCTAGCATCCCATAACACAAGCCTTACAGTGCTTACTTTCGGGCTAGGCTAATTGGTGTGAGTATTGGAAATATTTATTTATTATTATTATTATTTATCACATTTTCATGTTAAATGTTATATGCTGTCAGGAAGGGCATTCAACAAAGACGAAGCCTGACCAAATTTTTATTTTAGTTACAAAGATGTCATAATCAAGATTTAGCCAATCTCCACTACCAGTATAACTTCAGAAATTTTTGATACTGTGAGATTGATGGGGGTAGGGAAATATAAAGACTCACTTTTAATGTCCGCATATTTGTGTGATACAGCAACAGTGTCTCGATTTTCCAACATCCAAGCCAGTCTTTGATTCATCACATACAGGGTGCCATCGCCTTTTTTAAACCTCACATGGCTCACGCTGAGCAATACATCTTCCGAGGAGGTCGTCATCTTCACAGTCACAAAACAACAAATTACGAGGCCTTTATCACCACAGTTGCTATATTTTTTTGCAAGTTTGTACCTCAAAATTCGACCCTAAAGTATTAATGACCATTCGGCTCCGGCTTTGCAAATTTCTTATATATTACAGTGCAAAGATTAAATTTATTTAACTATCAAAAACGGTTTTCAAGTAGAAAATAGTATTTTAGGAAATTTTATCTACAAAAAAGCACATCACACAAGTCTCAACCATTTGCAGTTTTGACAAACTGTCACATTTAGAGATGTGCCAGTCAAGTTAATTTCATACCATGTCTATTCAATTATTTTATTGTCAGTGGACTGACGATGTTAATGGAATATATCTACAAGTTCTAATCAAATTGTGAGCTTATAAAAACGTTTGTGCAAGGTGTGTTTGTTTAATTTTCTTAAATAAATTAGATAACGTCATGACTTTCTTTAACAAGCTATGTGAACAAGACTAATTATTGTAACTCATTATCGGGCCCAGTGAGAGGCACGCTACAGAGGCTGTTGGTCTTATCTTACATCAGAAGAGTGACCATATCTTAATGTCATACTAAGAGTATAAGACAAAGCGCTACTCATCGTGGGCGACGGGGCACGCGCGATTGGCTGTCTTTTATGCTCTCGTCTGCGTTCTTATTTAAATAGGTTTTATTATCAACAAAAAATATAATCCATTATCGACTGTTCATCCGCGCAGTCAAAGAACAATGCCCACTTTCCATTCATTTGAAAACCTGATAATAAAAGTTAATGTACAAATATAAAGTTTACTGGAAAATTACGTATAAATTGAGAAAATAATATCCTTTAGTCATTTTTACGATATGAAGGCAGGAAAATTCTGAAGGCAACTCTCTGGCAACACTAAGGGTTCAGATGTTCTTTTGCATTATCTGCAATTTATTTCACAATTTATTCACGACAAATTCCATAAAAAGATCAACAAATTACATAAAAAGATAGAAAAGATATTTCGATCAAGTTAAATGACAAAATGCAGTGCAGGTATTCGTGAAATGATTACTTTATGGATACAAGTAAATTGGACAGATTGCGTTCTCACCTGCCAAACGTATATGAATAACCAAACAACAATTGTGAAGAATAATTTGTCCCAAGAGGTGAACTATTAGATGCTTACTCATCTTAAAGCAATCCTACATTATTTTATTCGATATTAAAGAAAATACCAAAGCATTCTAATTAACAAACACTGTGCTGGGCGGGTTGTCAAACATCTGTCATATGTCAAAAACATCCGTTTTACAAATCGTTCAATTGTACTGCACGACGAATTTGTGAAATGATAATAATTGTACGAGCTGTACATACCTACTTAATCAACGTTTTATTTAACACTCCTTGGAGTAACATAATAATGCGATTCAACTAAGAATAGGACCGACTGGGCGCCATATTTTGACGTCATAGCCTTCAATTCAAACCAAATGGGTAGAGTGAGCAAAAAAATTTTGCTATTTAATAAAACTTATTTACTAACACTAAATGAGACAAAACATCAGATTTTTTACTAAAATTAATTTACTAAGGTTGAGAAAGCACACAACCGATTTTTAATAGTATTTCTATAAGAAGACTGTATATGTAAACAAAAGTTTTAAATCGAGTTTCTGAACGCAACATAAAGTGACATTTGGTTGACGATATAGTTTATCAACCATTATATACTTAATAAGTGAAAAAAAGAAACAAATAATATTAATCATCAACATTTGTTATTGTTTGTTTAAAAATGTTTGGTTTTTATTCTAGAATCAGCTGAGTGCTAAAATAGTGTTTCTAAATTTTTTTGCAAACCGTACTTTTCAAGCGACATTTGACAGATGGAGATCATTGGCTTTCCTATTTGTATTTGAATCGCATTATACCCTTAGAAAGCATTCAAGTGTGAAAAGCAACACCTACAGTAATATTAATTTAAATTATTCTGTAGTAAGAGTTTAATATAGAAAAACATACACGATTTGGGGGGAGGAGGAGTCCCACATAACTCCGTCTCACACCCAGGGTACGCGTCACGCATTTAACCAAAAAAAGGATACCATTAGCTGCTAATCTTGATAATATTACACATTTAATTTAATGTCTCTGTTCTAGAATCTAGATAGATATGACATCGCAAGGTCTGAGATAAAAGACAAACATCCATTTAGGGCATTTTTGTTGATTTTTTATATAAAGGAACACAATAGGAATAACGGTATAAATGTGACCTATAAATACTTGAACGCATCGGAATCGTACCGCCATTAATAATATTTAATCTGGCAACACCGGACATTGACAACCCAAAATGCAATCATGGCGCACGGGGCACTGTGTTTTTAGAATGCTGAGAAGTTTTTACGTAAACACTTCATTATTTTGCATAATAACTGTTATTTCTGTTTATATAAATTACCTGTGACAATTTAAGACTTTAGTGAAGCATACATGTGTGATCCAAACTTGAGGTTTTCACCTGTTCGCAAACACGTCTCTGTACTACTAGACACTTGCAGGTATGAAAATCGAGAGAACAACTGTTTTATCTATATTACAGTGTCTAATACAAACGAAGCACTCGCTTTACGTGACCAACGTGGTTTAAGTACATTGTTTTTATTGATTCAATTTTGATATGAGTTTAAAATTGGTCAAAATTCACTTGTTCCAGATAACTTGTTGGTGTCATAATGTCAGAGACGTTCGCCCGCGAGATACTAAGGAGGAATGTTGCGCAAATATGTCAGACTATTGGATGGAATGGTATAAACTCTACGCCGCTGGACATTTTGGTGCATGTGCTGGAAAAATACATCAGGTCACTGGGCACACAAGCTAGCAGATACGCCGAACAATTTAATAGGACTGAACCAAATTTACATGACTTAGGATTAGTTTTTCGTGATCTTCACGTGCAATTGCCAGAATTAGCAGAGTACACACGCAGTGTGCCACCCGTACCTCCACCTGTTACTGTTGACAAGTTTCCAAAACCTAAAGATTCTAATTTGAACTTTCTCAAGCCTGGCAGCCATGAAGTGGTCACTAGGCCTATGCACGTTCATGAACACCTCCCTCCTATGTATCCTGAGAAGGAAAGGGATACACCATTGGTTGCGGGCACTGTTGAAATACGTCAAAATGGTCTTGATAATGCTGATGGTAATACTACATGTACAAGTCCAGATATATCAGTTACAGACAGTCCCGAAAAACCAAAAGACATATTCAAAAGACCTATTGATCCAGTATCATTACCAAACAGTAAAAGGCCAAGGTTACGACTCGAAGAAGAAGAGAGAACTAGAGAAATTAGTAGCGTGATGATGACTATGTCGGGCTTCTTATCTCCGGCCAGAGAAGGAAAACTACCAGAAGCCCGACCGCCCACTATCATTTCAGAAAAACAATATGAAAAACATAAAGCAAATTCACATCATACTAATCCTACAAAAGTACCAATGCTAGAGAAAAGTGATAAGAAATCTAAGAAGAATAAGTTATTGAATGGCAAAGTTATGAAAAGTAAAAGAAAAGATAAAAGTCATAAAGGTGAAAGTAGTAAAGCTAAAGATAATAGTAAATCAAATAAGTATCCTCCTGGAGCTCCCAGTAGGGCTAAGGATGCGCATCCTATGCATCCACCAGTACATAATCATGTGAATATGCCACTACCTAAGGTGCTGCCACCCTCTCAGAAGACTGCAATGCCTCCACCAGCACCAATCCCTCTTGTTCCAGAACCATTCCGACCGGTAATAAAGCAGGAACCTGTGGACTTGGCACCTCCACAGCCACAACCATCAATAAACCCTAGAAATAAACCTGCTGGAGAGGATGCAATCCCGGTACCAAGAAAAATACCAATATCAAAATCTCCACTTGTCGCAAACTCTGTTCCTGTACATAAACAATCTTCAACAAATTCCCTCATACCTGAAGTAGAAATTAAAAAAGAAGTAACGGACGAAGAAGAAAAACTAGCATCCCAACCAGATAGATCAAAAGTTAATATATTTAAAAGGATATCGAACAAATCTAAAGAAGATAAAAGTACACCAGAGGTTGTACAAGAAAAAATACAGTCTGATAGTATGATCTCAAGGCTGCAAAATTCAGCTCATGAAAATTCATATGAAAGTAAATCCCAGGAAACCCTTAGAGTGAAATCAAAGGAATCTATTGTTAACAATAATGATAGTAGTGCACTAGATTATTCTAAAGTTATGGATTTAAGGACTAACGAAGTTATAAGCATTGATGATGATTCCATGGACACCCATGGGGCGCAGCCAACAAAGCCACTTTCCGTTGAACCTCGACCGAATATATCAATCAACAAATCTTTGCAATTACCATATCCCAAAGATATAGCTAGTGTTAGTCCAAAAATCAAAAAAGAAAAGAAACATAAAGATAAAAAAGATAAGGCAGCCAAATTAGAGGCGAAATTGTTAAAGAAGCAACAGCAGCAATTAGCATTTGAAATGGCACATGCCGAAAAACAGAATATGAAAATGAGTAGTACGACGAAATCACCAAAATCAAGCCGGCCAAAGAACGATGGTAAGATACCGCCGATGGTGCAATTCCCCTTTTTCCATGGGATGACGCCAGGAAGGGGTTTAATGCCTGGCCCAGGATTGATACCCAATCCTGGATTGATTCCAGGCGGGGATTTCCTCGCTGGTCTCGCGAATAACCCAGCCCTGCGGGGCTTACCGAATCCCAATCTACTCACGAATCCATTCGCGTTAGCGGCCGGAGGTCCAGGTTTGATACCGGGTCATGGTTTTTTACACGGTGGTCTCGGGGGCGGCATACCTAACCCCATGATGCCGATGAGCAACTTCCCCCATTCGTCGCGGTCGCCGATGAAGATTCCCCCAATGCTCCGACGGCCCAGCCTCGAGGTGATCCCCGTGGACAACGACGACGACCGAGGGGTGATCAAGTCGCCGATGACGCGCGACAAAGATCGCCACGACAAGCACAAGTCTCCGACCATTCCGAACATACTGCAGAAGCATAAGAAATCTAGTAAGGACCACAAAGCGAGTTTATACAAGATGCCGCCCGTTCAACCGGACATCACGATAGAGTTGAATCCGCCGAAGGTGGAGCCCGTGAAGGAGCCGCCGCGGGAGAGTCCGCCGCCGCCCCCCCTGCGGTTACCGACGCCGGAACCGGTGCCACCGCCGCCGCCCAAACCGGAACCGGAGCCCGAGCCGGCGGAGCCTCCTCCGGACATTCCGGACCGGGACGAAAACGCCGAGAAAAAGAAAGAAAAGTCCCACAAGAAGGAGAAAAAGGACAAAGACGGAGTGAAAATCAAGAAAAAGAAAGACAAAAAGGACAAGAACAAAGATAAGGGCGAGAAGAAAAAGGAGAAGGAGGAGAAGCAGGAGGCGAAGATCAAGAAGGAGAAGAAGGAAAAGAAGAAGGAGCGGCCCGACGGGCTCGTGCCGAAGCTCACTCTGAAGCTGGGCGGGTCGAACTCGAACTCGCCGCTTCCGCCCAGCTCTCCGGATCTATACCGGCTCAACATAAAACCGGTGAGACGCGAGCCCAGCGCCGAACGCGAGCCCAGCAAATCGCCGGAACTCGCGCAGATCGCGGCTCTGGTGACGCGCCCGCCCAAACCGCCGCGCGTCGACGCGTCGCCGCCGCCCTCGCCGCCTCGCCGGAACCGGCCGCCTTCCGCGCACTCCAAATACAAGCGGATCCTGATCAAACCGCTGAAGAAAGGCGGCGAACGCTTCGACGACGAGGAGGAAGCGACGGAGGCCGCGGAGACCGGCGCGGAGGCGATCGTTCCCTCGTCGGCGCCCGCGGCGGACGGCGCCCTGCCCGCGCCCTACTACGTGGACGAGCACGGGAACAAGATATGGGTGTGTCCGGCCTGCGGGCGCCCCGACAACGGCTCCCCCATGATCGGGTGCGACGGGTGCGACGGGTGGTACCACTGGGTGTGTGTCGGGATCACGGAGGAGCCCGGCGCCACCGAGGACTGGTTCTGTCGCGCGTGTCGGGCCAAACGCGCCGCGGTCTCCGCGCCCGGCGCGGTCTCCAAGAAACGCGGTCGACGCCCCAAAACGGAGAAGACCCGCGAGACCCGTTGACGACTGTCCCGCTCTCGCGCCCTAGCATAAGCGTAGATAATGATATTTGACATAAAATGTTGAACGTGAACATAGCGTAGTCACTTGTATAATTACCGTAATTTACCATAAAAATTCCTAGGATTATTTTGTTAGGATTCTCTTCTTGTTTCCGTCGTTCGCTCGGTTGGATCGAGAGCCCGCCGCGGGCGCGTTTCGTGCGCGTCCCGCGGCCGGGCGTAGATTTATGATATTGTAAGATTCTTTTTATATTGTACAAAAACTGAATTTACTTAAGAAATTGGTGATGTATAAAGTTAATGTAGTGCATATTTAAATAAACGGAAAGAAGGCCGGATGCGTTTTCGGTCGATATTTGAATATTTTCATATTATAATTTTAATATAACCCTGTTTTTTTTTGTTGAAGTTGTTCCTTCAATTTTATGTACAGGGGTGTCGCCGCCGCGCGTCGTCCGCCCCGTTCCGCGTGTCCTTATGATTAGTTGACCGGCGGAAATCGCGCGGTGGTGCCAACCCTACACTCGACTAACGTGGAGGGAAGAAAAATGTAAATTTTTGATTTCAGCCAGTGGCCAATTAAATATATTGGTACTCGAAAATGTAGTACATTATTTTAAACCTGCTGCTAAAACTTTCGATGCGAACACATGAGAATGCGGACGCTCGACTTGATGAAGCTGTAAGTTTAATGCGCATCCCTGAGTGCGGCGTCCTAGGAGTTAATTTAACTTAAAATTCCCCCGGTGCTATCACATATGTATTTATGTATGTAATACACGTCCCGCACATATTAAACACAAGCAGCCGTCCGCGTCAATGATAATCCCTCAATTATTTCCCGGGATAAAAATTATCCTGTCTCGATCCAAGCAATAAACTACATTTGTTCCAAATTCAGCCGTTTTTGCGTGATTCAGTAACAAACATACGAACTTTCACATTTATGATATATTATTAGTAGGAAAATGTTATATAAATGTAGAACAAGTGAGGAGTGATCTGTATACATTACATGAAACAAAACTTCAAAGAATGACGTATAAAAATTCGTTAAAAATTACGACAAATTTTTAACGCGCTATGAAAACGCTCGCCCTTCACAAAGTACCGCCACTACTGAAGTTATGAGCTCGAGCTGACCGCTCGTGCAAATAAATAAATATTTCCAACACTCACACCAATCAGCCCAGCCCCAAAGTAAGCACTGTAAGGCTTGTGTTATGGGATACTAGGGTAACGGATAGAATACATATAAGTATATTTATATAGAAATACATATTAAACATCCATGACTGGAATACAAATGCTCTTATTCATCACACAAACATCTGCCCCCACCGGGATTTAAACCCGGGACCTCTCGAGTCGGGGACACCATGAAATCCGGCGTATAAACCACTCGGCCACGGTGGTCGTCAAATGTATGCCGAGTTTTAGAACTGTCGTCTGAGTAAAGTATTTTTGATGTAAATATATTTTAATAGACTTTTCTGCAATACAGGCCTTATTTCCGGATTGGCCTTATTTGTATCAGGTATCTTATAAAAATGTTAGCGTACAAAAAAGCTACCTCAAACATCTAAACCCAATTTTTATGAGAACTTACTTGATTTAAATCACTTTGTAGTCACAATATTTACATACATATCTACATTGTTGAAGGACAATCGTATTACATTTCATTATTACTGCTCTTTCTTAGAAACAAACTGCCTACATACATATAAATCTATGCGAGTGTTTATTTAGTATAACATGAAACCTGCACAGGCAATCCTTCGTATGCATTCTGCAAGATAATCATTCAGATAAGATTTGTGACATGACACTAAGCTAGCCACAGATGCTAGCCATTCTTTAATATCGGTTTTAGAAATTTACTTCAGTAGATAATTTTATTTTAGCAGCTAATAAATAAAATGTTTCCAACACACCAATTAGCCTAGCCCCAAAGTAAGCACTGTAAGGCTTGTGTTGTGGGATACTAGGGTAACGGATAGAATGCATATATAAGTAGGTATATTTATATACAAATACATATTAAACATACAGGACTGGAGTACAAATGCTCGTATTCATCACACAAACATCTGCCCCCACCGGGATTTGAACCCGGTACACTCGAGCCGGCGACACCATGAAACCCGGCGTACAAACCACTCGACCACGGGGGCCGTCACAGCTAATACTACTAACGTACCTATTTGTTTCTTAGGTCTTCACGCACCCCACTCATTAAACAAAACAATTTAAACTTGTTTTGTTTAATGAGTGGGGTGCGTACGAATACGAATAAAATCATAATAGGGATGATGACTAATTGTTTTTTCTTCGTTTATCAGGTAGATTATCAAAAAGTATTGGACACGTATTTTTCTTTTTTCACATAATATAAACATTGCAGAGATATATTGATTTGAAAAGTCGCATGACGTCACGTTTGAGTACACTTATAAGTGAAAATTCACTCAAAAGTGACGTCACGAGCCCCTACTCCCAAACTTTGACGCGCTATAACTTTGTCATTTTTTGGTTGATTGCCCAAAGAAAAAATACGTGTCCATTATTTTTTGATCATCTAACTGACGGACTAAATAGAATTTCGTTTACTGTACCCCGTCAACCCTATTCTGACGACGCAGCCTTAAAATGGATGCGAAACGTCATAAACAAATAAATTAGTGCATCTAACTATACCATTGAAACTTGTTTAACAACATACCTAAGTACAAACTTTGTAGAAATTGAACTTTCACAAAAATTACCCATTTTAGTACCTACCTACTTCACCTCATCATGTCAGCCGTACGACGCCCACTGCTGAGCATAGGTCATCTTCTTGCATCTTCAAAGATCACACCACACCGCTATTCGCATCCAACGGCTTCCCGTGACCATCACTAGATCGTTTGTCTACCTCTTTGGGAAACTTCATGATAAATAGGCACCCTACATAATATGTACAGAATCTAGCTAACTTTGCGTCTGGTTTACCACCACTTAACATCAGCGGGCCATACGCCTAACGGAAATGCTTTGGAAAACGCTAATGCTTTCGATTTTATTTTGTTATTTCTGACCGCCAAAGGTTTTCTAATACTTTACGCTCATTTTTTTTAATATTGTTATTACCAATGCAAAAGAAAAAAAAAAGAACGCGAGGCATTTGAAAACCTCAGGCGGCTAGAAATAACAAAATAAAATCGTAAGCGTTTTCCGAAGCATTTCCGTTAGGCGAATGGCCCCCTAGTGGGAGTAGACACATTTACCTAAGTAAACTAATTAAAAAAAAACACCGTATTACACGACAAACACTAGTCTAGATGAAATCAGAAGCAACACCTCGACGACCGGCTCATCATCAAATCCATGTAGTGAGCCGACCTTTATATTTTATTATGTTAAAAGAGTGGCATATAGCACGCTTGATGGTAGGCGATCACCATAAGTTATAGACGCTCGCGGCAAAATAGAAAAAAGCGAGTGTGCTTATGACCACACGACTGAAGTGAAATTTCTTTAGCTCCAATGATCTGAAAATCATAAACTTAACCTGAAGATTTGTTAATAGATAAAAAACCACCAATCCGCGCTGGGCCCGTTATCACCCACCAATCCGCGCTGGGTTCGTTATCATCCACTAATCCGCACTGGGTCCGTTATCATCCACCAATCCGCGCTGGGTCCAATATCACCCACCAATCCGCGCTGGGTCCATTATAACCCACCAATCCGCGCTGGATCCGTTATAACCCACCAATCCGCGCTGGGTCGGCGTTATCATCTACCAATCCGCACTGGGTCCGTTATCACCTTCCGATTCGTGCTGGGTCCCATTATCACCTACCAATCCGCACTGGGTCCTTTGTCACCCACAAATCCACGCTAGGTCCATTACCACCCACCAATCCGCGCTAGGTCCGTCATCACCTTCCAATCCTCGCTTGGTCCTTTATCACTCACCAACCATGTATTTTGTGACGTGTATTGTTCATTGTTTACCGATGAGTCACCGATGACACTAATCGTAACACGAAATCGTAACACATTCGCCAGTTTACCCCCTAGGGGGCATTTCGCCTAACGGAAATGCTTAGGAAAACGCTAACGCTTTCGATTTTATTTTGTTATTTCTGACCGCCGAAGGTTTTCAAATACCTCACGCTATTTTATTTTAATATTTTTATTACCAATGCAAAAGAAAAAAAAAGAGCGCGAGGCATTTGAAAACTTCAGGCGGCTAGAAATCACAAAATAAAATCGTAAGCGTTAGCGTTTTCCAAAGCATTTCAGTTAGGCGAATGGCCCCCAGGTCAAGCGTGCCTAAAGAAATTTCACTTAAAAATATCACTCGTGCCTTTGCCTACCTTCAAGGGCGGATCCAGCTTTGGCGCCAGGGGGGGGGTCATATAGCCAGCTTTGGCGTCAGGGGGGGGGGGGGTCATATAGTCGTGGTATATTAAATATTGAAAGTACTTAAATAAAAAATGGGTGCGTGTACTTATGTAGGCGCGTGAGAAGTTATCCTTCTTTGGCATCGTTTAAAATTAGTTTTTAATTGCATGCAAATAATTAATTACAATAAATTAATAAAAAGTCTGGAAAAGGACGAAGTCAATAAAGTTCAGTTTTGATTTGAAAAAATAAATAAATAATCAAAATATTCAATTAAAATCGCTACTGAAAATAATTTATTAGAACATATGTGATTTACACTTGTATGAAACTCAAACACGTATTCCGAATATACAAACTAGAAACATGTGGATAAATATTATAAATATGAATACCTATAACTGTTACTTTATTACAAAAAATAAAGATGTGGTTTTTGGTTCTACTACACCAATGGTCAAGAGATGGCGCTGTAGTCTCCTGAATCGCGCTTTGGTTCCGTTGTTCCAGATTAATAAATACTTTTTGTTACTTTATTACAAAAAATAAAGATGTGGTTTTTGGTTCTACTACACCAATGGTCAAGAGATGGCGCTGTAGTCTCCTGAATCGCGCTTTGGTTCCGTTGTTCCAGATTAATAAATACTTTTGATAGGCCTTCGCAATGCAGTCGTTAGCACAGACAAAATAGAGATTATATTTCTATTTTGTTGGTAGATTTTCTTAATGTGCGGTAAACACAAAAGTAACGCATGTAGTTGGTCGCTAAAGCGACCAACTTCATTATGTTAAAATTTAGTGTTACAGTGATGCGCGCGCATCTTAAAATTTCACTCTCATAATTTTTTCATAACGCGCCTAAAGAAGTATAACTTCAAAAAACCTCCTGGTTTTGGTCCATCTGTACCCAGCCCAGGGGGGGGGTCATGACCCCCATGACCCCCCCCTGGATCCGCCCTTGCCTGCCCTGACCCCATCCCCTACCCCGTGGAGCCCTGGAACCTCACTCACCGATAGAAACACAATACCACCAAAAGATAGTGTTATTTTACTGTGGTATTCTGTAAGGTGGAGGATACTTCCCCAGATAGGCGCTCCAAGTCGAGCTGAGAATCGGCTATCTAATATATAAAATTCTCGTGTCACGGTGTGCGTAATTGAACTACTCCGAAAAGGCTCGACCGATTTTCCTGAAGCAGTTTATACGCATATTCAGTAGGTCTGAGAATCGGACAACACATATTTTTTATCCCCCTAAATGTTAAGGGTGGTCCACCCTTTAATTTTTTTGGATATAATTTTAGTCTAAAGAAAAGTTTACTAGAAAAAAATCCACGCGGACCAGGCAGCGGACGGGACTCGAACCCGCATCCTTCGCTATCCGGGCGAATGCACTGACCAATTATGCTACCGCGGCCCTCACGGATCGCGTCGAAATTCCTCTAGCCATTCTTAAGCAGCAAGGCAGCGCCATCTCTTCGCATTATAGGTAACCCACAATGTCAAATGAATACTTTTACAAGTATTAAACATTTGAAAGAAGAAATAGCAATTATAGTTATGATTTTATTTATTTTTTAAGCATTTTACTGCTAGATGTTTAAATCTAAAGAAAAGTTTACTAGAAAAAAAATCCACGCGGACCAGGCAGCGGACGGGACTCGAACCCGCATCCTTCGCTATCCGGGCGAATGCACTGACCAATTATGCTACCGCGGCCCTCACGGATCGCGTCGAAATTCCTCTAGCCATTCTTAAGCAGCAAGGCAGCGCCATCTCTTCGCATTATAGGTGACCCACAATGTCAAATGAATACAAAACGCACCGCTTCGGCACCGCAACAGGCCGTCAAGAAACGCATAAATTGAAAGCGCCCTTAATATCAGGCGGGATATGCTAATTTCCTGCTTTCATCGAATTTTCTTTATTTCAGTACCCTTAGCTCGAACTAATATCGAATTCGTATAGTTTGCGAGTGCAGAATGTCATTGTCAAATGTGTACTGATTTTTAGTTCTCGTTGCGCCCGTTATGTCGCTGCTGTTCAAGTTTCATACAAAATTTGACAATGACATTTCGTACGCGCAAACTATTCGAATTAGATATTGGTTCGTGCTAAGGATACTAGTTATGGTTAATCTTTTTAATACTCTAATAAAAAAAACTACAGTGACAGGCGTTAAGGAAAATAGAATGAGAACGAAAGTATCACAAACATCCAGACTCGAGTTAGGCGCTTAGCAGACGACGGGGCGGGGCGGGCCGGTCAATTTCGCCGCGAATAATAGCACAAACTGAATCCTATACTTCAAACGCACACAGAGGGCAAAAAGACCGCGCCTTGGGTGCCCGGCGGGCAGTGGCGGCGCGGCATGTCCGCGGCTGCCCGCCGTGGATCATACAAACCAGTTTATATGCAGTAACGCAGACGGCGGCCCGGGGCGGTCAGCTCAGTCCGCGCCACGCGCTTTTTAGGCGCTTAGCAGACGACGGGGCGGGGCGGGCATTTTGTCCGCGAAGCAATAAAGACCGCGTCTGCCCGTCGATGTCTGCGGCTGCCCGCGCCACGTACACAAAGCACACGACGGGCAGAGGCGGTCAGTTCAGGACGTTCGTTCTAGTGAATAGTCCATACTAAAAAGCGTGTGGCGCGGACTGAGCTGACCGCCCCGCGCCGCCGTCTGCGTTACTGCATATAAACTGGTTTGTATGATCCACGGCGGGCAGCCGCGGACATGCCGCGCCGCCACTGCCCGCCGGGCACCTGCGGCGCGGTCTTTTTGCCCTCTGTGTGCGTTTGAAGTATAGGATTCACTTTGTGCTATTATTCGCGGCGAAATTGACCGGCCCGCCCCGCCCCGTCGTCTGCTAAGCGCCTTAGTGATGGACTATTCATTAGAACGAACGTCCTGAACTGACAGCCTCTGCCCGTCGTGTGCTTTGTGTACGCGGCGCGGGCAGCCGCAGACATCGACAGGCAGACGCGGTCTTTATTGCTTCGCGGACAAAATGCCCGCCCCGCCCCGTCGTCTGCTAAACGCCTTATAGTCGATACCATTATACCGACGTTCGCAAATTCATTTTAACAGTCGGTGCCACCGGCACTGATCTTGAGGATATCCTCAGGTCTACTCCCAGTGAACCTAATTGATAACCAGTGCATCCGTCTTCTTGCAACTTATAAGCCCTATTATAAACTAAGGCAGCGCTGCATTGTCCCCTTCTAAGGGGTCGATCGATCCTGATGAACCCTTAATAAGCACTTATGGCCAGAGGCACCTCCCAAGTTAGTCAGATACCATAGTATTTAGTATGCTTAGTACGTAGTTTTCTTTTAATTTAAAATATTATACTTATTATTAACTAAGCAATTGGGGTATGATTCTCTGAACTTAAAACGGAGTGATCATTTTCAGCTTTAACTTAATATCTCAGCTTTAAAAGGTTTATTGTTTTGTTTACATATAAAATACTCTGCCGCAACGTAGTTACTGGTATTTTTTTATTTTACCCGTTCACCTGTGGGGCGTTGGAAGCAGAAAATGCCCATGCGCAGCGCATTTTAAGAGGCGCGGTGATACCTAGCTGAGCCAAGAGCCACAGAGCTGAATAGCCAGTTCTCGTGCGCCGCTTGCTCTTTTATTTATTTAATGAGACTTTATTGCCAAACATAAGTAAACGGCGGACTTAATGCCATAGGCATTCTCTACCAGTATGAGTGTTGGAGACAAATGGTATGACGATAGGGCAGTTGCTAAAAAAACAATAAAATGAAACCTTTTTATATTTGCCAGGAAAATTTTAATATTATGGTTTATTAGGGTTTAACTTGAATTATTAACTTCACAGTACCTTCACCGCGCCTCTCCTGGTGTGCGCTGCGTCTAAACTTAGATCTCACAACACCACCAAAATATGTTATTTCATTAAGAGATATTACATTGAAGATGGTGTTCGTATTATTCCCCAAACGGGCGGCCGCTCCTATTCAAGCGTAATATCTGCTATGCTATGCTCACCTCAAGGTATGTGGGATTTCGTCCATATTGAAATAAAAATTAAAAACATGATTAAACTGGAATTTATTTATTTTTACAAAACAAACGCAACAGTTACACGTAAAGGCAGTCTATGAAAGAATCTCACGATCTACAAATGCAAATCGCCATTAGCCAGAATTAAATTAAAATTAAATTAGATACTATGTTATGTTTGTGTCGATTCATTGTTCATCATACTAGACCAGTCATAACAATATTGCCAGTTGTAAAAACTAAAAAATAAATATATCCAGATTTCTTTCCTACAACAAAAAACAACTAAGTCATGTTGCTCAACTCACTGGTAAACAAATTCCCTTTGAGTCTTAAAGGTAATACAACATTTATTTCACATAAAACTGACTAAAAACTCAACAAATCTATATATAGGTGCTTAATTTTTAGTGGCGCCAGCACCACTGGTATTGGGTATACTGTTTGGTGGAGGAGTAGTCGGTTCCTTTTCTTTGTTCCAGTCTTTGAGACCTTCCGGTAAAGTGGTGTCCTCATCCAGAGACCCGGTTCCTTCAACGAACTCTTCATAAGTACTCTTCTCAGGGAAAGGTCTCTTCCCCAAAAGCTCAATCATGTCGTCTCTACTCAAAATCTCCTGTTTCAATAATCTCTCGGCAACTTTGATAATGTTATCTTTGTGTTTGACAAGTAAATCTGTAGTGTGTTTGTGCGCTGTGCTGATCAAATCTCTGACTTCAGAGTCTATGAGTTCAGCAGTTTTCTCCGAGTAAGGTTTGTCAATGACCATTTCTCCAGGCTGTGGCATTTCAAAAGACACATTGCCCACTTTAGCGTTCATACCGTAATGTACTATTTGCGCGTACGCACTTTGTGTTATCTTCTTCAAATCATCTTGCGCGCCTGTTGTGATTCTGCCGAAGAATATTTCCTCGCTGACTCTTCCGCCGAGCGTCATGCACATTCTATCAAACAGCTGTTCTTTGCTATACAGATATTGTTCTTTAGGCAAGTATTGTGCGTAGCCGAGACCTTTTCCTCTGGGTATTATGGATACTTTGAGGAGGGGATCCGCATGTTGTAAGAACCAGCCAGCGACCGCGTGACCAGCTTCGTGGTACGCAACTATCTTCCTTTCATCAGGTTGGAGGACATTGGACTTCTTCTCCATACCAGCTACGACTCTCTCGATGGCTTGCTCGAAGTTCTTCATTGAGATGTTGTTTAATAGCTCCCTGGCTGCGATAAGGGCTGCTTCGTTGCACACGTTGGCAATGTCAGCTCCAGTGAAACCTGGAAAACGAAAATAAGGAAATGAGATATAACAATATTGGATTTGCATAGATTCATGAGAGAGGGTAAGATCTCTGGTTTAAAGGTGCAATTATGATCGCACGCTGCATGTAGTTTAGGCATTACGCGTGCCAATCTCATATTTATTCTGATTCTGATGAAGTCAAATTCTTCAACAACCATGGAAAGATAGCGATAAATTACCACTGAAAGGCACTAGTTCAATTCCAGCATAACATCTGGGTAATGTGATAATTTTCTAGTAAAATCTTTTATAGAATTAAGAACAGAGTTATACCACCATTATTGAATAAAATAAGACGATGATACCTTAACTTTCTCTCCAAAAAGTTTGATTATTCATCCCAAATTAAAAAGTTTTATTTAAATACAAGAGAATGAATTAATTATAAGGAAATTAACGTGCACATTTAACATAGCGGATTTCTCGCTTAAATTAGATGCGCCATTTGCAGTGTTGTGTTTCAATTGATGAGTTAGTTCCACGAGGACTGTGATAAGGGACAAGGTAGGCAACGGCTTGAGTTCATACTCTGGTACCGCAAGCCTCTATGGGCTATGGCGAACGCTTACTATCAGGCAGCCTGATAAAGAATCAACGACGTGCATGGACACTGCATCACATGTAAAATTATTCCGTTATTACGGCTAATAACAGAAAAGCCGGTAAGTTTCCGTGAAAGAAATATCGGCGAGTGCGCTGAACGCTGGCTGTGTGTCCACGGTTGGCCTGCATTGTAAAGCGCTCTAGATCAGTGGTTCTCAAACTTTTTAAATGACGGAACCCTTTTGGGAAGCAAAATACTTGATGGAACCCTACAATAAAACAATTATTTTTATAAGTGTATTCTATATTAATCAGCATAATAAAAGTACAATGTATCCGTTACTAATTATTATTTACTTCACCACTTGGTAAGGACAATAATAGAAAACATTAAAAAAGAAAAAATCTAACTAGTGGGAGGTATGAAACTGTTTTTTATTTTTCATCAATTGCTTGATATCAGGTTTGATGGAAGAAAGTTGGAGTCTCATATCAGCTTCGGCGTCCAGTCTATTGCGATATTTTGTTTTCGTGGCTGCGTAGGTAGAGAATCCTGTTTCGCACAAATATGTAGTTGGGAACGGGAGAAGAATATCCAGAGCCATTTGGCCAAGCATTGCATATTCATCTTGGATTCTGCACCAAAAATCATTAAGAGGCGTCGTTTTGAACAATGACTCCATACTTGTGTCTGATGACATTTCTAAAAGAGATTCATATATCTCATTTGACATGTTTTCAGGCTTTTCCAAGTTGGGTAAAAAAGGATTATGAATCCAGGAGTTCACTTTAATTTTTGTATTGTGTTCTTCGGGAAAATACTTTTCAAAAGATGCGCGCATCGAACTGAGATATTGGACCAATTCTTCAAACACATTATCTTCAAACATTTCTGAGTCGTTTTCGCTAACAAACTCAGTGAGTAACGTAAAACTTTCTATTTCTTTCTTACCAATGCAAATGATCCAAAAATCTAATTTTCTTTTAAAAGTAGTTATTTTATTATAGGCCTGAAACACTGTTGTCTGTTTACCTTGCAATGATAAATTTAATTCGTTAAGTTTTTGAAAGATATCCGCCATAAAAGACAATCGGAACAACCAAGTTTTATCATACAAACGGTCCTTCAAATTAAAAGAAGTATCTGCTGAAAGAAACATTTGTAACTCGGCTCTAAGTTCAAATAGCCTTGTTAAAGTTTTTCCCCGAGACAGCCATCGCACTTCTGTATGGAGCAGCAGTGTTTTATGTTTGCTGCCATAATCTTCACACAATAATGAGAACAATCGGGATTGTAGTGGTCGTGATTTGATAAAATTAATTATTTTTACCGCTTCATCCATAACTAATTTTAGATTAGACGGCATTTGCTTCATCGCAAGTGCTTGTCTATGCAGAATACAATGACTGGAACTACAATTAGGCGCTTTATTTTTCATTCGTGACACTGCTCCTGCTGTTTTACCTGTCATCGCCTTGGCCCCATCTGTACAAATGTCAATGCAATTGTTCCAACTGAGATTATGTTCTTCAAAAAATATATTTATTTTATTAAAAATTTCTTCCCCGGTAGTGTTTGTAAGCAGCGATGAACACATAAGCATGTCTTCTTCAAAAGAACTTTTATATGGATATCTCACAATAACCAGCAGGATAGCCAAACCAGCGACATCAGTCGACTCGTCCATTTGCAAAGCGAATCGTGTATTTTGTAGACGTGTAACTAGTTCTTGTTTGACGTAGCTTGCCAGATCATGGATTCGTCGTGAAACAGTATCGTTTGATAGCGGAACAGTAGAAAGATGCTTTGCAGATTTTTCATCAAGCATACATTTTGTTATGTCTAATACACATGGTTTTATTAATTTCTCAGCGATAGTGTGCGCTTCACCTGCTTGTGCAATGCGATAGCTAACTAAGTATGATGCCTCCGTGGCCTTTTCGTTGGTAGTTTGTGTTACATGCATCATATTTTTTTGACTTTCTAATAACTGATCTTTTTTGCGAACAAAAAATTCTTTATTCTTGTCTTTAGTCTCGGGGTGTACGGTTTCTAAATGTCGACGCAATTTGGCAGGTGCCATGGAACTATTAGGAAGCAGTTTACTACAGAGCATGCAGAGAGGTGAGCCGTTGGAATCAACAAATCCGAAACTGATATAAGATTCATCATACTTCCTTTTTTTCGTCTTTGAAACCGTCGAGCTTGACGTCGTGGCACTCGTGGCATCATCTTCTGGATCGGTGATTGCTAAATTCTCCGCGCGCATTGCTTTTGAACATTCAGCGTCATTAGAAGATGTTGTTGGAACACGTTTAACACCTTTAAGCCAACGTTCCATTCTTCTTTATTTATAATGTTACAAGTCAGGATAGTGGGGTTTAAATAATGCACAATCGTTACTGCGTATAAGAGACTAAATTTAGAACCTACAGGGAAGAAATGTATAAAACTGAGACAACAGAATACAGCAGGCAGTAAAACAATGAACACCAGTTTCTCGCTAGCGAGCTTGTAAGTAGGTAGTAACTTATCGCTCCGAACGCTAATCATCAACTGACGACGCCAACGCGCGATCGCCGCTTTTATACTTAGTCCTAGACTCGATCTCAAATATTCTCGAAAATACTCGAGTCGGCACCTTTGATAAACAAAAAGCAAAAATAAAAACAGAAATTTAAAAATAGCGTTGTAAACAATATCGACTTTATCCTTTGAAGTTAGAGACGAAAGTCGCTAGTTGACAACTATAGCGTCTAATTCAGAGGCGGCTTTTATCAAAGAGACTGAGCGCTTACAAGTATACTACCCGCTCGTTTTAAGTTTGCCGCTGGCGATAGGTATGAGTGTATGACGTTCGAAATTTTTTATTTAATTGTAACAATAAAAATTGTGTACGTTAGATATTTGGGTAAAACTATGACACATTATAAGTTTTGTTGTCACGTGGGGGAGGGTACGCGCATTCCACAGACCGGCAAACTTAGAGCGAACGCGTTGTACAAGTATAAAATTGTTGAGACCAAACTTATGAGATATTGTACCAGCTAATGTAACACAAGCTTATACAAATACAAATAAATAAATAAATAACATTCATAGCGTTTTGTCTCCGCGCGGCCGCGGAGTCCGCACAGCCGCGGAGCGACCAGAGAGAGGTGTTTTGATTTTTTTATTTCTAAATTCTTGCGGAACCCCGACAGAGGTATCACGGAACCCTAGGGTTCCGCGGAACACACTTAGAGTATAGCTGCTCTAGATGAATTCATACAGGTCGCGGCACGTAACTCTAGCGATAAACAGAACGCGTCAGGGATAGCTGCGCATGGGTACGACTGGAGACAATCGGTGCAACGCACGCCCACCCGCGCACCTCGTTTCCCTCCAACATATCCTAGGTGTTACCGACAAAGGAGGTCTAAGTATACTATCAATTACTTGTTGATGTTAATATATTTTTTGAAGTTATACTTCTTTAGGCGCGTTATGAAAAAATGATGAGAGTGAAATTTTAAGATGCGCGCGCATCACTGTAACACAAAATTTTAACAGCATGAAGTTGGTCGCTTTAGCGACCAACTTCATGCTGTTCGTTGCTGGTCGCTTTAGCGACCAACTTCATGCGTTACTTTTGTGTTTACCGCACATTAAGAAAATCTACCAACATAATAGAAATAGAATCTCTATTTAGTGGGTGCTAACGACTGCATTGTGAAGGCCTATCAGAAGTATTTATTAATCTGGAACAACGGAACCAAAGCGCGATTCAGGAGACTACAGCGCCATCTCTTGACCATTGGTGTAGTAGAAACAAAAACCACATCTTTATTTTTTGTAATAAAGTAACAGTTATAGGTATTCATATTGATAATATCAAAAGTATTTATTAATCTGGAACAACGGAACCAAAGCGCGATTCAGGAGACTACAGCGCCATCTCTTGACCATTGGTGTAGTAGAACCAAAAACCACATCTTTATTTTTCTAGTTTGTATATTCGGAATACGTGTTTGAGTTTCATACAAGTGCAAATCACATATGTTCTAATAAATTATATTCAGTAGCGATTTTAATTGAATATTTTGATTATTTATTTATTTTTTCAAATTAAAACTGAACTTTATTGACTGTGTCCTTTTCCAGACTTTTTATTAATTTATTGTAATTAATTATTTGCATGCAATTAAAAACTAATTTTAAATGATGCCAAAGAAGGATAACTTCTCACGCGCCTACATAAGTACACGCACCCATTTTTTTTTAAAAGAAAATAAATGTCATTCTATCAATTCATGTCACCGCAGAGCTGGTTTTTGAAGTGAAACTTCTTTATCGGTGTTGGAAAAAAATTTACCGTCACATTTTTATTCGGTTACGCGTCACGTTTTTTGGTTACGCGCCATCTTTTTTTTAAAAGAGCACTATTTACCTCATCCGAACAATTGCTTCTTCTGTCAACTTTAAAAAAAAAGTATCGACAGCAAATATTCGTGTTTCACACGAGGTAAGGTAAGGTAAGGTAAGGTAAGGTAAGGTAAGGTAAGGTAAGGTAAGGTAAGGTAAGGTAAGGTAAGGTAAGGTAAGGTAAGGTAAGGTAAGGTAAGGTAAGGTGTAGTTATACCCCTTTAGTGGGTGAGTTTTTGAAAAATCTTAGCGCACGCCTATATATATATTTCTGGAAAGTTGCATGTAGATCATTTTTCGAAAAAAATAAGGCCATAAAGAAGTTTCACTTCTTACGTGTGCACACATTTTTTTTTATTTATATTATTTTCCGTTTTATTTCTTTCGTTTACAATAGGCTTGTTGAAAATATATCGATGTATCGATATATCGATATTTTTTGCCGATATATTTTGATTCGATATATCGATACAAAATAACCAATATCGAAATTCGTATCAAGAACGATATTTTTTTAATTATTAGCGGCATATCACGATCTAACTAAATTCGTATCTGGAAAAATCGTAACTGGATCTCAGTTTAATGATATTCAACATATCTATGATCTGTGCTGTATTTAGTATTGTCTATTATTTGTAAATCTGTTTCGCTAGTGAATTGGTTGTGCTGATTTCCATTATATTCTGTGAAGTGTGTGACTGTCTAGTCTTGTTTACGAAAGAGACCCTGCAATCATTTACCTGAGAGGCCCTGCAATCATTGTCATCATTCGAAAATAGGGTCTATTTTTAGGGAGATAATTTTCGTTCCATTATTATTCCGCGTGTCATATTTCGTGAGATACTGTACAATATTTTTGGGAAAATTGTTCCGATATATCGATGTTTTTTTCGCGATTTATCGAAGCCGATATTGATATTTTTTAAAAGATCAATGTATCGATATTTTTTTCAACTTTCGACATCCCTATCCTAATATTTACTTCAGCACAATAACGGTCAGTGCTAGAGATTTGTGCCGCGACTTGTACATTTGCGTGTGCTAGGAACCGTTAAGGCATTGCGCTTGTGGCGCCGGCTACGCAAACATCGGATTATTTACTTTAATTATAACTAAATTGGTGTAACTGCCTGATATTTTAGGTAAAACACAACTGCAAATTGCATGACACGATTTATTTTTATTTGCAGTACCTGCTGCGGGCGCGCGTAGTACGCAATAATTACCCGTACAGCAGGGCGGCTACGATACCAAAAAAAAACTGCAGTCTCAAGTTTTAAAATAAAAAATCGCTCCGGGTTCTAAGCCTTACTATACTTTACTATCTTCTATTCTATTCACATAAAGATGTCTGCTAACCTATCGTTAAAACCTTGTCCGAATAGTGGTTAAATGGAATTACTTTTTGACACAGTTTTTGTTACTAAAATATAAACTAAGAAATGTATGTAGATAACACTAACACATGAGTAAGCAAATATTATTTTGTATTTTTGTACCAATAACTGAGTCAATTGGAACACCATTGATAGTCAATTATTACTTAAACTTAACAGAACAGACACCCGGGTCATCAGCAAATTGCTATAAAAAAATACAAGCACTAAGTTATACAGACATACAAGACTGTTGACTGTAAGTAGAGTATTTATCTAAATGCAAATTGCATACTATTATGATAACACCAAGGATGCAGCTATCGCTCAACTGTCTCTTAAGTATAATCTTTATAAACATGATTGTAGAGGAGCGTGTTTGTGCATAACTGCTCCAGAAATCTTATGTTAATTTATGAAATTAATTTTATGTAATTACCTGGAGTTAATGCAGCCATTTTACGTGCCAGATTCTCTTTGTTCAATGTGGTTTTCAATGGAGTAAGATGCACTTTGAAGATGGATGCCCTACCCTTAATATCAGGAGCGGGTACAAAGATCTGTCTGTCAAAACGTCCCGGTCTAAGAAGTGCTTTATCCAATATGTCCACTCTGTTTGTAGCAGCCAACACAACAACATTGGTTGTTGTATTGAATCCATCCATTTCAACTAAAAGCTGGTTAAGAGTGTTTTCCTGCTCAGAATGGCCACCAAAACTGCGTCCACCTCTTTTTCTACCTACGGCATCTATTTCGTCTATAAACAAGATGCATGGAGCATGCTTACGAGCCATAGAGAACATGTCTCTTACTCTAGAAGGACCTACACCAACAAACATTTCCAGAAATTCTGATCCTGAGACTGTAAGGAATGGCACATTGGCCTCACCAGCTGTGGCTTTAGCCAACAATGTTTTACCAGTCCCAGGGGGTCCAGTCAGCAATGCTCCTTTCGGTATCTTGGCTCCCAAATCAATGTACTGTTGTGGATTTTTCAAAAAGTTTACAAACTCCATGATTTCAATCTTTGCTTCTTCACAGCCTGCAACATCCTGGAATTTGACACCTATGTCTGTTGGATTTATTAATTTTGCAGTTGACTCCATCACACCACCAAAGAGGCCACCACCTTTACGTCCTCCCCGGCCCATCATATCTGCTGATCTTCTCATCATATAAATTAAAAATCCTATAATCAGTAGAGTTGGCAGCATGCCTGTTAAACTTGCAGCTTCCACTTCAGTTTTATAAATGACAGGAATAAAATTGGGAGGATCAACACTCATCTCAATTTGTGCATTTTCTAGATTCCTTTCAAATGAGTCCACACTCCCAATGGCAAACCAGATCACTTTGGTCTCAAGAGCAGATCCTGGCTGTAGTTTAACGCGAACCCATTTCTTGTTAATAACTTCAAGTTTTTCAACAACTCCTTTATTGAGATATAAGTTGACAAAGTCCCTCCAGCTTATTTCTCTATATCTTAATTCAAAGTAAGCTATTGAAGCTAGTAATGTGACAACACCCATTGCACCAAACATCATCCATTTTTCCCTGTCCTGACCTTCGTAACCACCTCTGCCACCGCCTCTACCACCCGTAGTGTTGGAAAACATATTCATATTCCATTTATCCGGTGACGAAGATGGTTTTGGTGATGTCGGCGAACTTTTTGAAGGTGCGGGAGACTCATCTTTATCCGAAGATTTTTGCTGCTTCTGACTGGTTCCAGGCTGGAAGTACTTCTCAAAGCCCTTTGGCGGCTTCTTACAAAACTCGTACCATTGGTTTAACACTGAATCTAGAGCTGGAACGCCGACAGGCTGTAAATGTCCCTTGAAATGTAATTTTGATAACTGAGATTGAGTTAACCTAAGACCCTTCCACATTTTGGTAAACTGTTAAATTTATTTACAGGAGCGAGTTCAATATTATTACTATTATTTCACGATTTCCTATGGGAATTGCATCACAAAAATACATCAAGAATTCAAGAAATAATGACAAACATGGTTATAAAATACATGTCAAAATAATTATATGAGCGTTTAGTCTGTGGATTTGACATTGACTGTTGCCAGTGCTGCCAACCCGAATTTTGGAAAATTAGTAGATTATGTGCCAAATGTTGGTAGAAGTTGGTAGAATGTAAAATGCAAAATTGGTAGATCTACCACCTCAATTTAGAAAATTTTTTTAGATTAAAAATGCATGCAATGCAATGCAGAGATGCACGCTTCAGATCACACCTACATGAATTGCAATAAAAATATCAGTCACCCTTAGTAATTTCTTGAAGCCAACCTGCAAATTCCTTGTCTTTCTCCCATAATTTCGAATATTTTTGGTCATAGTGCCCTTTTCTCGGTTTTCGTGGCGGAGTTCCTAACCTAGAACTATGTGCATCGCTTTCACTGCTGTCAGAATCCATTATATACACTTCTGGACACATCTATTGGCCCACCTTGTATTTTCAGTTTCGTTTGGTCCTAGCTAAAATTTTATATTAGGTCGAGCAAAAAGTTTTTATGCAGTTTTGAACCTGGCACATTCACAATTTCATTCAATAGTCTTTTTTTGAATTTCGAACACAGAATTTAAAGAAACAAAAGACAATTTGGAGCCTGTTTTGATATCAAATAATCGAATACTAAGAAAACTTGGTTTTATTGGTTTATTTGGATTTAATTCTTGAAAAAGTGATTGATATCTTTGGTTTTGCAACTAACATTACTTATTCTTAACATTAAGGTGAGGTTCTATCAATAATCTATGGATACTTCACCTGAAGTCGCCGCCCAAGCTGTGGCACGAGGCCGGACACAGCCAAAGAAACGTGAGTGCTCAACTTAATTTAAGTCGATCTGCGGTCCGAAATGTTTATCGGAGGTACCTAGAGACTGGCGGCTTTGTTCGTCGCCAAGGAAGGCTACGATCTCGGGTCACAACTGAAAGGCAGGATCGATTCATCGTGACGACCATCTTGAGAAATCGTCACCTTACCTCCATTGAGATACAAAAACAAATTCGCGACTTCCACGGAGTATCTCGAACTGTTCGGAGAAGGTTAAAAGAACGCGATATGGTACCACATAAGCCAGCTAATGGGCCCAAACTAACGCGAGCCCACCGAACAGCGCGCCTTCATTTCGCACGCAGTCATTTAAATTCGACACAGCAAGATTGGAGCCGTGTACTCTTTTCTGATGAGTCTAAAATTGTGTCACATGGCAATGATGGAAGGAAGAAGGTCTACCGACGTAAGGGAGAGCGTTTCGCACAGTGCTGCTTTGAAGAGAGGTTTGCTTATGGCAGTGGCTCATGGACTGTCTGGGGCGGTATATCCGCGAGCGGCAAAACTCAACTTGAGGTTGTTACAGGACCACGGCTGCCAACATTAAATGCTGAAAGGTACATTCGTGAGTGCTTAGAACCTCACGTGATACCATACGCGGACTATGTGGGCCCAAATTTCCTTTTTATGCATGATAATGCAAGAGCCCATGCGGCCGCCATCGTCAGGGAATATCTTCGGGATGTGAACATCACAGTTATGGACTGGCCAGCCAGAAGCCCAGACATGAACCCCATTGAGCACATGTGGGACGAGCTAAAAAGACGTGTTAGGGCTCGTCAGCCAGTTGCCCAGACGATGCAGAAGTTGACAACTGCCATAGAAGAGGAATGGGAGATGATCCCTCAAAATTTCATAGAGCGGTTGATAAACTCTATGCCTAATCTCATGAGAGCTGTGGTAGATGCCCATGGAGGCAACATGCGTTATTAAATTAAACCTTTATTTGATAAAACATGTTTTTTATTCAAAAATCAATTGCCTTTAACAAGGCGCATATTCGACTTGTTAGGCGTAGCTCCATGTCGTATGGTATTCTGAATTCAAATTTAAAACAATACGATCGAAAAAGATGGTAAAATGTATCAGGTTTAAAACTGCATCAACAGTTTTTGTTCAATCTAGCAATCATATTTCGGTAGGGGCCATCGAAACCTAAACTCTAAGGTGGGCCAATAGATGTGTCCAGAAGTGTAAATAAATCCACGTAAAATAGAACAAACAAAAATCAGCACCGTTAATACGCAGTTAATTAGTTTTTACAATAAAACAGGAGCAAAGATTCAACATTGATTCCACAATAGGCCACAGTAGGAATAGTAAAATATGGGCTCGAAATTGTGCGAACGCCGAACTCATGGCGAACTGTTGTTGACGTTTTTTTTGTGGTTTTTGACCTGGACTCTATGTAATGCTTGACGCATCGTTGCATGGCTCACGCAATACATCGTAACGTCGCTCGTCAATATAAAAATAATTCAAAGTGGTGATATGTCAAACTAATTAAAAAATAGGTAGTTTTTAGGTCTAGGGTGGTAGATAGGTAGACTGAAGTGAAAATTGGTAGATCTACCAAAAAGTTGGTAGATATGACAGCACTGACTGTTGCGATATTCTACGACTCGATTAAATACAAGGAGGAACCGAAACATCGATTTTATTTTAGATGGATCATGGACCTACTACTTACTATACAAGCAGGATTCTATACTTTAATATTTTTTTTTGAACTTCAGTTTATTTTACGTTGTCCAACAAGGAGCCAATCCGGGCACAGTGAGGTAGTCAAAACAAAGGCATGTTGTCTCGTTCTTAAAATTTGCTAGCGTAAAAAAAATCGGTTTTTGTTAGTAAACATATTATTGATTTTTTTGTCAAATTAAAGGTCATTTTGTCATAATATTGATGATCAGATCTCATGGAAGTTAGCCCCACACTTTTTTGATTTTCCAGGTTGTTCTACATTGTTTCAGATGTTTATTTGAAAAAACAAAAATTTGAAGCTACTAGGCAAAAAACTTTTTGTTATGGTAGCCGCCCACTTTGGAAATTCAATATTTTTATAGTTGTTCTAATTGTCCTAACATTGTTCCAAAGTATTAATTGAAAAAACTAAAATAGATGCCAAATATTGAAATTATTTGTGTCGATAATAGGATTTTCTGTAGTCTTCTGACTTAAAGTATAAAATGTTTATTTAATACCATTCAACCACATAAAAATATTTGGTGTTGGGTACTAGCTCGTTTAGATGTGATTTTATGGTAAATTAATGACTGAGTGACAAGGAACCTTAGGCAGTTTACCCTGTTTTCTTGTCTGATAACTATTAATTTTATTCAAATTGATTAAATGAAATTGGAACGGTATAGCCCACGGTTGTCTGATAAAATCGTCATAAATCATTGTTGATTCATTTATTACTAGCTTTTTATAAAAAAAGGTTTTTTTGCCTGGCAGCTTAATATTTGTTTTTTTTTTCCAATTAATATATTAGAACAGTGATAGGAACAACTAAAAAATATTGATTATCAAAACATGGTGGGCTACCATAAAGTTATTTTGTCTATAGCTTAAATTTATTAATAAAGCTCTGGAACAATTCAGAACAACCTGAATAATAATAAAATTCAAAAAGTGGGGGATATGTCTTTGAGGTGATGATTAGTCATTATGAATCATTTATCGAGTTTGAGCTTGGAGATTATCTCAAAAAGGTTTCGTGAATAAGACAAACTCAAGATTTATAAGACGTCTTTATTACAAAAAAAAATTAAACAAAGGCAAAGAAATCGAACTATGAGGCCTTAAAATTTGAATCACAAGATACAGGCAAAATACCAGAGGCGAGTGAGGCTAGGACAAGCGAGACAAAAGTTTATTTAAATAAAGTATTTTTGAAGCAATAAGATAGAGGAATTTGAGTTTTATGCTGCTTGTCATAAGGTTCATATTCTACCGAGAAATTTTTGGTAACTTGATGTATTGATGTCTGCACACTGATAATGGAGATGAATAAATTGAAGTTATGCCTGTCTTCGTCTCGCGTCTCTTCGCCAGTGGATTCCTGTGGGAACTGTTTTTTTTAATAACTCTTCACAGTTCTTTCAAAACACAAAATTATTTATTCAGTAAAAAACAAAAGGAATTCATTCAAGCAAGACGATAATTTGGAAAACTTTCGAATTTCTAAACATAATTACTCTTTGGTTAATTAATAAAGTGAGTTCCTTATGAGATACTATTTCAACAGTCTTACAATTTATTTTCCTTAACAAAGTCAATTAATTTCCGATTCATAACCACCCTGTTAATCAGTTTAACTATATACACAATTTATTCATTACAGAGTTAATAATGTACAATTATTGTCCATTAGTGGAAATGTATATAAGTAAACCTAATTTAGCTCTTATTGCTCCTGCAACAAAGTTGTAATCAATTTGCATCCACTAAAGTGACATCAACTCTACAAAAAAAACACTCATTTAATAAAAAAAAATGTGTGCGTGTACTAGTGTACACAGGTAAGAAGTGAAACTTCTTTATGGCCTTATTTTTTTCGAAAAATGATCTACATGCAACTTTCCAGAAATATATATATAGGCGTGCGCTAAGATTTTTCAAAAACTCACCCACTAAAGGGGTATAACTACACCTTACCTTACCTTGTGTGAAACACGAATATTTGCTGTCGATCCTTTTTTTTTTAAAGTTGACAGAAGAAGCAATTGTTCGGATGAGGTAAATAGTGCTCTTTTAAAACAAAGATGGCGCGTAACCAAAAAACGTGACGCGTAACCAAAAAACGTGACGCGTAACCGAAAAAATGTGACGGTAATTTTTTTTCCAACGCCGATAAAGAAGTTTCACTTCAAAAAAATAATTGTTCTTCGACTCTAAGATATATACAAGTACAATAGACCTTAACACTATGAGAACTGAACTTAAAGTTGCACTTCATATTCTTAAACCTTAAGACAAACATCTAGCTTTTGTATATCACATTTGAGAATCAGCTTATGTTAATTTGGCTTAATATTATATATATAAAAAAAAACTTAAATATTTGTAAAGGTGGGTAGTATAATTGACTGTGCCTAGCCAGAACATTATTTTGTCGTACTTAATACTAAATTAAATGGAAAATAAAGAGGACTATTTCATTGTAATCAAAATAAACGTATACGTAATCGTAAAAACAGATTTGTTCCAAGTATCTTATATTAAAAGAATTCGACAGTAAGAGGATCCATTCGACATGCAATTGTGAAAGTTAAGTCATTTTCGCAAACGGCAGTGATTAGATGGGTGAGAAGTATTTCTTACTTCATACTGTTGGTCCCGATTGCGTTGCAGAAATATCAAGTTTTATATTCCATATTTATGTCATTTATTGGCGTAGGCGTTGTTATGTATAATTGTAATCATATTAAATACACAATGAGGGTTATTAGAAAAATACGACGCTAGTAAGTTTCTGCGTAATTTTGTTTTTTGGCACCAATTCTTTGAATGTGTTGAACATTGCATGCTTTTTGGTTCAAAGATAAAGATAAGCTTCGACAGACGAGTGGACCTCTTGACTCAGTACTGCCACTTACCATTATGGCTCGATTACACTTGGTCGTTAGCCTGTATTCGGATGCACGAAGAAATTACTCGAACCTGAAGCAATATTTACACTGGAATACGCGCTGGAAAACGGTGTCGTTGTCGAGTAGCCAAAACTAAAACTACCCGCATACGGTCGTACTCCGCTCAGTTCATTTACACTTAGACGTTTATCCGAACTCCATTGGCACTAGTATTCGGGCTAATGACCAAGTGTTATAGCGCCATTACTCATTTCTGAATACCCTCATCGAATTTGTAGTCCATTACTAAAGTGAAAAGGCACGATGTAATATAACGGTCCCGAGTCAAGTATGTTTCTCTAAACTTGAAATTAAATTTGACAACTGTCTTCGTTAAACCACATCCTGCTATACTTGATACATTTGTGTCGATTCTGGCATGATTCTCTAAACTTAAAACTAAATTTAACATCAGTCTCTCCTTTTCATTCTGTATAGAGAATGACAACGATGCACTGTTGTCAAATTTATGTTTAGGTTTAGAGAATCCTGCCAGATTTTTTATTTTTTTAATATTCTCCCTTTTCAGGGAAGGCAAAGGGACCAATGCCCATACAGCCAAATCTTCAGTGTCATTAATCTTCTTTTTTATTACATTACAATGCCGGTGTGACGTGGTGTGTTTGGCACGAAATGTATCGAGTTGGTTTATCGATAAGCTTTTGTGAGGTAGTCAACACTACAATAAATTTTTCTCGTTCAGTTGACCGGAATAGCGTATATTTTTCCACTAATTCTTCAGTTGCGCAGACGGTTGTAACACGAAATCACACCAATTTTATTTCATAATAGCCGCTATGTAATAATTTAAGAATATTTAAAATAAGAAGCCAACCGCGCCCGCTGAAATCCCACCAAAAACCTCATCATGCCAAAATGCATACCAATGTTGTCAAATTTAATTCAAGGTTTAGAGAGTAATGTCAGAATCGGACCTTATATTTCGAAACTAGAGAACACAGCAGTCTAATCAGATTTGTTTTTGCTTGCGGCTGTATTCGGTGTTGTTCGTCGTGGTGCTTTGGAGCCACCCCTGTAAAAATTTAAAGCAGCCTTTTAGTAAATTTATATTTCATTGAACAGTTAAATGTTATTACAATAGGGATGATGACTATTTTTTTTCTTCGTTTATCAGGTAGATTATCAAAAAGTATTGGACACGTATTTTTTCTTTTTTCACATAATATATAAACATTGCAGAGATATATTGATTTGAAAAGTCGCATGACGTCACGTTTTGGTACAATTTTCACTTAAAAGTGACGTCACGAGCCCCTACTCCCAAAATTTGGCGCGCTATAACTTTGTCATTTTTTGGTTGATTGCCCAAAGAAAAAATACGTGTCCATTATTTTTTGATCACCTAACTGACGGACTAAATAGAATTTCGTTTACTGTACCCCGTCATCACCCCTATTAACATGAATATTTCATTCGCATCCATAGGTAATTATTTGCGATTTCGGAACGAATACAAAGGCGATTAAAGTGCAAGTAGTGTTTAAGTGCGATTGTTTCAAGACTTGTATATTGAGTGTAGTATTGTGCGTTTGAGAAAGAATTGTGTGGTCAATAAAGAACTGTCAAGCGTGAACTGGCATATAATTTGGAACCCCATTCTGACACGTAACAATATTTTAATTGATCACAAAAAAATTGTGCCACTACATTAGGTGTATGTTAGTATGTATATGTTGTTGCCGACCCTTTTTTGATAGATTTAGTTTTTATAGGTTTTGAAATGTTTTTAAAGTATTGACATATTTTTAATTTATGATATTTGCTATCAAATAACCTGCTTGACAGGTTGCTGGCAGGGCTGGAGCTGAAGAACTTATAAATGTAAGCACATATATCAAACAATAATAAATCTTTATATTTTTACATGGTTTTAAAATAAAAATACTAAAGTCTTGTGTATTTTTATGTGTGTGTGTGTGTTTATGTCGAGTGTGTGTGTGTGTATTCGTATGTGTGAGTGGGCGGTGATGCTATGTTTTTTCTTACTTTTACCTATTGTAACAAGGCCTCCGCTTTCTCATAATTCAACGAAGTTATGTAGTTTATTACATATTTTTTACATTCGTGAGAGGTTTTACAGTTTTACATGTACATGTACAATACAATACACTTTATTGTACACTACAGATAACATTAAATTTAGTACATAACCAATTAAAACTAGTGTAACAATGGGCGGCCTTGTTGCTTGGAGCGATCTCTTCCAGACAACCTTTGGATGGAGAGGACTAGAAGGAAGTGGGAGAGACGGCGGCGTAAATCACTCGAGTGATATAGGTGATAATATATACAATTATATACATACACTGGCTGCCCAGCGAACTTTGTACCGCCATAAAAAAATAGGGATTGGTGGTAGAAGGATGAAAATTTAGGGTTGTATGTATTTTTGTATGATGTATCATAAAAAAATTAAAAAAAAATTTAGGGGTGGATTACCCTTAACATTTAGGGGGATGAAAAATAGATGTCCGATTCTCAGACCTACTGAATATGCATATAAAATTTCACGAAAACCGGTCGAGCCGTTTCGGAGGAGTTTAACCACAAACACCGCGACACGAGAATTTTATATATTAGATGTAACTAGCAAACCTGTGAACCAAATGTTCACCAAAAAAAATAATCACGTGATTTCTCGAAAACCGGAAGTGCTACGTTACTCACATCCGGTTTGTTGTGACTATTCTTAACTTATAACTTAAACATTCTCTATATCTATCTCTTACGGTTTGGCCGCTGAAACAGCACCACGGACGGACGGACGGACGGACGGACGGACGGACTTGTCTAATAGATAAGAGATTAGTTGTGAGTGTTGATGTCCGTATACTTACGCGTTGAGCGTTATCTGCATGGATTCAGCAGCGGTTAAAGCGTCTTGCAGTTCGTGCAGGGACACGTGAGATACCAAAGTGCCGTCGGCTGCGGAATGGCCCGTGCTCAGAAGTCGAAGCGCGTGCTCGAGGCAAACTGCCGATCGTTTGCCTGTCAACCCAACCACCTACGCACAAACAAACAGGTTTTTTGGCGGGATTTCATCGAGTGCGGTTGGCGTCTTATTTTAATTATTCTTAAATTCGTTCATAGTGGATATTGTGAAATAAAATTGGTGTGGTTTTGTGTAACAACCGTCTGCGTAACTGAAGAATTAGTGGAATCATTAAAATAATAAATAAAATAAATAAATAAATAAATATTTCCAACACTCACACCAATTAGCCTAGCCCCAAAGTAAGCACTATAAAGGCTTGTGTTATGGGATACTAGGGTAACGGATAGAATACATATACTGTACATATATAAGTATATTTATATAGAAAATACATATTAAACATCCATGACTGGAGTACAAATGCTCGGTTCATCACACAAACATCTGCCCCCACCGGGATTTGAACCCAGGACCTCTCGAGTCGGCGACACCATGAAACCCGGCGTACAAACCACTCGGCCACGGAGGTCGTCAAAATATACGCTATTCCGGTCAAGTGGACGTGAGAATTTTATTGTAGTGTTGACTACCTCACAGAAGCTTATCGAAAAAGCCAACTCGATACATTTCGTGCCAAACACTCCAAGAAACATTAGAATGCATCACACCGACATTCTAATGTAAAAACAAAAAGAAGATTAATTTAATTAAAGACCAGGCTGTATGGGCATTGTTCCCTTTGCCTTCCCTAAAACGGGAGAACTTCAACAAAAAAAAAAAAACAAACAAACACTTCACTATTATAATAGCGCGTTCAGTACTAGCATAAGAATATTCAATCATTTGCCTGCAGAAATTAAAGCACACAATTTGCCACTGTTTAAATTTAAGTTAAAAAGCTGGTTATTAAATAATGTCTTCTATAATCTTGATGAATATTATACTTGTAAAACTTAATATAATTTATATTGTTTTAAACTTTCATGGTCACTAACATTATAGATATTAGAGTTACTCCGTGATCATGGCGCTTGCAACAGTGCCGAAATATCGGAGACTCATAAAAAACAAGGTACATGGTAACAATCCCGTTAATATCTATAATTAATATAATTTAGGCTCTAAAATGTACTTTTTAAATTAAGATAGTTTTAAGTTGTAAATTTTACCATTGCATGCCCGTTGTGGGCACACTGTTGTGACTTTGTTATTATTGCAATTCCAACTGCAAAATTGTACACAGGTTTTTTGAGCAATAAAGTTATTATTATTATTATTACTAGGACTTTTTGGCGGGATCGGGAAACGTCACTTTAGCAGTTTTGTTTTTCTTGTTAAAAATTGTGTTGTGGCTTATGTTAGTGTCTAATAATGGTGGGTAACCACTAAGTGTTCGGGAACATGCACAAGTGTTGGCAAGTGAAACAAAATAGCGGAAAGTGTCTTTCGACGTTCCCTCAAGAAGTCCACGGGGAGGTTGCAGTAAATTCCCACACATTTACTGAAACAGGGAAAGGGGGATTGACTTGACTGTCACTTAGTTTGACTTGATTTAATATTTTGACCACGAGTGCTATAGAATTTGTAAACATTTTTAACACTTGACATTGGCTGAATGCACAAGCCGTGCGAAGCCATTTAGGAAAAAAAAACGCTTCACTATTAATATCATCGTCAACCTATGAACCCCTCGTCTGTGTAATTGGATGATTTCTGCCACGAGTTGAGAAAATAATTTTCGTTTTTTCTATATAAGTATTGCGTTTATCATATTTAGTGATGGTTTTTAATTTGCACATCTAATATATGGGTAGATAAGTTTGTCGAGAAACGATTCAGGGTTGATTTAAGACATAAATGAAGCTGGGATGTACAGTAGAACTCGAATAATAAGAGGGAAATCGGCCAGGTTTTTTTTGATATTCTGGGTGTGAAAAACAAAATGAAGGGCTACACAGACCAAGGGTTAATGTCCCCATTGCTGGGGCACATGCCTTTTCTGTGGACGAAACGAGGCTTACGGGCCGTGACTACGTGCGGATTGGCGGATGCTAACGACTGCAGATACAGCCGGGGCCAACGGCTCAACATGCCTTCCAAAGCACAGAGGAGGGAGAGAAAGTAAAGCTTCGGTCACCCATCCAACGACCGACCACGGCGAAAGTTGCTTGACTTCAAGATTGCAGCCGAACGCGGTAACCACCTGCGCCATCGAGCTCCTCTGTATATACATATACATAAATGAAGTTAAGCAACTTTCGCAGTGGTCGGTCATTGGATGGGTGACCGAAAATCTATCTCGAGTTGCTCCGTGCTTCGGAAGGCACGTTAAGCCGTTGGGCCCGGCCGCATCTGCAGTCGTTAGCACCCGCCAATCCGCACTGGGCCCGCGTGGTGGGTCACGGTCCAATCTCCCTATTCCATCCTCAGGGAAGGCCTGTGCCCTAGCTAGTGGGGACATTAATTGGCTGATGATGATGATATCGCGTGCGTGCGGTACTTAAGTGCCATCTGTGGCGGAATGGCCCGTGCTTAAAAGTCTAAGGGTGCGTTAAAGGCACACTGTAAGTCGTTTCCCCGTTAACCCTGACCTGACCCATTTATTATGTTAATAAGACAATTATGTTAAAAAAACCTTTTTAAAAACAAGCTTTTATTCAAATGCGCTAAAAAGAAAAAAAGAAAATTTCAACTAAATTAGTTAAAGATATCTGTTTCTAAATAGATTTTCAAATTTTAGAAGTCCGCCATATTGGATTGAGAGTGACGTCACATTTTTTTCGAGTTACTCTCAGCAAGCCCTTTAATTTGATACCCATATTGTAGGAATGCATTAAAAATGATTGGTCCGCCATTTTGGGTATGCCGCCATATTGGATTTAGAATGACGTCACACTGTTAATCATGCATTGTCATCCGAACTGAACGAGCATATCAAATTTCAGCTTAATCGGTTGAGAGCAAGTGCTTTAAAATTGAGTTGTAAGATTTGACCGTAACAAACATACGTAGCAAGTTAAATAAAAGCTTGTAAAAAGATGACAAACAAGCTTATGAAGCGACCAACCAGTGTTGCCAGGTCCGATTTTTTAAAATCGGGAGACGTTAAAGAAAAACGCAGTAGATGTATGGAAAGAGGTACAAGAAAAAACAGTAGATACCGAGGCGTACTTTTAGCGATTCGCACCCTCCCCCCTCCTAGAATTGGTAAATCAAATCAAGATATAGGCCAGTAACGAATGTGTTTCTGTGGCTTCTGCCACCCCTCAAAGCTCGTTTTTTTTAGACAATAACATTTATTTTATAATAAATTAAGGTTATCTACATTATTAATGGCGGAAAATGCAACTCAACGTGCAATTTAAAAAAAAAATCTTATTCTAAGAAAAACAGTAGATTCATGTACAAAAACAGTAGAACAGAGGAAATTTCAGAAAAACAGGAGATACCTGTAAAATCGGGAGTCCTGGCAACACTGTGGCCACCATGGCCTACAGAAGATTGTAATACAATTTAGTGAGCAACTAGCCTTAACTTCTTAACTAGCCGAATCGGAGCGTCAATCTGGGGAAATAACCTCCACCCTACAGAATACCACAAAAAAATAACACTACCTTTTACAGAAAAATAGATAATGAAAAAATACTTATATCTTGCAAAATACAAATATATCCACAGAATATTTCTGTAGATATATTTTTATTTTGTATATATAATTATATGCAAGTACTTATATTTACTTGCATATAATTAGAGATAAATGACGTGACGACTTCCGAGAGTGACAATGATAAATAATGATATTTAATCACGTTTTTAAAACAATCAAACGAAGAAAATATTACTAGAAATTTAAAAAAATTAAGCTTGTAACTGCTCGATGTTTGAATGTGAAGAAAATATTACTGTTTACTTATTACTTTGATTTTTTTATGTTCTCACTTTTTTGTGAAGCCAAGAAGACCTTATTTTTCTAATTGGCAATTATGAAGACAAAGTATATAATTTTCATACAGTTTTATACATAACCTACATTGGTTAAAGTTTTATTTATTTATAGTCGAAAACGTAGGCCCATAGATAGATACCTTAAAGTCTAACATATATACAGATTAAAACTATCTTATGTTTACTTATTACTGTTTTTTTTTCTAGTAATATTTTCTTTAGATTTCTACATCGAGCAGGTATATGCTTAAAAACACTATAACAATTAAATGATTTTGCCCCTCCAATCTATACTTATAATAAATCTGTAGAGAGGTCAATTCTGTACATGAAATATATTTTCAAAATAACTATCAGGGGGTGATTAGTGATCGATACTGATGCCAAAAATGCAATCAGTAAAATTTTTGTCTGTCTGTGTGTATGTTCCTTATAGAAACAAAAACTACTCGACGGATTTTAACCAAACTTGGTACAATTATTCTTCATACTCCTGGGCAGGTTATAGTATACTTTTCATCACGCTACAATCAATAGCAGAAGAGTAGTGAAGAGAAATGTTGGGAAAACGGGAGAAGTTACTCCATTTTTAAGCTTCCGTCGCGGGTGCAGCCTTAATGGTTAAAGTTACATAGAAATCATGTATGACGGAAATATTCTACATAAAATTGTCTAAAAAATATCCCGCAACAGCATATGTCTATCTTTTATGGCTGACTCACAATAACACGTGTAATTATATAAATAAAGTCATTGTTTATAGCACAAGCCTGAGAACAAAAACTATAGTTTACACTACAGCTCTACACCGAAGCGAAGCGAGGGCGGCCCACTAGTACAAAATAAATGAACATTACCTTGGAGAGGTAGAGGGTGGAGCGGCATATCTCGCACTCGTCTTGTTCGCGAACGTTCCACGCGCCCGCAGGACGCTTCTTGGGCTGACGGACTTTGTTCGATTGCTACGAGTGGACATTATATTAATTAATATACTAGCAAACCAGTGAACCAAATGTTCACCAAAACCTGATTTAAAAAAAAAATGTATTTAATTAATTGAGAACTTCGGAGATTTTGTTAGTTTCGTTTGAAATTCGTGATTTCTCGAAAACCGGAAGTGCTACGTTACTCAAATCCGGTTTGTAGTCTTATCAGACTATTCTTAACTTATAACTTAAAAATTCTCTTTATCTATCTCTTACGGTTTGGCCGCTGAAACAGCACCACAGACAGACGGACGGACGGACTTGTCTAATAGATAAGAGATATTTAAAACACTCACACCATTAGCCAAGCACTGACGAATGTGTTATAAGGATACCTGTGTGACGGATATAATACATTATATTGATAGGGATCGAAAACTGAACGCCCCTCCATTGACATAGCCTTACATACACACAATCAGTGTGAAAATAGAAAATAAAAAAAAAAAACTTTAATGCTTACAAGTTCCATATAAACATGTTGCTGAGTACCTTTGATATATTTTACTTGTGTTAGGGTATACTCGCTCTTTAGTGAATTTTTACATTGAACGTTAACATTAAACATTATTTCCGAAAGAATAATAGATAAGTTCCAACCATGACGACCTCTGTGGTCGAGTGGTTTGTACGCCGGGTTTCATGGTGTCGCCGACTCGAGAGGTCCCGGGTTCGAATCCCGGTGGGGGCAGATGTTTGTGTGATGAATACGAGCATTTGTACTCCAGTCATGGATGTTTCATATGTATTTCTAAATAAAAATATACTTATATATGTACAGTATATGTATTCTATCCGTTACCCTAGTATCCCATAACACAAGCCTTACAGTGCTTACTTTGGGGCTAGGCTAATTGGTGTGAGTGTTGGATATATTTATATTTATATTATTTATTTATTTATGGCATAAGACAGAACCCGAACCTGCACCCCTGGCCCTCCGGCCGGAAGAGGAAGGTGCAGACCGAAAAACCCGCTCGGCGCGCAGAACTCCAGCACAATATATGTTTAGCAGTGTAATGCTAAGAATAACAATTTAATAAATATGAAAAACTGTTTGAATGTGTACAGATGCAACACACTTAAATTAGCTATAGTCATTGATCATTCAGTTGATTCAGTTCGCCGGCTAGACATGACCGAACTGATATAACTAACATAAATGTGTGAAAGTGTGTTCAGTTTTAGATAAGACGGTCTCTATATATATATACAAATAAACATCCATGGCTTAGGTGCAAATGCTCGTATTCATCATACTAACATTTCTCACACATACATTCTCATAACTCACCGGGATTCAAACCCGGGAACGGACCTTACGAATAGGCGACAGTTTGAAACTTGGTGTACATACCACTCGGTCACGAAGGTCGTCAGATATAATTTACTCCTAAATAATTGTTAATAATTTATGTAATTGAAATAATTGATTTTATTAAATATATTTATTTATTTTGTAAATTCAATGTCAAGTTGTTCTAGTTGAACCTGTCATTGTTCGATTTTATTCCAGTTCAAATTCAAGACAGTTTTTTAATTCAGTTTTCGTTGAAGCTTAAAGCAGTTTCGATGGCGATTCAGTTTCAATTCAATGTCAAGTAAATTTTCGATTTGATTTCAGTTTGATTCAAAATCAGTTTTCTATTCAGTTTTAGTTCAATTTCAAGTTAATATTCGATTCAGTTTCAATTCAATTTAAATGCAATTTTTTTTTCGATAAAGATTCAGTCCAATTTCAAGACAGATTTCGATTTAATTTCAGTATAATTTCAAAACAGTTTTCGATTAAATTTCAGTTCAATTTCAAGACAGTTTTTGATTCAGTTTCAAGGCAGATATCGATTCAGTTTCAAGGCAGATATCGATTCATTTCAATTAAATTTTAATGCAGTTTTTTTTTTCATTTAAGATTCAGTCCAATTTCAAGACAGTTTTCGATTTAATTTCGGTTCAATTTCAAGACAGTTTTTGATTCAGTTTTAATTTTATGTCGTCATTTTTCGATTTGACTTCAGTTTGATTCCAAATCAATTTTCGATTCAGTTTCAATTCAATTTCAATGTAGTTTTTTTTTCGAATACGATTCAGTCCAATATCAAGACAGTTTTCAATTAAATTTCAGTTCAATTTCAAGACAGTTTTTGATTCAGTTTTCGTAAAAGTTTGAAGCAGATTTTTCAGTTTCAAGGCAGATATCGATTCAGTTTCAATTCAATGTCAAGTCAATTTTCGATTTGATTTCAGTTTGATTCCAAATCAGTGAATTGAAATTCAGTTTCAGTTCAATTTCAAGTCAATTTTCGATTTAGTTTCAATTCAATTTCAATGCAGTTTCTTTTTTCGATGAAGATTAAGTCCAGTTTCAAGACAGTTTTCGATATAATTTCAGTTCAATTTCAAGACAGTTTTTGATTCAGTTTCAAGGCAGATATCGATTCAGTTTCAATTTAATGTCAAGTCAATTTTCGATTTGATTTCAGTTTGATTCCAAATCAGTTCAATTTCAGACAGTTTTCCAATTCCAATGCTTTTTTTTCTATGAAGATTAAGTCCAATTTCAAGACAATTTTCGATTTAATTTCAGTTCAATTTCAAGACAGTTTTGATTCAGTTTTCGTTAAATTTTAAAACAGTTTTCGTTTCAATTTCAGGGCAGATATAGATTCAATTTCAATGCAGTTTTTTTCGATGTAGATTCAGTCCAATTTCAAGTCAATTTTCGATTTGATTTTAGTTTGATTCCAAGTCAATTTTCGATTCACTTTCAATTAAATTTCACTGCAGTTTGTTTTTGATTAAGATTCAGTCCAATTTCAAGACAGTTTTCGATTTAATTTAAATTCAATTTCAATACAGTTTTTGATTCAGGTTTTGTTAAATTTTAAGTCAATTTTGGATACAGTCTCAATTCAATTGTAATGCAGTTTTTTTCGATTAAGATTCAGTCCAATTTCAAGAAAGTTTACGGTTAAATTTCAGTTCAACTTTAAGACAGTTTTTGATTCAGTTTTTGTTACAGTTTAATGCAGTTTTCGATTTAGTTTCAAGGGAGATATCGATTCAATTTCAATTCAATTTTCGATTTGATTTCAGTTTGATTCCAAGTCAGTTTTCAATTCAGTTTCAGTTCAATTTCAAGTAAATCTACGATTCAGTTTCAATTCAATTACAATGCATTTTTTACTATGAAGATTAAGTCCAATTTAAGACAGTTTTCGTTTTAATTTCAGTTCAATTTCAAGACAGTTTTGATTTAGTTTTCGTTAAATTTTAAAGCAGTTTTCGATTCAGTTTCAAAATAATTTTTATCTTGAAATTGAACTGAAATTGAATCGAAATTTGCGTTGTAATTGAATCGCCCCTGAGTGTCGTCACTCACCGCGTCAGTGCAGGCTATGCCCTCCGCCTTGAGCGCGTGCCTGTTGTCGGTCTCTTTGCTTATGATGGTCCTGAGCACGGGCAGCGCCGCGTCCAGCACCGACGGGGAGACGCGCCCGTCCTGAGAGTGTCGTCACTCACCGCGTCAGTGCAGGCTATGCCCTCCGCCTTGAGCGCGTGCCTGTTGTCGGTCTCTTTGCTTATGATGGTCCTGAGCACGGGCAGCGCCGCGTCCAGCACCGACGGGGAGACGCGCCCGTCCTGAGAGTGTCGTCACTCACCGCGTCAGTGCAGGCTATGCCCTCCGCCTTGAGCGCGTGCCTGTTGTCGGTCTCTTTGCTTATGATGGTCCTGAGCACGGGCAGCGCCGCGTCCAGCACCGACGGGGAGACGCGCCCGTCCTGAGAGTGTCGTCACTCACCGCGTCAGTGCAGGCTATGCCCTCCGCCTTGAGCGCGTGCCTGTTGTCGGTCTCTTTGCTTATGATGGTCCTGAGCACGGGCAGCGCCGCGTCCAGCACCGACGGGGAGACGCGCCCGTCCTGAGAGTGTCGTCACTCACCGCGTCAGTGCAGGCTATGCCCTCCGCCTTGAGCGCGTGCCTGTTGTCGGTCTCTTTGCTTATGATGGTCCTGAGCACGGGCAGCGCCGCGTCCAGCACCGACGGGGAGACGCGCCCGTCCCGAGCCACGCCCAATACCACTTGTTCCAGCGAGAACATGGTAGGCTCGCACGATTCTTTGACTTCCTATAAAAGATGGTAAATATATAAAACGGAAGACGGTTTCCGGCGGCGACGAAACATGTATCGTTTGAAAGCTTGTTTTATATTATACCACAAACAAATGCTATTTTTTTATTAATGCCCCGATAAATTTTAAATCGTGTTTAAAATTGATCAAATTTGCAAGGATGCTAGCCATCCTGTCAAAAGTAACGACGTTTTTTTGGTGCGTAGTACAACGATATTAAAAACCCTAGATATATCACGTACGCTCAAAATGTGTCCCAATCAAGAAGTGCTTGAACTCCACTCAAGCACTTCTTGGTTCACAGTCACGCGCGTACCGTTACAAAGTCAAGATGTCAAAATGCGAAAAACATACTTATAATACGGAAATCCGGGCGAATGTACAGACCATTATACTACCGCAGCCGATTTCTCGATTTTCCGTGTCGATTCTTTCTAGCCTTTCTTTAATTTCAAAGTTGTTGGTGTAGAAACTTCTCCATTAAAAGTTATGTGATAGAGATAGTCTCGAGTGTTGAAATAACATCGGAATTTAGTAAATTTAAGTGAACAGAGACAAAAACACTAATGAAGTAAAGCAATTTTAAACATTGTTTTTATTAATAAGGCATTATTAAAAACGTTGACTTAAGTAAGTAATATATTTTATTTTCAAGCATTTAATTGCTAGATACTTAAATCTAAACAAAACTTTACTATAAAAAAATCCACGCGGACCAGGCAGCAGACGGGAATCGTTACCTTCGCTATCCGGGCTACCTTATGCCTTCGTTAATGCTGTCATTAAATTTGAGCTTTAGTCAACGTTATCAAGCTTGTTATCTAACGCTGTCATTAGATTTGAGCTTTTGTCAACTTTATCAAGCTTGTTATGTAATGCTGTCATTAGATTTGAGCATTTGTCAACTTTATCAAGCTTGTTATCTAACGCTGTCATTAGATTTGAGTTTTTGTCAACGTTCCCAAGCTTGTTATCTAATGCTGTCATTAGATTTGAGCCTTTGTCAACGTTATCAAGCTTGTTATGTAATGCTGTCATTAGATTTGAGCTTTTAACGCTGTCATTAGATTTGAGCTCTTGTCAACGCTATCAAGCTTGTTATCTAATGCTGTCATTAGATTTGAGCTTTTGTCAACGTTATCAAGCTTGTTATGTAATGCTGTCATTAGATTTGAGCTTTAGTCAACGTTATCAAGTTTGTTATCTAACGCTGTCATTAGATTTGAGCTTTTGTCAACTTTATCAAGCTTGTTATGTAATGCGGTCATTAGATTTGAGCTTTTGTCAACTTTATCAAGCTTGTTATCTAACGCTGTCATTAGATTTGAGCTTTTGTCAACGTTCCCAAGCTTGTTATCTAATGCTGTCATTAGATTTGAGCCTTTGTCAACGTTATCAAGCTTGTTATGTAATGCTGTCATTAGATTTGAGCTTTTAACACTGTCATTAGATTTGAGCTCTTGTCAACGTTATCAAGCTTGTTATCTAATGCTGTCATTAGATTTGAGCTTTTGTCAACGTTATCAAGCTTGTTATCTAACGCTGTCATTAGATTTGAGCTCTTGTCAACGTTATCAAGCTTGTTATCTAATGCTGTCATTAGATTTGAGCTTTTGTCAACGTTATCAAGCTTTCTTACCTAATGCTGTCATTAGATTTGAGCTTAAGTCAACGTTATCAAGCTTGTTATGTAATGCTGTCATTAGATTTGAGCTCTTGTCAACGTTATCAAGCTTGTTATCTAATGCTGTCATTAGATTTGAGCTTTTGTCAACGTTATCAAGCTTGTTATCTAACGCTGTCATTAGATTTGAGCTTTTGTCAACGTTATCAAGCTTGTTATCTAACGCTGTCATTAGATTTGAGCAGTAATCAACGTTATCAAGCTTGTTATCTAATGCTGTCATTAGATTTGAGCTGTTATCAACGTTATCAAGCTTGTTATCTAATGCTGTCATTAGATTTGAGCTGTAGTCAACGTTATCACACTTGTTATCTAATGCTGTCATTAGATTTGAGCTGTAGTCAACGTTATCAAGCTTGTTATCTAATGCGGTCATTAGATTTGAGCTGTAGTCAACGTCATCATCGTCGTCTAATGCTGTCATTAGATAACAAGCTTGATAACTCTCACGTTACGTAATAAAGAGGCAAGTGCTTTACGATGGCATTCATACACGTCAAGAAATTTTATTCATGTCAAAACCGTCGTCTTTTATTGTTGCCTATACAAAGAAAAGGACTGCCACCAATTTCATAATTAACAAAATTATCTAATGTTTCTAATGTTTAAAAACAGATTTATCAAGTGTTTGCAAAGAATTAGAAACAATATGGAATACAAACTGCTATAAAAAATGGTTCCACGCAGACTGCGATCAACTGCGGGGCGAAACACTGCGATCAACCCGTCGATCATAAGATTGGTTGGGATATCCGTTTAAAATTATCTTACCCAATGAATGAATAGACGACTGCATTAGCAGGAATTCGATTTGTCAAAGTATTGTTTTGTCTGTATGCGTATCGCGTTAGTAATGAGGTTTCGTTGTATGAGTTTTTAACCACGTTTAAGCTGCCTTTGTCAGACAGTAATGCTTCCATATCATTTCTATCTATTATAGAGATAGGCGTTCTCAGATATTTGTGAAATCGATGCGCATCGGTATCAGTTAAATCGCATCCGATGCGCGCATCGATGCCAAGTGAATGTCAGTATCGTAGTATCACAGGATACGATGCGATACGAATTACGACAGATGCGTGTTTTGTGTGGGTGTGTTTCTTGGATATCATGAATCATGACTTGAAATTGTAATCGAAACTATTTATTTACTTTCCGGTATGGCAACTGAAAATATTGAATGCTGGCATAATTATTTCATAAAAAATTACATTCAGAGCGTAGATTTTGAACGCAGTCCAGTGCCACAAATATTTCTGTGCCGGTGGCAATAATTTCAACTATAATTTATAGATAGCTTTTTGACATTTGCATGACATATTTGTTCACCGCTAGCGACATCTCCACCGGCACAGATAAGTTAGTGGCACTGTTGCTATAGTAACGATGACAAAAACTAGATGGCATCTTTATTCAATAACGGCATCGTTATCGCGCATCGTTATTTTAAAAGCGCCCACCAATAATTTATTATAGCCTTAGATTAAAACAAAAAGAGAAGATACGGCACTCGCGGCTCAAAAGTGATCCGCTTAAATTGTGGTGCATGACCACAATCCTCTTCAACTCACACGCCCACCCAGATGACAGAAGCCTTAAGGTGGCCATCAGAGGCCTGCCTACTAAGACGAAGCCGCAAGACATTGCTGAGGCCCTCACTGAACACGCCCGGATGGGCGCGAGTAGGCCGCACCGGATGCCTTTACTTTGCCTCGCTACGCTGAACCCCGATACCATCCCAGCCATTTACTCTGTAAGTGACTTGTTATATATGACCGGAGTTCAAATAGAGGCCTGGAGAGGAAGAAAGACCCCCGCGCAGTGCCACCGCTGCCAGGATTTCTGCCACTCCAGCCACGGATGTCACCGCCCGCTTGCCAGGCACGCACCCCGCCACTTAGGGTCAATTCACACGTACCACAACCACACCACAGCCACAACCGCACCATAACGACGCTATGTGGTCGGGCGTATATTTCGTATTAAAAATTAATATTATAATTTACACGTACCACATTTTGCCGTTGTTATCGACCACCTGTGTGATACGACCACATCGCAACCGCATCGCGACGGCAACGCCACCACCGGCGGCGGCACCGCGGCCGCATCGCCACGACATGACGTCATCTTTCCTCCATGACTACGTTCAGTCAAGCCGCGTTTCCTCCACGAAAGCCGGAGTATAACTGCACGCGACCACGCGGTTACCATATCGCAACGACGGGGACTACGCAACCGCATCGACATTTCGTCGGTACCAGAACGCAACTGCAAAAAGCCGCTGCGACACTATTCACACGTAACCACAGCTCGACCACATTTCGTCGCTGCGACGTGGTGTGGTACGTGTGAATCGACCTTTACAGCGCGTGCCCTGCCAAACATCGCGAGGCAGAAGCGTTCACGTCGGCCACGTTAATGGCCCCCGCGAACGCTCCTCCCTCGCGTAAGCCCCGTCGAGGGAGCAAACCATCGCCGACGGACACGCCCGCCGCAGCCCCACCAGGGGGCCAATCGCCTAACTGGATTGCTTTGGAAAACGCTATCGCTTACGATTTCATTTTGTTATTTCTAGCCCCCTGAGGTTTTCAAATGACACGCGCTCTTTTTTTGACGTGACAACGTCTTAAATTAGGTTGCGGCTGGGAGTCACTTATGAAAAAGTGTAACGCTCGGTAACGTTACGATGAGTCTCTCGTGTTAAGTTTAAGTTTACATGTACAATGTTTTAGTAAACAAAATATATTTCTATAGTTAAAATTTGTGCAATTCTTATTTTCATTCAATTCCTTGTTCCTATTGTGCAATTTAATTATATTCATATCAATAAATATTCTACCGAGAAAAAGACGTTGTCACGTAAAATCTTCACCCGTAAAACCGACTTTACAGGCAACCATTTTTTTCTTTTGCATTGGTAATAACAATGTTAAAGAAAATGAGCGTGAGGTATTTCGGCGGTTAGAAATAACAAAATGAAATCGTAAGCGATAGCGTTTTCCAAAGCAATCCAGTTAGGCGATTGGCCCCCAGCTGACAAGCAAAGATGGCGACCGCACCAGACGAGACCGGCCACCGCCCGCCCGAGAGGAAGATGCGACAGCCCGGTTGATTCTACAGCTCACCGAATTGCTAACGGAATTTGCGAAAAAGTTCGGGCAGTCCGGTAAAACTTTTTTCGCACCCACCCCCGGATACGCCGCTACCCCCTCGCGCTACTGGGCCTCCCTCATGGGTCTCGCCCGGTGGGCTCGACCGCGCCGAGGGCGACGCGAAGCGGAGGCGGGGGTGACCACCCCAACGACCGTCTCGTCCGAAGACCAGGGGGCCAATCGCCTAACTGGATTGCTTTGGAAAACGCTATCGCTTACGATTTCGTTTTGTTATTTCTAACCGCCGAAATACCTCACGCTCATTTTTTTTAACATTGTTATTACCAATGCAAAAGAAAAAAAAAGAGCGCGAGGCATTTGAAAACCTCAGGGGAATAGAAATAACAAAATGAAATCGTAAGCGATAGCGTTTTCCAAAGCAATCTGGTTAGGCGATTGGCCCCCAGATGCGAACCCGCCACCTCTGTAGTGAGCAACCGCTCAGATCAGATCCCCGCACGCCGCGGCGCCTTCGACGACGATGAGAATCCTCTTCGGTCACAATTGAACATTCAAAAACACTGCATGTGCACTCAATATAACAATATTGCGTATATTCTGTGTTATAAAGATAAAACAATGCCTTAGATACTTTTATCAAGAACACAAATTGTTCAAAATCAAATAACAAATGCCTCGGCAACACTTCTCATTCATAAAACTGTTAAATCATTTTTTTCTCAAAAATCACGGTATGTCGTGAATGTTATTTACGTAATCGCCATTTTGTTATCAAGAAAAGGACAACAATACAGCTCAGCCGTTCGCACTCGGAAGCTGATCCGCCGCTTCGCTCGCTCTGCGTTGAAGCGTACAGTTCTCTCGCTCGCTCGATTGAACGTTATTTACAGACGTGTGCGTGTGTGAGAGTTGCTTATGTAGTTGAGTCGGATCATATTTTATTTGATGCTAGTATGAGCGTACCGTATCTTCCCTTTTTGTTTTAATCTAAGATTATAGCAAATACATTCTACAATGCGAAGAGATGGCGCTGCCTTGCAGCTTAAGGCTAGGAAAATTTCGACGCGGCTAATAGGGCCGTGGTAGCATAATGGTCAGTGTATTCGCCCGGATTGCGAATGGTGCGGGTTCGAGTCCCGTCCGCTGCCTGGTCCGCGTGGATTTCTTTCTAGTAAACTTTTCTTTAGATTTAAACATCTAGCAGTTAAATGCTTAAAAAATAAATGAAAACATAACTATAAAATTGCTATTTCTTCTTTCAAATGTTTAATACATGAAAAAATATTCATTTGACATTGTGGGTTACCTACAATGCGAAGAGATGGCGCTGCCTTGCAGCTTAAGGCTAGGAAAATTTCGACGCGGCCAATAGGGCCGTGGTGGCATAGTGGTCAGTGCATTCGCCCGGATTGCGAAAGGTGCGGGTTCGAGTCCCGTCCGCTGCCTGGTCCGCGTGGATTTTTCTAGTAAACTTTTCTTTAGATTTAAACATCTAGCAGTTAAATGCTTAAAAAATAAATGAAAACATAAATACATTCGAGTTTATAATACTATTTCTTTAAACATATACCTGAAATACTTGCGTCATGCTGTCTAACCACGAAGCCGTTGCGAAGTAAACGCTCTCAGACTGAGTATAACCCGTGCATATCGAACAGGAATACGCCTTCGGAAATACGAAAATGAATTCGCCTGGATTCTGTACGACGCGGCTTAGAGAGACATTGTGCTCGCGCAATAAACTGGGCGGTATCATGGTGATGTCTGAAGGCAGCCAGATGGATTTGTTTTGGCAGGATGTGGGGCATAATGTCTCGACGGCTTTGCGGAAGTTGCCGCTTTGCTCGTCGGGTATGCCGTACCTGGCAAGGAAATATATGTAAATCAATAATAAAAATTTCTAACCAATTGGTTTAGCCCGATAATAAGCAATATTAATTTCAAATAGGTAGTGTGCTTTCGGCTGTGATTGTTGAGATTAAGCAAATTTCGCAGTGGTCGGTCATTGGATGGGTGACTAAAAATTTGTGCTTTGGAAGGCACGTTAAGCCGTTGGTGCCGGCTGCAATTGCAGACATTAGCACCCGCTAATTGGCATTGGGTCGGCGTGATGGGCATTACCTACTAATTATCCATTACGATTATGGATCAACAGATTACGTTAAAAATTAGTGTTTGGGTCAGCGGGCATGCTACACGGTACACCGTCACGGTACTAGTGCCAGTGCCCCAGTGCCCCAGTGCCCCACACTCACCATATAGTGGGCGGGCCCGCGTGCACGTAGTCGGCCCAGGGCAGGGCGTGCGGGTCCCGGTGCCAGCAGCTGGTGGACAGCACCATGCCCACGTGCAGAGTGGGCACCGTCACGGTACTAGTGCCAGTGCCCCAGTGCCCCAGTGCCCCACACTCACCATATAGTGGGCGGGCCCGCGTGCACGTAGTCGGCCCAGGGCAGGGCGTGCGGGTCCCGGTGCCAGCAGCTGGTGGACAGCACCATGCCCACGTGCAGAGTGGGCACCGTCACGGTACTAGTGCCAGTGCCCCAGTGCCCCAGTGCCCCACACTCACCATATAGTGGGCGGGCCCGCGTGCACGTAGTCGGCCCAGGGCAGGGCGTGCGGGTCCCGGTGCCAGCAGCTGGTGGACAGCACCATGCCCACGTGCAGAGTGGGCACCGTCACGGTACTAGTGCCAGTGCCCCAGTGCCCCAGTGCCCCACACTCACCATATAGTGGGCGGGCCCGCGTGCACGTAGTCGGCCCAGGGCAGGGCGTGCGGGTCCCGGTGCCAGCAGCTGGTGGACAGCACCATGCCCACGTGCAGAGTGGGCACCGTCACGGTACTAGTGCCAGTGCCCCAGTGCCCCAGTGCCCCACACTCACCATATAGTGGGCGGGCCCGCGTGCACGTAGTCGGCCCAGGGCAGGGCGTGCGGGTCCCGGTGCCAGCAGCTGGTGGACAGCACCATGCCCACGTGCAGAGTGGGCACCGTCACGGTACTAGTGCCAGTGCCCCAGTGCCCCAGTGCCCCACACTCACCATATAGTGGGCGGGCCCGCGTGCACGTAGTCGGCCCAGGGCAGGGCGTGCGGGTCCCGGTGCCAGCAGCTGGTGGACAGCACCATGCCCACGTGCAGAGTGGGCACCGTCACGGTACTAGTGCCAGTGCCCCAGTGCCCCAGTGCCCCACACTCACCATATAGTGGGCGGGCCCGCGTGCACGTAGTCGGCCCAGGGCAGGGCGTGCGGGTCCCGGTGCCAGCAGCTGGTGGACAGCACCATGCCCACGTGCAGAGTGGGCACCGTCACGGTACTAGTGCCAGTGCCCCAGTGCCCCAGTGCCCCACACTCACCATATAGTGGGCGGGCCCGCGTGCACGTAGTCGGCCCAGGGCAGGGCGTGCGGGTCCCGGTGCCAGCAGCTGGTGGACAGCACCATGCCCACGTGCAGAGTGGGCACCGTCACGCCCAGCACTGGGCCCATGGAGCGGAGCACGTTGCCGGGGTTCTGGCTCAGCATCTGCCAAAATATACGGACTTCATTTATATTGATTTCTAATCAAAGTAATCAAACAATAGGGTATTTGACAAGTTTTAGAAAACGATCTCCCGTTATTGACTAATGTTTATGGAGTCCGTAAAAAGTGGATATTCATCATTCAGTTGTGTATTTCAGTAAAAATAACCATATCAAACACTGCATTTTCAAGCTGCCGCGAAAACGTTTTTCTGGACAATATGGCGACTTACAAGTGTGCAACGTCACACGACTGTTATTAAAACGTCAAACGATACAATGTAATGTCACTTAAACCGGAAGTTTACTTGCGTGTGACGTCATTTTAGGCTCCGCAAATACCAAGCGTTTTGAATCACGTGACAATAGATAAGAAAACTATTATCTTATTCGTGGATTTTTAGTAGAATTATGAATATTTTTTTGTAAAAATAGTAAAAACCCCTGCCAATATTCATCCTTAACACAGATGCTAACAATTGGCACTTTATTTTTAATACTGTCAAATACCCTATTATAGAACAGCATTTTAAATTATGAAAAATAAACGAAAGAACAAAATTAGTCACACATTTTTTATACTTAGGACTAATTTCTCAAACAATGAATTAAATTTATCTGTCTCATATCGTAATATACGGACGAAATTGTGTTCATCGGTGTAATATGACGGATGACATTTCTCTCTATTTGATTGAGTATAAATTTATTAAACGGATAAGTTTTACCTAAGTTTAAAAAATTGACCCTTAGTCAAATAAAAACAACAAAGGAGATGGAAAACGGTGAACCCAAATGTAATAAGTTGAGATATGATCTGAAAAATTAGTCATATTTTTTTACCTAAAAATATGAAAAATCACTTTAATTCTCGATCAGGAAGCGGAGAAATATGAAAAAAAATAGTTTACGTTAGATTATTGATTAAGTAATCGATTAGACAGTTACGAAAATAAAACTTTTGCACTAAACAATTAACTCAAAATAATTAAAAGCAATATATATACTTATATGCAATATAGTGCATATAATTACAATCATATTAATAAATCAAATAACAATTAATTATTAAAAACCAATATTAGTGATCATTAATTCTAATCTCTCATACATGTCACTGACATGACAGCTGACTGACATTGACACTAAACAGTTGCCGACGGTTCTTGCTTGCTACTCGTTTCGTGTTTTGCGTGCTTTCCCGATTATTCGTCATTTTTCACGACCACTGCTATGTATTTTACGGATTCTGACCATGCCTACACCACCGAAGGAAACCGAGAATCGCTCACACGTTTGACTTGGAATTGTTATTTTGGATTTTACCGCCGGCATGTGGATTGGATATTATTCAAACTATGAATCGCTGTGTGAATTGTGGGATAACCACTGGTCACAGCAGTATACTGGGCCGACGACCCTTACACGGTGAAATAATTTTATCCGTGATTCGGCAATGGCTTGCACCTTAGTCTGTTAGTAAATATAACCTCATCTAACCAGCTATCATCCTGGCAGGTTTAAAATACTTATAATTAAAAGGAGATTGTTTACAGTTATGGCAAAGAATTATTTTTTATCAAAAAATGTTATAATACCCAATAGCTAATTAGGTATTGTTTATGTAGCTGTAGATTAATAAAAATGTTCCATTTTTAGGTAAGCAGTAGTAACTGTGTTTGTCAAGCGTGATGGGACTTGGCTCAAAGCCCACATGTCGATGACCAAAGAAGACCACTAGGCCACCGTAATGTTTGCTGTCTTGTATCGCGAACCCACCACCTACTTTATACCTGCACAATTTCTGGACGACATTTTAATTATAATAGTAGACGAATAAAACACTATATTAAATGATTTTTACTTTATTTTAGATATCTTTTCGCTATCTCCTTACCTGTTACCTACTAGTGATGTAACGAATGTCATTTTTGAACATTCGCGAATGCGGATGCGAATGTCTGGTACCGACATTCGTGAATGCGAATATTTAGTTTTTTTTTAAATTGGCGCCAATTGTCTATGGCATGGTGGCAGTCTCGTTCGAATTACCAAGTTGATATGAACTTATCCGACTGAAGTGTCATTCCGCTCGCGCCGGTCTTTCCGTAAACAAAACAAGTTAATTTTGAGGTTAGTGATTGTGAATGGTAATAGTGATTTATTAACATGAGTAAATCGAATTCTAGTGAATCATGGACTTATTTCACACTTTGCGATGCTGAACGAGCTAAATGCAAACTGTGTAACAATGAATATTCAAGGTAAGGCAGAACTACAACTGCTTCAAATTGTTTTTTTCTAATATTCATATTCGCAAAACATTCGGAGAGATTTTGCGAATGCGAATGTGAATGCGAATATTCAAAAATATGCAAATATTCGTTAATGCGAATGTGAACGCTATTCGCACATCGTTACATCATTATTACCTACCTACCGCTTGAAGTCGTTGACGTTCATTCATATGATTTCTCAAACATGTTCTAGTAAAATAACTATTAGCGCAAGAGAACACATTTTTCACTTCACGAATGAGCTGTTAGTTAAAGATTGTAACATAACCTCACTTTTACTTAATCTCTTATATCTCTGTTCTCAGATTGACAAAAGCCGCAGAATTTTCAGTGAAAGGTTGATAATATATAGGTTGATAAGCTATTAAATGACACCACTTTCATCTTCTTACACCTGTGCCCAGGATTGTATGTAATCGTTTCAGTCTCTTTTGATGCTTTGAAGCTAAAAAATAATTAACTACTAACAATCGCCCCCGCCTCCATCCACGTTAACTTATATTTATGAAGATCCCAAAGTAACCAAATTTTTTTCCGGAATAAAAACATACTATATCTCAATTCTCAGATGACGACCTCCGTGGCCGAGTGGTTTGTACGCCGGGTTTCATGGCGTTGCCGACCGAGAGGTCCCGGGTTCGAATCCTGGTGGGGACAGATGTTTGTGTGATGAACACGAGCATTTGTAGTCCAGTCATGGATGTTTAATATGTATTTCTATACAAATATATATGTAAAGTATATGTATTCTATCCGTTACCCTAGTATCCCATAACACAAGCCTTATAGTGCTTACTTTGGGGCTAGACTAATTGGTGTGAGTGTTGGAAATATTTATTTATTAAATATTTATATTTAATTTACGCCATTAACTATATGCATACAAAATCTCACCCAAATCTGTTTAATATTTTTTACCCCATTGTGTTACAACAAACATACAAACTTATATTATAAAATTTATAATTTTACTAATTTCATTTTCTTTTTTCAAAACGATCGGAAGATCTGCTAAATTCTGTCTCTCTTCTCACCTTCAGATTCCACGGGTGTCTCCCGTACGGATCGGCCTTGTTCTTGGTGAAGCCGTGGCCATCTTCTCCAGTGTCTATGGAAGCAGCATTAACGCACACGTGCTCGGTGCCCAGCAACACGAGGCGCCAATACTCCCGCTCCACCTCCGAGGGGGACGGCTGCTCACTATTGGGGAATAGGGTCTCCATAGCACTGTTCGCTACCTAACAAAATAACCAAATAATTGTATACAAAAATCTTTATATCTCACTAGCGGCCCGCCCTCGCTTCGCTTCGGTGTAGAGCTGAAGTGTAGACTACAGTTTTCAAGTTTATATTATATACAATGACATTCATCTATGATTCTTCTTATTCGCTATGTGCGAAGTACATGGTGGGGGTATAGTGAAGCGATCGCAGCGCTTATAGTGGCAGAAATACGCAACAATCCGGGAAAGTAAAGTCAATTTGCACGGAGTTCGTAATAAACAAAAATTTTTTAAAATGCCTATTAATAGATGTTGTTGTGTTGTGAATTGCAAAAATAAGGGCACAAATAGTCTGTGTATATATTTCCTACATTGGACTGGAAATTAAATCAAAGAAATAAATGGATAGATGCCATAAAAAGAAATAAGTAAGCGAAATAACCTTAAATTATGATCAATTTTATTTGCGCTATATATTTTATGTGATATTCATTATTGTCTTTATTATTTTAGTGTTGATGGGTCGCCATGGTATCCCAAACCTGACGACACAATTTGTAGTGAACATTTTATGGGAAACAAAAAATCAGACGAGGAAGAAAATCCGAGTTATGCTCCTACGATATTCCCTGAAATATATCGAAAGAGGAAGGTTAATGATTCACAGGTCCTAGCTAGATATACACGCTTGACAAAACGAAGAACCACAAAAGTCTCAGATACCACATCAAGTCAAATAATAATTGAAGAAGGGAGTGAATTAAATCAAACTCAACCTTTTATGATCGATCAAGGATGTCAAGTCAATATGTTTTCTGAATCGAAATTAAGAGATACAACTTTTATTTGTATTAGATTAATTTACAGTGATCACTGTGATCCAACATCAAGAATTTTAATGACAAATAATTCAAGAAAGAAAGATAAAAGCTGTGGCACTGACAAAAAATCGTATGAGGATCAATCTACCGAAACAAAAAGTCAAGAATTTGTTGGTATTTCATCAATAACAAATGATCAAGAACTCCTAGATCCTTCTGGTGTGTCATTTAGCAATTTTGAGTTTTTATTAACAAGATTAACTATGAGAAAATGTACAGTTTCCACTAAAGACCGACTTCTGATTTTTTTGATAAAAATGAAAACTGGCTTGACATTTTCAGCATTGAGTGTGTTATTTGGTGTACAAAAAAACCACAATCTCACGTATATTTCATTCGATCTTACAAAATCTAGCTTGTTCAACTGCTAATTTAATCTTTTGGCCGAATAGAGCCACCGTACAAGCACCAATGCCCAAGTGTTTCAGTCCAGATTACATCAATACAAGAGTTATTATTGACTGTACTGAATTCCGAATTGAAATCCGGCATTATTTAAATTATTATACAATATATAATAATTTTTATTTATCTTTACCTTACTATATTTACTAGAAATCAATAAAATACAAACTGATGTTATTATTTGGCATAATCCCGGAAAGTTGCGCATTGTAGGTGGCGCTACTGTCGTGCACATAGCGAATACCTGCATGCAAAGTCTCAGCCCAAAGTTGCATACATACTTTCATTCCCTATTTTATCCCCTTGGGGGTAGAATTGATCAAAATCCTTTCTTAGTGGATGCCTACATCATAACATCTATCTGCATGCCAAATTTCAGCCCGATCCGTCCAGTGGTTTGGGCTGTGCGTTGATAGATCACTATGTCAGTCAGTCACCTTTGAGTTTTATATATATAGATTTCACGTAGAATAACAAAATATGAAAAACCAAGGTGTACACAACGATATTAAATACCCTAGATATATAATACAATATTACCAACAAAATCGTGGCCAAAACTTGTCCAAAAGGTACATTGGACGATCCACGGGACCCGTTAGAGGATAGCGTAGTCAAAAACTATAAAAGGCATTATTTAAACATCGAAAGTCACCTTTATTGCGTACTGTATAAGGTTTTTATTAAAACGCATGCGTCAAAGAGTAATGACAGTTCAAAATACAAGCTCTTAAAATTTACGACTTATTGCTATATGCGGAAGAATATAGACCCTATTTCTTTGATTCTTCGCGCAATTCTGAATGCACTGTTAGTAATATAGTAGGTACGGGCCGCGAGGAAAGGAGACAGCTATATAACCGACCATGCATTTGAACATTACAAATATTTTCTAATTAATCATTTTATAGTAAGTAGTAGAACAATTTTTGCTTCAAATGCGTTAAATTAACAAACATTGATTAGATACCTGTCCAAAACACGATACTTTACGTACTATAAGTATTTCTTTTGCATTTTTTCACGGAGCTCTGCAGCATCTTGACTTTTCGACGGTCCGCGCGTGACTGTGAACCAAGAAGTGCTTGAGTGGAGTTCAAGCACTTCTTGATTGGGTCACATTTTGAGCGCTCGTGGTGTATCTAGGGTATTTAATATCATTGTTCTCGTTACGTCCGTTATGACGCTGCTGTTCAGTTTCCATACAAAATTTGATGATATTTCGCACTCGCAAACTATTCGAATTCGATATTAGTTCGTGCTAAGGGTACAGAACTCAAAGTTTGACATTTTATGTAGAATACTTGCCTAAAGCTCAATATAGATGAAAAAGAGATTTTTTTTTCTATTTTACTCCAGCATGTGACGGTCTAGATATTTTTGAGTATACTATATATTATAATATAAATATTTTTTTTTTATTTTCAATAACAAATAGAAATGGGGGGCCCCGTCCAAGTTGTAATTTTTAGACCATTTTTGTTACGGGGTCTATTTCAAAGTCAAAACTAGTTGGAATGTAAATAGTTTATATCATCGTTCGTTCCAGGTTTGCGCAGTAAACTTTTTCAATGCTTCCATCATTTGTTGGCATTCCTCCAACATCGCACACTCTGAGAAAGACAGCTTTAGGATACATATCTTTTTGAAGGTGCCAGTGTCATGCTGCGTCCAGAAATGACACAATCTTCTGCCTCAACCAGAGTCCACGCCGTATTGTCCTTTTCATAATCATCACTAACTTTTTCACTCCGTCCATCATTTTTTTACGTACCGGGCCGTAGTCTATATATAATATATAATTTTGTGGGCTCCGAATTTCTTTAGCGCGATGTAGAACTTCCATACAGAGTAGGCTGCCAGTAGCGCTACCTCTAGAGAAGGCAAGTGGTGTCTTTCCTACATTTAGCCACAGACCAGTTTTGATCTAACTACATACCTTTTTGAAGGTAGCCAGTGTCATGCTGCGTCCGGAGACAACACAATCTTCTGCTTCAGCCAAAGCCCAGGCCATGTCGTCCTCTTCTTCTGCATCGTCGCTGGAATCGGATTCGCCCAGAAGACGCTTCTGCCTGTGCAACGGGTTCAGGGCTCGTTCGAGCATTTTGCGATTCTTCTTGTCCCAACATCGCTCCACTGCGTCCATCATTTCTTGGCGTTCCTCTGTGGAAAGTCGTTAGTTGTATTTTGAAGTGCAACTTCTTTACGCACGCTTAACTTAGGGGGTAAGCTGGTGAATCCGTTCGCTTCGCCCGTTACGAAGTGTGAACACACTTTCAGTGGGGGATATAAGCAAGAGAAGGAAGTGAGCGCGCATATTTTCTTTCATTTATAGCTAGTAAATGACATATGTATATATTGTACACACACACACATATATATATAATATACTAGCGGCCCGACCTCGCTTCGCTTCGGTGTAGAGCTGAAGTGTAGACTACAGTTTTTGTTCTCAGGCTTGTATTATACACAATGACATTCATCTATGATTCTTCTTATACCTGCATGCAAAGTCTTTGCCCGATCGGTTTAAAATTGACAAAGTTTCATACAAACTTTCACTCCCTATTTACTATCCTCTTGGGGGTAGAATTGATCAAAATCCTTTCTTAGCGGATGCCTACATCATAACATCTACCTGCATGCCAAAGTTCAGCCCGATCCGTCCAGTGGTTTGGGCTGTGCGTTGATAGACCACTAAGTCAGTCAGCTTTGAGTTTTATATATATAGATATATATACTTCAGTCGTGTGATCATAAGCACACTCGTATTTTTTATACGACTACGTTTTATAAACCCACAGTATCCCAAGCACGATCTCAGACATATACGTATTCGTATCAATGTTTTAATGCTCCCCCCCCCCCCCCCCCCCCCTTCCGGACGTATAAACAAACTAGCATTTCCCATAGAAACTTGTACGATGCGAATACTTTCTCACTAGTTATTCGTGCTTGGGATACACAGAAAGAGGTCTATAATTATGTAATCTACCTCTTTTAGTGTTCTGTGGATAAACCTATATTCACATCAACATGCACACAAATACTGAACAAAACACACACAAGAAAAAATACGTGTCCATTATTTTTTGATCATCTAACTGACGGACTAAATAGAATTTCGTTTACTGTACCCCGTCATCATCCCTATTGATGGGGATTAATTTATCAAAAGGCAAACCTAATGTAGGTTGTATGATACCTACCCAAGAGCTGTAATCTGTATGCAATTGTTATGTAAAACTGGACAGATCAGCGAGAGAGAGAGAGAGAGAGAGAGAGAGAGAGAGACGAAACATTTTGGCAGCCCATAATTTGTCTATATATTGGCAGATTTTTGTCGCTTTCTAGACCGTTTTTTGACAATTTCATACGAGTGTCACTCAGTGGTGTGTATTGTATCTGACGGTCTATTTTAAAACTATAGACTACCCTAATTGGCATTAGTGTTGGAAATGTTGATTTTTAATACTCACGTGTGGATAATGTATCGTAGGGCAGTAGATACTTAGTGTTAGTAATGTTGATGTCTTTATACTCACGTGTGGATAATGTATCATAAGGCAGTAGATACTTAGTGTTAGTAACGTTTATGTCTTTATACTCACGTGTGGATAATGTATCATAAGGCAGTAGATACTTAGTGTTAGTAATGTTGATGTCTTTATACTCACGTGTGGATAATGTATCATAAGGCAGTAGATACTTAGTGTTAGTAATGTTGATGTCTTTATACTCACGTGTGGATAATGTATCATAAGGCAGTAGATACTTAGTGTTAGTAATGTTGATGTCTTTATACTCACGTGTGGATAATGTATCATAAGGCAGTAGATACTTAGTGTTAGTAATGTTGATGTCTTTATACTCACGTGTGGATAATGTATCATAAGGCAGTAGATACTTAGTGTTAGTAATGTTGATGTCTTTATACTCACGTGTGGATAATGTATCATAAGGCAGTAGATACTTAGTGTTAGTAATGTTGATGTCTTTATACTCACGTGTGGATAATGTATCATAAGGCAGTAGATACTTAGTGTTAGTAATGTTGATGTCTTTATACTCACGTGTGGATAATGTATCATAAGGCAGTAGATACTTAGTGTTAGTAATGTTGATGTCTTTATACTCACGTGTGGATAATGTATCATAAGGCAGTCAGTAATACTCACGTGTGGATAATGTATCATAAGGCAGTAGATACTTAGTGTTAGAAATGTTGATTTCTTTATACTCACGTGTGGATAATGTATCATAAGGCAGTAGATGCTTAGTGTTAGAAATGTTGATGTTTTTATACTCACGTGTTGATAATGTATCATAAGGCAGAAGATACTTAGTGTTAGAAATGTTGATTTTTTTATACTCACGTGTGGATAATGTATCGTAGGGCAGCAGATACTTCACGTACAATTGATCCAGTCTTTTCTCTGCGTTCGGAGCCCTAGTATAATGCATCTCCTCGGCCACGCGGCCCCACCGTTTTTTTTCTATGACGTTCTTCAATCCGCCGTTACGTTGAACTATGTGGTAGAGCTTCGGTAGATTAACCTCGATACCTTCGTACTGCGTGAGGAAAAAACGATAAGTTTATTTTCCATTAAACCCAAAACAGAAAGGTACAGAAGTCAATCACATGTATGTACTTCAGTTATCATACCTACGCTCGGTCGGATATCCAATTCAATATTCAGGGCTTATTTAATTATATAAAAACATTTTATCTAATAGCCAATTTTTCCATACTATTCTGAACCTGTTGTAGGGTACTTGCTTAATTTTGTCAAGGACTTTATTACGGCACCCTAAGAATAGCTGTTGGTTTTCTTATAATAAAGAAATAAATAATATCTCACCAATGGTGCTCGGGTGAGGGTGACAGAATGTGCCGCAAGATAAGCACGAATGGCGCAAGTCTCCCGAGCTGCGGCACCCCATCTTCTGTACAATCTTGCTACGTATTGGTTGGACACATTGAACCGAATCTCGTCCGAAACGGAGCATGAGGGACGGAAACTGTTCGGAGCCACCACTTTGCAGAGGCCGAATTTGGCAGCGGTGGCGGATATCTTCTCGAAGTAAGCTATCGGATCCTGTGGGGAAGAGATTGTTTTGTTAGATGGAAGCGGAGAATATAGGACACAGGCCTAAGCATGTTTTTGGAGTTTACTCCTTAAGAATCGATTTGCATATATAAGGTGCCCGGTATGAGAAAAATGTGAGGAGTGAAATCTATCGATGAACGACCTCGTTACGTTTTTACTGTCTACGCTGTAGCAGCCGTAGTGCTACACCGTAGCACAGTATCGCAGCGTACCTTTATTTATGCACATCTGAAATTGACTATTGTAAAAAGTTTAATGTAAAATATTTCGTCGATTAGTTATAATAAATGTATATAAAATGAATAAATATATATTTATATATGTATATTATTTTCATTAATTTGTTAATTTAAACTTTCATACAGTATCAATCTTTTTTAAGTTAAACAAACTCTTTTTGCGTCTGGTTAGACTATCGAACTTAAGACGTAAACTCCAGTCGTGCGTCGGAGCTGACACACCAAATAGCCTAGCCTAGCCCCAAAGTAAGCACTGTAAGGTTTGTGTAACTGTACATATATAAGTATATTTATATAGAAATACATATTAAACATCCATTACTGAAGTCTCTCATCCTCACCGGGATTCGAACCCGGGACCTCTCGAGTCGGTGACACCATGAAACCCGGCGTACAAACCACTCGGCCACGGAGGTCGTCGTTTTCGGTCGGTTCGAGGTTGTCATTTTGACAGCTCCGTAATCGTATTGTCACCGTCAAATTTTGTATGGAAGGGGATAGTTTGTTCGCACGTCCTGTAGGGGCGCTGCTTACTTTTAATGGAAACTCTGACGTGCAATACAGAAAAAATGGGTGCGTGTACTTATGTAGGCGCGTGAGAAGTTATTCTTCTTTGGCATCGTTTAAAATTAGTTTTTAATAGCATGCAAATAATTAATAACAACAAATTAATAAAAAGTCTGGAAAAGGACACAGTCAATAAAGTTCAGTTTTAATTTGAAAAAATAAATAAATAATCAAAATATTCAATTAAAATCGCTACTGAATATAATTTATTAGAACATATGTGATTTGCACTTGTATGAAACTCAAACACGTATTCCGAATATACAAACTAGAAACATGTGGATAAATATTATAAATATGAATACCTATAACTGTTACTTTATTACAAAAAATAAAGATGTGGTTTTTGGTTCTACTACACCAATGGTCAAGAGATGGCGCTGTAGTCTCCTGAATCGCGCTTTGGTTCCGTTGTTCCAGATTAATAAATACTTTTGATAGGCCTTCACAATGCAGTCGTTAGCACCCACTAAATAGAGATTCTATTTCTTGTATTTCTGTTAATATTTTGTGTTACACTGATGCGCGCGCATCTTAAAATTTCACTCTCATCATTTTTTCATAACGCGCCTAAAGAAGTATAACTTCAATAATGGAGCTGTTAAAATTCGCGCTCGGGCCTCTGGTTTTGTAATTGTAAGTCTTTCTGCGATCCTTTTCAAAGCTAAAGTAGCAATGTGACGTAATTCATCTCTTTTCCGAATATAAAATGTAACGACAGAGACACAGAAAGAAAGAAAGTAAAGCAACATAGCCGCAGGGTTAGTTAAAAAAATAAAAATGTTTATAAGGAAAAGAAAAATTTACACATCTGTTGCTTTAGATTTTGAGTTTTATAACGATGGAACCGAGGGCTGATTATATTACTTTAAGTCTTTCCATGATTTATTTAAAATCTAAATCCAGTTTTATATGACATAATCATTTTCCAAATATTAAATGAATGAACGGGATCGTAAAAAGAGTAAATGTTACACAAGTAAAGCCGTGAAACATTAGAAATTGTGTAAAAACGGTTAAATATTGTCACAAACGCACAGTGTATTATGAAACCCATTTTTCGGACGTCTGCTTTTTATTACAAAATCCTGAAGTTTCAATCATTTAAAACGCTAGAGTAGCACTCCAGAGTATCAAAAACGCTTAGTTTTGGAAAAAAAATATTTGAAAATCTGATTTTTTTTGCGGATATTTTTTTAGAAAAATTCCTTCTCCCTAAAGCAAACATATTTTAAATATATGTCATAAGTGATATGAAAGCACTTTACAAGCTTCATCTTTAAGAGCTATTAGCGACCTCGTAACTGCCATAGAAAAGGAGAAATTATTATTTTTCAGTTTTTCGTTTTTATTTTATTTTTCAGATAATCCACCGTATTTGGAAAAGTTATCCAGATGAAAATGAAGGTCCTAAATCCTTCTACCTACCACTAAAAAATCACATCCAAATTGCGTGGAGTTTAGAAGCTGTGTTCAATTAAATATTTCGATCAGGGTTGTTACTTTTTTGAATTTTCAATATCCGGAATTTTATCTAAGGTGGGTGGGTGGTTTAAGTCCCACGTGTGGTGTGTAATATAACAAGAAACTATATAATGTTGAAAATACATAATATCATTTAGTTTTAATAAATTATGCAATATGTGAAATGAAAATTCTATTAAGTACCTAAATTTATTTCAAACACAACTTATAAAAGGTACTTGGAGAAGAAAAAATGTACAAATTCCATTGAAAATTGATGGGAAACTACAAACCCTACATTGTGCGTGGTCCGACGTCCGTGCGATTAAAAACAAATTACACGGGCGAAGCAGCTAGCAAGTTACAAGTAACAGCTAGCATTTAAATTATATTACATACCCTATGATTATACCCTAATATTTCGGATATTTTTGAATTTGTGAATAGTGTCAACCCTAATGAAAAAAAACCCGGTTATTTACAAAACAGGCTGTATCATATAGACTCCACGCAATTTGGACGTGATTTGTTTGTGGTAGGTAGTAGGATTTGGGACCTTCATTTTTATTTGGATAACTTTTCCAAATAAGGTGTATTATCTGAATAATAAAATAAAAACGAAAAACTGAAAAAAAGTTATTATACCTGTTCTAAGGTAGCCACAAGGGCGCTAATAGCTCTTAAAGATGAAGCTTGTAAAATGCTTTCTAATAACATTTGTCATATATTCAAAATATATTTGCTTTAAGAGAAGGAATTTTTCTAAAAAAATAACCGGGAAATAAAACCAAATTTTCAAAGATTTTTTTTTCAAAACTAAGCGTTTTTACCACTCTGGAGTGCTACTCTAGCATTTTAAATGATTGAAACTTCAGGATTTTTTAATAAAAAGCAGACGTCCGAAAAATGGGTTTCATAATACACTGTGAAACGCTCTCGAAACGTAACCACGAAAGTACTAGAGATCGAATTTGCCAGATCACCGCGGGTCGGGATAGAGCTCGAGTAAGGCGGCTCATTCTAAAATGAGCCTTATGCAGTGCGGCGTAAGGGTGAAAGTGCAACGACATCTGCACTTGTTTACAAGTTATGCGTGTTACCTGTGTAGGTATAAGTAGGTATTTCGTATTCCCAGGTGCTAGTTATTCTCAATTTAACAGGTATATTCTAGAATGCGTCGATCGGCGTATATAAGCGCGATTGGCGCCGCGCAGAGACAGTTGAGTTTCAACAGCGATTTCGGAGCGAATCCAAAGGCGATCAAAGTGCAACAAAAGTTTTCAAGTGAGATTGTTTAAAGACTTGTATAGTGAAATACAGTGTTTAGTGAGTGTTTAGTAATTAGCATTGTGTGAACTGTGTGGTGAATAAAGAACAGTCAAGCGTGAACTGGCATATAATTTCGAACCCCATCCCGACACGTAACAATAAAAAATAAACGATTGCCAAAATCATCATAGCACACACACAATCAGCACAGGCCTTCCCTATGGAATAGGGTGACTGGTTTGTGACCCACGCGGGTCCAGTGCGGATTGGTAGGTGCTAACGACTGCACATGCAGCCGGGACCAACGATTTAACATGTATTTCGAAGCACGGATGAGCTCGAAACAGTTAATTTTATGTCACCCTTCCAATGACCGGCCACTGCGATACTTGCTTCACTTCAACCCGAACCCGCTGATCACTTGCGCCATTTAACTCCTTTCCTCTTCTTATCGATTCGCTAAATGCAGCAATAAATTGGTACGTCATGAAGAGAGGAATAGAAATTCTTTTCAATAAATTATTTACTTACATTAAACTCCGCTTCAGTGGGGTAGAAGACAGGTGCATCAACCAGACGAGCAGAGTCCAGTTCCCGCGGGAACCCCACGTTATCCGGCGGAGTGTCATTTTGTGAGGTATTTTTCGGAGCACTCGTGGACTCGGTAGCTTTTTTAGTCACAGCTTTAGCGTTTTTCTTAGGCAACGCATTGACACGATCGGATTGTTGACTCGTTGGGTTTGTTTGTGACTCTTTTGGCACATTCGTCGATTCTGCTCTGCGTCTAGTCCTAATCGAGCCCAAAGTCACGTCAGCGTCGTCAGACTCTGTCCCGCTTTCGTCAGGTATCACTATGACATCGCTAGGTTTATTATTATCAAGGACTTTACTCCGTTCATTGGAACTTTTGTCCGCAGAATGAACGATTTTTTGCAGATTAAACAATTTGATTTCTAGTAATTGGTCTAACAAATTTTCGTGTTCGATAAGGGAGAATTCGTTTCGGATATCCGCTTCCGATTTGGGTACGACGCTCGCTCGCATTATCCTGTTCTTTTTGTTCAGATCGGTTATCTGGATAATGTGAGTTCCGTTCGGGAAAACGTCTAAATATACAGGTTGGTCTTCCGGAGCATTGGCGAGAGAAGACAGACTAGACGTTGACGAGGATGGCGTATCGCGTTGAGGTACTCTAAGCCCCCTGTAAATACCCATCGAGCAAACTGCCGTATCATCGTTGAATTCGTATACATCAGCCCGTTTGTTTGTACTTTTCTGCACAATATTTTTCAGTTGCCGCAGTTTGTTCACTCGGCAGCAGGCTTGGCAATTGCGCTGCTTGCAACGCGACTCTAATTCATGCTCTCCCGCGTTAACGATATCCTTCACCGATCGGAAGCGCTCCGAGGAACATATGGAGTCGACGCTGCGACTCCTGAGGCTAGGATCGAGGGAGTCTTCGGGAGGTTTGGGCCCCGGAACCGCTCTCTTAGCTGGAAGTATCGGAGATTTGAACTCATTACTATTTCCGAGGGAGTTCTGTAACCATCCTTCTATTGCCGCGTTTTGTGAAGGCTTCTCATCTGATTTGGGTTCGCTGTGGCGTCTGGTCGTTGAATTTTCTAAAATGTGTTCCTTTTTCAAAGGTTCACAGGTTTCTGGTGAAGGAGCTGGCTCTTTCACAGATTTCTTGATGATTTTCTCGGCGTTATCGACTGGCAGGACAAGACTGTCCGCACTCGATTTTCTTGATACTTTAACATTTAATTTCTTAACTTTAGCGGGATTTAGTTTAGCAATTTTTTTCACCACTTTCGCATCATCTCGTCGGCGATTCGGTCGTAATGGCATCTTGAAGCTGCGAGATTTTCGCTCTGGAGTTGACGGTTGGGCGCTATCGAGCCAACCTTCAACGGATATGCCTTCGCTTGGATACGTTCCATTGACAGCAGTGCTGAGAGAAGGCAAGTCTTCATTTATGGCATTAGAAGTTGAAGGAGATTGTAAGGTCGTAGCAGGGACAGATAAACGTTTAGTTTTAGGCTCGGCTATGGGGCTTTTCTGTAAAGGTGGAGTTACAGAGCGAGATGGTCGGGTGTCCTTAGTTTCTACTCTTTGTCGTTTCCCTTTATGTTTACTTTTTTCGGGACTACGTTTCACTGAAACAAATTTTAAAATTAAACATTTTAAAGATACCGGTATTATATTAGGTGATAAATAAATATTTGGATGATTGATTACCATCTCTCGACCGCAAATTAGGTTTTGAAACGGATGGAATCCGAACCGTCCTTTTTACAGCTACTCTAATAGGATCTAAACAAAAGGGAAGAGGTAAGACATTTATAATACTGAAATGTAGAAACAGTAAATTATTAGTAACTAATAAAAATGAAAATTGCTCTTACTTTTTTTAAGCGCTGAAACAGAACGCAATTCTTTCACTACTACTTTAGATGATTTATGTTTTAGCACTTTTGCTTCTGAACCTGCGAAAAAACAAAAGGGTTACATATAAAGCGAATCACACACTCTGCAGGTACTAAAATATTTTATCTGCATATAAAAAAAATACTATCTGAAAGTATCACAAACTACACAGATACGATAATATACGAGAAGATACATTCACTCGGAATCATTTAGACTGAGAAGACATTTTTTTGGTAAGGATTGTACACAGAGTGTAACAGTGAGTTCGCGTGTTACGGAAAAAACGCGTTTATTGCTTCTGGATTTATTAGACTGCTTATCAGAAGACTATCAAACCAGTGAACTAAATGTTCACCAAAACCTGATTTCTCGAAAAACGGAAGTGCTACGTTACTCAAATCCGGTGTGTAGTCTTATCAGACTATTCTTAACTTATAACTTAAATATTCTCTTTATCTATCTCTTACGGTTTGGCCGCTGAAACAGCACCACAGACAGACGGACTTGTCTTGAATAGATAAGAGATGATTCTGAATTTGATGGTCGTCTTGCTTAAAAAGCAAGTACTAAAACACGAAGAATTTGGATACAACGCCAAAATTGGACGAATAAGCGAGCGCCCAGAGCAGCGCCGCCGGTCTGGGCGATTCCCTCCCCTCTGTCTCACCCCAGACCCTGCGTTTGCGCATCCATCCTGTATTTACATGCAGGTAAAATATTATGCCCAGTTGTATTGGCGGATGTTATCTGCAGATATATTTTTATACGCAGATAATAATCTCACCATCTTTTGATATATGCAAGGGCGGATCCAGCTTTGGCGCCAGGGGGGGGGGGGGGTCATATAGCCAGCTTTGGCGCCAGGGGGAGGTCATATAGTCATGGTATATTAAATATTGAAAGTACTTAAATAAAATCCCCCTGGGTTTGTCCTGACCCCCATGATATGTTACCGTATCTGCGTAGTCTGTGAAAGCCCTAAATCTCTTGTGAATTATTGGAACACAGGAAATTATGCTTTTCAAAAAATCGTGTTTTTATTATAGAAATAACAATGATCGTAATGCAGAGGTTTAAAAGAACGTGAGGTACAGTAGTAGTCAGTATAATGCGATTCAAATAAGAATAGGAAAAACAATGACCTCTATCTGTCAAATGTCACTTGAAAAGTACGGTTTGCAAAAAAAAAACTTGGAAACCTTTTCTAGCACTCCGCTAATTCAAGAATAAAAACTAAACATTTGTAAACAAACAATAACAAATATTGATAATTAATATCGATTAATATTTTTTTTCACTTATTGAGCTTTGGCCATGAATGGTTGATAACCAAAATCGTCAACCGAATGTCACTTTAAGTTGCGTTCAGAAACTCGATTTCAAACTTTCGTTTACATAGGATGCATGTTTATATGTGACCTAGTAATAGTGCATGATTATTCATAACTACTCCGGCGGTAATGCAGAGATGAGCGGAATAGAAGAGCTAGATTCTGATTAATGTTCAGTCTTAATAAATAAATATTATTAAAAATCGTTTGAATTGACAGCTATGACATCACGATATGGCGTCTAGTCGGTCCTATTCTTAGTTGAATTGCATTATACAACATATGTACAAAATAGTACAATACAATCATGAAGATTGTTCATCAGTCTTACCTATTTTTAAGCGCCGTCTCTTTGTGGCATCACTTCGCAGACTCCCAGAGCTGCTAGCAAAGAACTTCAAGGGCTTATCATCCTCTAAATCATATCCATCAGTTAGCGTAGGCAACTTGCGCTTCCTTAACAAGGCTTTAGGGGGCGGTGGGACAACCTTCTTCAATATTCTTCGTCGGACACGTTTCTTAGCTTTTTGAGCGATTTTGCGGGTTTTGAAGGTATGCCGGTTGCGTGATCGTAGTAACATGGTATTTTTGCGGGGTTGTGCTGGACGACGCGTCGCTTCGCGGCCGCTGTCATTGTCTATAGTCACGGGTAGTGGTTCTGGCTTCTCATGCCCTTTGGATAAACGTTTCAACACCACCACTGGCTCTGGTCGTTGGTGTAGATCTGACATTTATGATTATTAATTGAAGACATTAAATTTAAATAATAATAATAAATATTTCCAACACTCACACCAATTAGCCTAGCCCCAAAGTAAGCACCGTAAGGATTGTGTTATGGGATACTATAGGGTAACGGTAAATGCGTTTGAATAAAGTGATGATGGGTCAATAGTGATTTGCATAAATGAGGAACTAGGTAAATAAAAAAGGAATACCAAGAGAAGCTTTTTAATGAGTTGTATAAAACTTTATTGTTATTTAAATCTAAAGAAAAGTTTACTAGAAAAAAATCCACGCGGACCAGGCAGCGGACGGCACTCGAACCCGCACCCTTCGCAATCCGGGCGAATGCACTGACCATTATTATTACCACGGCCCTATTGGCCGCGTCGAAATTTTCCTAGCCTTAAGCTGCAAGGCAGCGCCATCTCTTCGCATTGTAGGTAACCCACAATGTCAAATGAATACTTTTTCAAGTATTAAATATTTGAAAGAAGAAATAGCAATTGTAGTGGGTTAGAGTCCCGTCCGCTGCCTGGTCCGCGTGGATTTTTTTCTAGTAAACTTTTCTTTAGATTTAAACATCTAGCAGTTAAATACTTAAAAATAAATAAAAACATTTATTGTTATGTGCTATATATAATAAGAAAATATAATTGTAACTTTTTTAATAAAGTAGGTTTTTTTAGTTATAAGAAAATTAAATAGAAGTATCACAATTGCAAATGGAATTAATAATTGAACCTTTATAATAATTTCTATATATACCTATAGTACTAAGTTGTGTTATTTTCATCTAGACATTTTGGCTAATATGAATGTACCATGATGTTACTGCCACATACTGAGGTTTTGTCTATAAACTTAAGTTGTTTTTACTTTAGTACTTGAGTTCAAAGAAGCTGCTAAAAATACATTAAAAAGCTTAGCTTCTTAAGTAATCTGAAATTAGGTAATGGACCAGACAGTTGCCTTTTCCATATATTTTTTAATATGAGTACACATTAAATGCCAACACAGTATTCTGTCTTAATTTATAAATTAGAATAAATGTATAAATATAGCTGTAATCTAGTGTGCTTAAAAATATATATAATAAAAAAGTATTGTATAAATTGTGCTTAAGAGGATAATTTACTTTGCCTTGAAGACTAACAAGGCACAGAAGGCAAGTAAGACCTAATAACAACACCTACCTACTTACTTACAAAACATATAATGTGCACACTAGATTTCTCACATTTCTTTGTTGAGCTTGGGTTTCACAAGAATTATAATAATATAATAAAATAATAATAAAATTTTATTTTAACAATTAGTACAAAAATAATAACTTAAAAGTACAATTTTAGATTAGGTATAACAAAACATGCGCCTGAACTAAGAAAATCCTGTGTTTCAGGCGGAAACGGGCGATTAATTTCCATTAAAATAACATGTGTATTTATTTATGGTAAATTACAGTAAATTTGGTAAAACATTACACATATAATTAACTTAAAACTAATCTAAAATGATGCAATATACTAGATTCAAGAATAATAATATCAAGAGTAACGAACACTTCTCACAACTATATCCTTATGCTACTTAACTACAACTAATAACTTCTCTGTATCTTCATAGGACATGCCTAGTAAGGCTTCTTGTAGGCTTATTTTACAATTTTTGTAATTTAAGGGATATATGTTTTTTATTGCATTTAGTCTATTGTAGAGCAGTGGTCCTAGGCAAGTGAAAAATCTGGATGCAAAAGCTGATTTTGTTCTTCCATATTTCTGGGGGCAAACTAGATCCTTGCGTCTTTTACCAGAAATAAGTTCAACATAGTATGGTAGAGCTACGTGCTGTTTTAGTACGATGTTCATTATAAACAGTTGCCGAACTGTTAATACCTTATGAATTTTATAAAGTTCATATGTGGGATAAAAGAAAGGTAGGGAAGATGAAACCTTAAGGATTGCTCTTTGGGCTCTCTCAAGAGTTAGCAGCAATGTCTTACCCACTCCACCCCATGACGTGATACAATATGTTAGTATTGATTGACATAAAGCATAGTATACCTGTTTAATTATTTTACAGTTTGCAATATTGCGCAGTTTTTTAAAGATCATTATCAGCTTACGAATTCTGTTAGTTACTGCAGTAATGTGGTGTTTGTAAGACAGGGTTTCATCTAAAATTATTCCGAGATATTTTAATTTGTCTGTAATTTTAATGGCAGGACATTCACAATTATTATTAAAAGGCTCTGAACTGCAATGATGGGCATATAAAACTGTATTATAGTTGTTTGCTTTTGATTTACGCATCGAAAATTTAATAAAATTTGTCTTGTCTGCATTTAATGTTAGTAAATTGTGTTGAAGCCAATTATTGACAATATTAAAACCACGTTGCGCATGCATGTGTACCTGACTTTCTGACTCGGCTGAAAAAAGGAGAGCTGTGTCGTCAGCGTATGATATAATAGTACCGTTGCTAATTTTAATGTTGCAGAGATCATTTATGTAAATTAAAAACAGAGTAGGGCCTAATATTGATCCTTGTGGAATTCCAAAGGGTGTACAATTTAGATCGGCACTTACGATATTACCTATTTTGACGCATTGGGAGCGGTCTTCTAAATAACTTGTAAAAAGTTTGAGCTGCGTGCCTCTTATTCCGATGTTTTCAAGTTTGCGCAGAAGGAACGGGACAGATACAGAATCAAATGCCTTGGCAAGATCAAGGAAAATGCCGATGGTGTAATTACCTTTATCTAATTCTTGAGCTATGTAGTTAGTTAGTTCATGTACAGCATCCGCCGTTGAAACTTTAGATCTAAAACCAAACTGATTTTTCGATAATATCGATTTATATTCTAAGTATTTTACCAATCTAACATTTATATTTTTTTCTAGTATTTTTGATAATGACGTCAGTACGGATATTGGTCTATAATTAGTTACTTGAGTTTTATTTCCAGATTTAAAAACTGGAGTAACGACTGCTTTTTTCAAGCATTTGGGAAAATACCCAGTACAAAGACATTTCTGGAAAACGTATGTGAGAGGTGGAGTTAATATGTAACTAAATTTTTTAATGATTTTGGTAGGGATATTATCCCACCCAACAGCGCAATTCTCTTTTAAGTTCATTATTATTTTTCCTACTTCTGATTCATCTGTATCAAACAACACAAAAGACGTTTGCGTGGTACTAGACTTAAATAAAGGGCTAGTTTGACACTGTGATGTGGTTTGGACTTTTTCGGCTAAACATTTACCGACATTAACAAAAAAATCGTTGACATTATTAGCTGACAATAATTGTGACGAATGTGTGTGTAATAAACTTGAAGAGGACTCATTTTGCTTTGGGGCATATGTTATATTTTTAATGTGTCTCCATATCTGTTTACTGTTTGTGCCTGCTGATTGGAATGTTGATTCGTCATAATTTGACTTTACTTTTTTCAGTAAATTATTGCAAAAATTACGATATCTTTTATAAGTTAATTGCAGTGTATCATTACATGGATTGCTTTTCGCCTTCATATGCAGTTTATCTCTGTGCCTCAAACAGCGAATGAGGCCTGGCGTGATCCATGGTTTAATATTATAGTTTTTGCTATTAATTCGAATTGTCTTCGTATTTTTCTGTATGATAGATTGTAAATTATCAATTATATATTGCATACAAAACTCTGGGTCAGCAGAATTGAAAACTGGGTTAAAATCTATGTTATGTAAGTCGTCTTCGAGTTTATTTATATTTAATTTTGTAATAGTGCGATCGTCAGCTGTTTTAAGTAATTTACAATTTAAGGTAAGTAGGACAGCATTGTGGTCTGTTATTGATGAATTGGTAACAAGGGCAAGTGATTGAAAATTTGATTTTATTAAAACATGATCGAGGCATGAACCACTTTGATGTGTAGGGAGGACGTGTGCGGGGAGCATGCCATGATAGGAGCAAAGGTTTAGGTAGTCCTGCGCCGCTGCGTCAGCACCTTCTGGGAGAATATCGATGTTAATATCTCCAATCAAAATAACGGTTTTAAAAGAGGATAGGTCTCGCAATACTGTATTCAAAGATTCTATAAATTTTTTAGTATTTTTAAATGATGGTGGTCTATATAATGCTAAAATAGCAAATTCTGAGCTAATTTTAACTAACAATCTACTGCATTCGTGCATGTTTGGTTCCTCAACAGACACATCTAAGTGAGACCTTGCATAAACTATTACTCCGTCATTTTGATTGTGGATAATATTACTTTTGAATATGCTGTACCCCGGGAGTTGTGGTAGGTTGTATTTGTTAGTTAGCCAACATTCTGTTAAAATTATAACATCAGAGGTTATATCCAGTCTGTGATGGAAAGTTCTAAAATCATCGAAATTCTTAAATATGCTACGTATATTTTGCGTTAGTAAAGTTAGGAGATTACTATAATTAGAGGATGACAAGTACTGCTTACAATCTTCTACCTCACAAATCTTAGACTTAGATAAAGAGAAGTTATCAATATCACTTATCAAAGTATTAATCATATTATGAGAAAAATATTATAATTTGTATAAAAAATATAAAAATAGAAATGAAAGAAATAAAAAAAATAGGTCTGGAAAATTACAGTTAAGAGGCGCTCTTAGGCGCCTTCATAATCGATTGAATTAATGTACCTTTTCTCAGCCATTATTTTTGCCGGACAGGTAGAGGCACCCGTGCTGTGGTCAGCTGGTTGCGCATTTTGCTTCGTTTTTATTGTTCGGGCAATCCTTTATAGAGTGGTCCTTGTCACCACAATGTCCGCAGGTGTAAGAGGGCTCTCGGCAGGTTTTCGCGGCATGTCTTTCAATTAATTCTATGTTGGGCATAGAATTGTACTTACAGAGACAAACAGTTACCTTAGCTAACTTACCTATGGATTTATCTCCTAATACTTACTTTGAAAGGAGATTATGTCAAGTAACATATCAGCAGACATTTTGTTGTAGAACACATTCTTCTGCTCCAGGGGTTGTGGGTCGGCGAGGTGGCCACCTCGCCGCTCCGGCGGAGGGTTGGAGTTCGCACTGGGCGGTATGTAAGCGCCTTGAGCGAATTTACGTTGTGCCTGCACTTTCCTGAAATCATAGTAGGTAATCATTGCAAGAGATCGGTTGAATGCAGTCACCGCTGGGATTAACCCTTAACTATCCAGAATGCTTTTGTGACGTACTGACCGGTAGTGTCCAGCAGACTCATTTTATAAATGTAAATTATGATGAAAGAAAAGAAAGTAATTTTGAATAAAAAAGACAGTATAATGTATTTCAGTAATGTATTTTTACACTTATTTAGGCTTTGACCGAATCAAGAAATTCCGTAACGACAATAAACCTAACACGCACAGCGGTGCGGCGTTGAAAGCCGTGCATCGTCTAACGTCGTTTCAGTTCGGTAGACTTCGGCACGGTGTTTGTGTGCGTGCGACTAGACGAATGCGAGTAGAGTAGCTGCTAACTGCTCATCTTTTAGACACAATGCTAGGTGAGACAGCATGCTTTTTGGCCGCGTCCACGAGTGAGTTCGAGCCCGCGACTAGTTGAACCTTAACGTGCATGTATATGGTACGACTGTATGAGGCTCGCAAGGATCGAGACGAGCTGCTCAGAAATCGGACGAATACGTAAACAGCTGTTTATGAGAAAGTATATAGGTGTATAGATATCTATCATCTTTGTAAAACAGTGAATAGCTGTATGCGTAAAATTTGTGTATAAAGTGTTTATAATTGCATAAGTTGATAAAAAATGCTATGCAATAGCTTTACCACGGCAGTCCCCCCCAGTTCAGAGCAGACATTGCGATTGCATTTACCGCAACACTATTTAGAAGCAGTTGATTGAACGCATTCCTAAAAAGGTACAAGCTGCTCATCAATAGTGAGATTTTCTCCAGGCAAATAAAACTTTTTCAGGTTTTGCTTTACGTTTTCCCATAATTCTCTAATAGGTGCAAGTTTATCTTTTGACTTTCTCAGGGACCTAGTATTTTTATTAGCGAATCTTAAGAATCGTAATAAAGAATCAAATATATTTCTGAATATGAATATTTTTTCCCATTGTAGCTCGAAATATTGGATTGCCAAAGACAGTCCCAGTATTATCTAAAATCCTCACCTCCCTGTTTATTGACGCCTGTAGTTAATAAAAGACCTAGAAATGCTTGCATTTCGATTTTGTCAGTTGATTTCCATCGATTTTGTATAACTCTAAGCCCTTCAGTATTGGTATATTTTAGTATTAGTTCTAATATCAATAGCTTGCCCGGGAGGAAGAATCACCTTATGCACACCCCCCCCCAAGTAGAGAGGCACAGCGCTAATGCATAATGGCTGCAAAACCATCTGTATGGACCTCGGCAAACATGACAACAACGGCCGGAGTGAGCACTGCAGTGACGCGGCAGCCCCATCAACATCCTGAACGCTTTGTTATATTGTATTCATGGGTCGCTATATTTTTTTTTTTGTTCTGTGGCTGTTTCCATTTTACACAGAAATTTCGCTAATATCCGGTAATGAGAACCCCTTGCGTATACCTCACCTACAGACCGCATGTATAAAAAAATTGGCAGAATGCTTTAATAACCAAGAATAATAAATTATTCATGTTTCAAATATTTTCATTGCACATTTAGATTCGTAAAACATTGGCGATAAATTAGATAAAAGGCCGATACATAAAAAATAATGATTTGCTTTTTATGAAAACATAAAATAAACAAAAAATTACGCAAAATTGTGTCCGCAAGACACTGTGGGTTGCTAAGGGTGATTGTTACGTGGTGTTAATGAGTTTAATACTTCAATGAAAGTACACGAAAAAAAAGGGCGATGATTTTATACGAACGAAACCACATATTAGTTTAGTTCGTTTTGTACTCATTAAAAGTCCTGCGTTGCACCTGCACCCATTTGTTACACTCTAACCTTCATTTATAAGTAAGTATTACCTTTTCATTTTAACTCCCAAACTTTACGAGGTTCCCTTAACTTCACAGTCACTCAATGCTTATTGAACTAATCGTATACCGATACAAATTTTGGAATTTTAAGCAGTTTCAGAGCGGCATCCAGACAATAACAACAACTGTCGAGTCGAACTTGAGTCGAACTCACTGTCAATGTCAAACACAGATTACAAATGAATGATGACAGATTTGTTGATTATAGAATGATTAGAGATACAAAATGGAAAAATCTCACTGGCGACATATACGAAGGACATTGGTGTCGATTCTGTCATGATTCTCTAACTGGTAAAAGCAGTTTCAGTTGAAGAAAATGCATTGTAGGAAATAGGAAACTAATAGATATTTAAACCTAAAGAAAAGTTTACTAGAAAAAAAATCCACGAGGACCAGGCAGCGGACGGGATTCGAACCCGCATCCTTCGCAATCCGGGCGAATGCACTGACCATTATGCTACCACGGCCCTATTAGCCGCGTCAAAATTTTCCTAGCGTTTAAGCTGCAAGGCAGCGCCATCTCTTCGCATTGTAGGTAACCCACAATTATCTAGTAATCTTTTCTTTAGATTTAAACGTCTAGCAGTTAAATGCTTAAAAATAAATAAAATCATAACAACTAATAGATAGATAAAATATTGGCGTCGATTCTGGCATGATTCTCTAAACTTAAAACTAAATTTAACATCAGTCTCTCCTTTTCATTCTGTATAGAGAATGACAAAGATGCACTGTTGTCAAATTTAAGTTTAGGTTTAGAGAGTCGTGCCAGAATCGACACCATTACTTACTCAATGCTAATAGACTGAGGTAGCTTTCCAATTACAGCATTATAGCGCATTATGCGGCATAATGCTTAACGTTCAGTGTTCCAACTACAGCAACGCTTCGCACAATTGAGCACTCTCAAAAGTAAAGGGGTGTAAGGGGTTCTTAATATACCTGCAAGAACCCAAGCCAACCTCACCTTCACGTGGTGCACCCTGTTGACCAACAGACGAGGCTCTGGCAAACCGACCGATGGCGGTATAACCATCCAACGACGTAGGGGAGGAAAATCTCATTGGTGACGGGCAGCAGCGTCATCAGTGAAATAACCTACGTTCTGCGATCGCCAACCCGCCTGCCCAGCGTGGCGATTATGGGCAATACCTTGAATGCACACAAACAAAAAGCCACGGCCCCCAGTTCCCGGTAGCCCCGTTATTCCTGGTCACGGTGGCGACCACGGTAACGGCGGGGCGGGGGGTGCGAAGAATCTCCGGGCTACGGGAGGCCACCACAATAGACTGACCCTGGCGACGTACAACGGACGCACGCTACGGCTTGACTCGCATCTGGCGCAACTCGAGGTGGAACTTGGGAAGATTAGGTGGCACATTTTAGGGTTAAGTGAAGTCCGAAGAGAGGGGGAGGACACCATAACGCTCGAATCTGGCCACCTAATGTACTTCCGCGGGGGAGACCAACAGTCCCAAGGTGGCGTTGGGTTTTTGGTGAATAAGTCCCTTGCCGATAACGTTGTGGAAATATCCAGCGTGTCGAACAGGGTAGTGTACCTTATTATAAAGCTCACCGAGAGGTATAGCCTCAAGGTGGTGCAAGTGTACGCACCGACCTCGACACACTCGGACGACGAAGTGGAGGATATGTTCGATGATATATCGAGGGCCCTCCACTCCACTACTAAGACCCACTACAACGTTGTTATGGGGGACTTCAACGCTAAAGTGGGAGTACAGAATTGCAGTGAATCGGTAGTAGGATCCCATGGATTTGGAAGCAGAAATCATAGGGGGCTAATGCTCGTCAACTTCCTCGAACGGGAGGGGCTCTTCTTGATGAACTCTTTCTTCAAGAAACAACCCCAAAGGAAGTGGACGTGGCAAAGCCCCGACACTATGACTAAAAATGAGATCGATTTCATCATGACGGACAAGAGGTACATATTCAGAGACGTCTCAGTGATCAACAGGTTCAATACCGGTAGTGATCACCGACTCGTCCGGGGCTCTTTGAATATCAACTTTAAGGCCGAGCGCGTCCGTTTGATGAAATCCAGGCTCCAACCTACTCTGCTCCAATCTATAACAGGGTCTGAAACGTTCCAGTCAAACCTGGAGAACCGATTTGCTGCCGTGGAAACCACAACAGACGTAAACCAAAACCTCGAAAATGTGGTTCGGATCCTCAGGGAAGAGGGTACGAGATTATGTGCAACGCAGCGTAAGGGCAGGAAGTCAAAGCTTTCGGAAGAGACTTTAGGGCTAATGAAGGAACGACGTGAAAATCCACCCGTCACTTCGTCGGCAAAGCGGACTCTAAACCAAGAGATCAGTAAGCACGTACGACGCGACCTCCGGTGCTCCAATACTCTCTCGATCGAGAGAGCGATCGAGCAGAATCGAGGATCCAAAGTGTTCGTACAATCTCTTCGAAGAAGCCATCTGACGAAGTTGACCACAGCAAGTGGGGAAGTTGTTGCTTCAAAGCCGGCAGTCCTTTCGGAAGTGGAAGACTTCTACAGCCAGTTGTACGCATCACATGCATCTCGACCCGATCCCGGAAATGAGGATTCTAGAGCCACATTAACACGCCACTTCACCGAAGACCTGCCAGAAGTCAGTATTGGCGAAATCGAAATTGCTCTTGGACAGCTTAAAAATGGAAAAGCCCCTGGAGAGGATGGTGTTTCAACAGAACTCTTAAAGGCTGGAGGTAAACCCGTACTGAGGGAGCTCCAAAAGCTTTTCAACACTGTCCTGTTCGAAGGGAGAACTCCGGAGGCGTGGAGTAGGAGTGTGGTTGTCTTGTTCTTTAAAAAGGGGGACAAGACCCAACTTAAGAACTATCGACCCATATCCCTTCTAAGCCACGTCTATAAGCTGTTCTCAAGAGTGATCGCGAACCGTCTTGCGCGAAGACTTGATGACTTCCAACCACCGGAACAGGCTGGGTTTCGGAGCGGATACGGCACCATAGACCACATACACACAGTGCGGCAGATTATACAGAAGACTGAAGAGTACAATCAGCCCCTGTGCCTAGCATTTGTGGACTATGAGAAGGCCTTTGACTCGATTGAAATCTGGTCTGTTCTGGAGTCCCTGCAGCGTTGCCAAGTCGACTGGCGATACATCCAAGTGATTAGATGTCTGTACGAAGCCGCCACCATGTCTGTCCAAGTACAGAATCAGCAAACAAGTCCCATACCGTTGCATCGTGGAGTGAGACAAGGGGACGTTATTTCCCCGAAATTGTTCACTAATGCAATGGAGGATATGTTCAAGACGCTGAACTGGAAAGGACGTGGCATCAACATAAATGGCGAACGCATCTCTCACTTGCGATTTGCAGACGACATCGTCATCATGGCAGAAACCCTGCAGGACCTACAACAGATGCTGAATGACCTGGCTGACTCTTCTATACGCATCGGCCTACGGATGAACTTGGATAAAACCAAGGTCATGTTCAATGAACATGTTCTACCGGAACCGATTGCAATACACGGTGCCGTTCTCGAAGTTGTTCAAAAATATGTGTACCTCGGGCAGACATTGCAGTTAGGTAGAAACAACTTTGAGGACGAGGTGAATAGAAGAATTCAGCTAGGTTGGGCAGCGTTTGGGAAGTTACGTCAAGTCCTGACATCGTCGATCCCACAGTGTCTAAAGACGAAAGTCTTCAATCAGTGCGTCCTACCTGTGATGACATACGGAGCCGAGACGTGGACAATGCATTGTAGGAAATAGGAAACTAATAGATATTTAAACCTAAAGAAAAGTTTACTAGAAAAAAAATCCACGAGGACCAGGCAGCGGACGGGATTCGAACCCGCATCCTTCGCAATCCGGGCGAATGCACTGACCATTATGCTACCACGGCCCTATTAGCCGCGTCAAAATTTTCCTAGCGTTTAAGCTGCAAGGCAGCGCCATCTCTTCGCATTGTAGGTAACCCACAATTATCTAGTAATCTTTTCTTTAGATTTAAACGTCTTGCAGTTAAATGCTTAAAAATAAATAAAATCATAACAACTAATAGATAGATAAAATATTACTTACTCAGTGCTAATAGACTGAGGTAGCTTTCCAATTACAGCATTATAGCGCATTATGCGGCATAATGCTTAACGTTCAGTGTTCCAACTACAGCAACGCTTCGCACAATTGAGCACTCTCAAAAGTAATGCTTACGTGTGATGCGTGGTATCGTACCAACCCAGTGACAGAAAATTAACAAGTGTTTTTTCTTTAAGTTGGCATTGATTGAAATGTTTTATTTATATGTTATCGTAAGTAATATTATTTGTTGTTCAAAAATTATTAAAGCTTTCGTTTCATTAAAAAATTTTTTTTAAACAATCAAAGTTAATTCAAACTGTTAAAAAAATAAATATAAGTATGGATGAAGGTACAAACATTGACTTTTTTTTTCAACACTGAACTTAGCGCACTCTGCTGGTGCATTTGAAAACTAATTCACGTTCCAATTAAGCATCAGCATAATTCGGCATTGTGCGGCTCTGAGTCGCATTATGCTCTGTAATTGGAAAGCAACCTGAGGTAGTTTTCCAATTACAGCACTAGAGCGCATTATGCGGCATAATGTTTAGCGATGAATCTTTCAACTACAGCAACGCTTCGCACAATCGAGCATTCTCAAAAGTAATGTTTTCGTGTGACGCGTGCAATTGATACCAACTACTTCATTGCTTAAAACTCGGAGAACTCGATAAATCTTCATCATCACTATCATCTGGGTAAGATGATTCAATTAAAAAGTATGTAGATAATTCTTTTAGAACTCATTTTAAAAAAATACCCAAAATAAATGTTAATGAAATAATCAAAATCCAAATTACTTATAAAAACCGTAAATAATTTTCAAGCAATAAGTATATTACTTTATTTACACATTAATGAGGTTGTTGCTAACTATGAATATATTTTTTTTCAACACTGAACTTAGTGCACTCTGCTGGTGCATTTGAAAACTAATTCACGTTCCATTATGCATAGCATAATTCGCCATTGTGTGCCACTGAGTCGCATTATGCTCTGTTATGAATTATGAAAACTAATGGAAAACTACCTGACAGACATCACAGTGACAGTGACAGAGTGGAATCATTTGTCTACAATAAAAACATTATTAAAAAAAATCTCAGATGTTTCGTTCGGTAATCCTTTGAATATGGTTTGTGCAATTTTTGATATTAAAAGCTTAAAAAATATTTTTATAGCAGTACATTGAATTAATATGACAAAAAAAACAAAGACAAAAAAATATGAATAAAACCACAAAGTGTTTTTTTAATCAAAAGTGATTTAGTGCGATTTGACAAGTAGTTTCTAAACGAAAAACAGATAGATATTTTCGTTTCTCGCCAGGTAAATAAATTGACAAAATTTCACTTTGCACTATTGTTCGTTCAACGTTAGACTTTCGTACCTTCTTAATTTATTGTGCATAGCATAGTTATATTATTTGCCAAGTGGTTTTTATGACAAAAGTGTTGTGAGTGTACAAAATCGTGTGCTAGTCATTACGGTATGGACCACGAAAGGCTAGAAGGCAATTCAAATCATGGAAAGAGAGCACGACCTTTGCTCTTGCAGCCGAGTCCGAAGGTTTCTAGGGTGTCCACCTATGCGGGCTCATCTTCCAGTAGCGTTCTCAAAAACTCTAAAAAAAATTCGCCCAAAAAACCAAAGATTATGTACAATAAAAGTGATGTGCCAGCACCAGGCACCCCTGTTCCTGACAAACATGTCCGCAAGGCGGGGCCCTACTTGCTCGGGCCCAAGTTAGGGCCGAGCCCTGTGAAAAGCATAGTACAATGTTTAGCAAGAAAAGAGAGAACTGATGACTTTTATCAGGTAAATTATTCTAAATTGTAATAATATACAGATACATTATTGCTTGTTCTGCTCAGTACAGTATATATGCGGACAACAGCAATGCTTTAGATATTCATAAGTCAAGCACTTATGATAAACATACACATATCTTAACGAAGCCTAAACTGAATAAACCTGAATTTGAAATAGTGCCCTCATGTTTTACAGGAATCATTGTACAATGCTTTGAAACACTTGCTATGTATGTCAAACTAAGTTGATTATCCATTTTGTTAATTATTATGTTTCAGATTAAAATTTTGACATTAAGAAATGAGAGTCAAAGTGAAACACAAGATGATAGGCAAGGAAAAATGTTGTTACACACGGAATATTCTCTTTTATCATTATTAAAAGACCAAGATGGTGTTATCCACCATCATGGTCTGTTTAAAGTAAGTAATGTTGATTTGTGCTTTACACAAACTTTATTCAGTTCTCAATATTAACATGAAAAAAACAAAATGCTCATTAAATTGTGTGCAAACAAAACTTATATTGTTACCTAATTAACTGTTGTTAACTTGGTTTTTTAATTAATTTTGTATTGTAATAAACTGCTTTGATATCATTTTATATTTATGTTTTTTTATCATCATTTATCTTTTCGTATCCAGGATCATGCTTTAGAAGAAGTGCCAAATCCCTGTGGTCCAGGGTTTGTATATACGGGCCGAGTGAGACAAAGGTTGTTCCTAGTTCTGGACTGTGTCACCTCCCACCAGTTCAGTGAGAAGGGTTCTGAGCTCATAAACCTTCAGCAGTACGTCACCAAAGTTAAAAAGGTTCCAGAGAAGGAGGCAATACTTATATTCTATGATATAGTTAGGGTTGTTGCTAATTTGCATAAGGTGAGTACTCCGAGCATGATTAATAGTATTTAAGATATTATGTTAATGAGAAATATACATATGTATAATTTCTTCATTACTTACACAAAGTCAGTGCTATTGGTTGTGCTACTGGACAGCAAATCTCATACAGTTTGGAAGCAATAGACAAAGTACTACAATTTTTTGTATAATTCCATTCACAGTTAAATAAATTGTCAATGTCACACAAGCTAATGTCTTTCCCAAATATGAAATTAAAGAAAATGTGGAAGGAGTGAAAGTAAGCCCTAGATCAATGTTTATAATGCTTTTTAGCGATTGTAGGTTTCGGTAAATTAAACTCTTGATGGTCAGGTGTTGCGTCATTTGAATAAATGAATTAAATTCTGTGTTGTGTTCTCATTGTGCTGCTACACTTTCTAATATCTTTTGCAGAGAAACATAGTTCACAGAGATTTGAAGCTCGGCAATATAGTGTTGAATCAAAGAACTGGTCGCATCACAGTTACTAATTTCTGCCTCGGTACACACCTTGGTAGCGATAGAGATTTGCTCAAAGACCAGAGAGGTAAGGAATTTATTAAATTTAATAGACTAATGACGTCTTAACTGTATTTGATATCAGTTCTGTAAAAATTAAGAACATCATTAAATTTTCATTAAAGTTATATATTTATCGTAATATTTATTTGCATTTCAATAGCTTACAGGCCAATATTACGATTATAATTACATTAGTGAGACAATCGGTCTGATTCTAGCATGTCGCTAAACCAAAATTATCTAGAATGAAAATTGACCTTAAACATTCCTCTTGAACCACTTTTTCTCAGAATACTGTATTAAAAGCCGTTGCGTAATTTAAAAGATCAAAGTGTACAGACAGCCGGAGCGGATTTGTTTTATTCTGTGTAGAGATTCCAGCAAATTAAAGATATTATATTTATTTTTATGTTTTCATGCACACCAATCTTTCAATAAAACACTTTAAATGGGTTTGAATGTGATTTCAATAAGACTGCGCTAAACATTTCTTGCGATCATTGCGCAGCATGTGTGTTCATTCATGCAAATTTATGTTTATTAACTACGACACCAAAAAAATTTTTAATTACCTAACTAGCGTGTCATAACCACGCCGCCGCCGCTGCGCGTGATATAAACGCGCCCTTTTGCATTTTCGTTACACGTAACCTGCCTGTAACGGATACTAAACGTCGGGAATTTGTCAATCGTCCAAATCTGTTTAAAAAGTGTTTAAGCAAATGATATTCTACTAGGTTCCCCAGCGTATATATCGCCTGACGTTTTGCTCTGCAAGCCTTACTCTGGCAAGCCTTCAGATATGTGGGCGTTAGGGGTAGTTCTGTACACGATGCTGTACGGCCAGTTTCCGTTCTGCGACTCAAGTCTGGCACAACTGTTTACGAGAATACAAGCGGCTTCATATAACATACCACCGTGAGTAAAGAATAAAGTATTCATAATTTTTAGTTATTATTGTTTTAAGAGTTTGATTGCGCAAGTGGTAACGTGTTCCACTGCGATCGTTGAAGTTAATACTTTCGCAGTGGTCAGTCATTGGATGGGAGGGTGATCAAAAATTTAATATCACGAGTTAATGCTCCGTGCTTCGGAAGGCACGTTAAACCGTCGGTCCCGGCTGCATCTGCAGTCGTTAGCACCCACCATTCTTTTCGCACTGGGCCCATGTGGTGGGTCATCATGGCTCAATTTCCCCATTTCCATTAGGCATAGGAAAGGCCTGTGCCCCAGTAGTGGGGGACATTAATAGGCCGATGATGATGATTGTTAGATTCATAAAACAAATTAAATACATTTTTACTAGAAAAAGTTCCACTCGGCATGGGTTTTAGATAGGATTAAAAATTTAAGCGAATATCAGGTTCAAATTCAGTTTGAAATCTGGACCTAGTGGATTTTGTCTAGTTCTTTACATCATAATTTTTATTGCTTCATGTTGGTATATAGGTAGGATTTTAAAATTGATGAATGAATGGTGAAAGATGAATGAAATGAATTGATGATATATTTAAAAACAAAATTCCAATTTGTTCAGATTTTAGGCTATCGGGCGGATGCACTATGTTAATGCATACCGTTTTTTATGACACACATACTGTTCATAAGGTACAAATATTTACACATCAACCAAATTTGACCGCTCTGCTCTTAGGGTCGCTGCACACGGGCCACCGGCCACAACCACAAAACGCCGCCACCGGCATATTTCCTGTAGTTTTCATACATTTTATACGGACTCGCCGCATACGGTCAACGCCGGTGGCCGCTACAAGCTACAAATTGTCGTTGCTCGCTTCTACTGTCCCGCACCAGCTACTAATGCGCTGATAAAATGTGTTATTAAAAGTAGCAGCCACCGACGGCAAGTGTCGACCACCGGCCACAAGTGGCTGTCGCGCGCTTCAGCTATGGTTATAGCCGCTTGTGCGGGACAGAAAGTGATTTGGACTTACGATTTTTTATTTTCTCCGATAGCCTTTAGAGCAGCGCCGGTCTGCCTGTATTTTCGTAAGTTTCCGGATGTTGTAGGAATGTTATCTTGAGCTAGTCGTAACTGTCCTTCACGTAATCTGTTGATTTGATGATGTTCTTTTGTGCTCGTTGAACAACCGCCGCGCTAACTATATATAATTTGGATCGGGGCTTTTCGGAAGTCGACCGATCTCTATGGCGTCGTAGTTGTAATAGGCAGCTGACAGATACTGCCTGTCTACCCTCGTATTACAATAAAACATCGTTCCAAGGGATAGGAAAAGGTGGGTAAGCGGGTGTAATGTTACGTTATCATATCTAACGCATTCAATATATTTGAAACCGAACACCGCTTCTGGCTTCTCGTGGCGGCGTTTGTGGCTGTCGCGTGTGGCCCGTGTGCGGCGACACTTAAAGTTGTCCTTCGATTCGATCATCTTGATCGTCGTTCGTCCTTCTCTAACTTTTTAATGGAGTACAGTAGGACACTACACGTTACAGTTGACTATACATTGAAAGTTGGTTTTAAGAGTGTGGTTCCAGAACCAGCACTTAGAATTTAGAAAGGGCTTCAAATATCCTCATATTTTTTAATGTTACAAGGATGGCAAACAACCATATGGCCCGCCTAATGGCAAGCGACCATCATTGGCGCTGTAAGCCCAATTGTTTATAATGGCATGCAAATTCCTTTCTCTCAAGTGTAAGAATCTTGGTTTGCACATTGACTGTACCTTTGGATGGTCCACTAATATTAAGTAACGTGTGGTTTTATCATTTTTTTTCTCTTTCTCGTTTTGATTAATTTACCGCATAATGTATCTGCTTAGCCCGATGGTTGACCGGTAGAGAATGCCATGTGGCATTGTCCGCCATTTGTTGTGATAAACTAACAATAAAGAGTAAATAAATAAAAATAAATAAACAAATAAAAGTCTATAGACGCTTGCGATACAAAAGTATGTACCAACATGAAGCAATAAAGATTATGATAATGATTAGGTATCACTCGCGCCCGCCGTTGTGTACCCTTTTTTTTTTGGTGTCTGGAAAATGCCTTACGCATCCTTCAACCACTGGGGGAGCGAGAAGAAGGTATGTGGGACTCCTCCCTGTCCTCTTCAGCCAGCCCTGGAGCTCGCTGATGTGAACAGAGCCCTACCTACGCCCTGAACAGGGTCACTAAAAACCAGACAATATTCCTGCACCGTCACCCGACACGCGCTATGAGGACCGCGGTCCCCCTAGTGCGTGCCGAGAGGGCGGGTGTGGTCGCGGAACCCGTCTCCGAATGCCCGCCAGCCGTTGTGTACCCTGACTTCATCCTCACCCCGCGACAAGGACGGATTCAGCTTTGGCGCCAGGGGGGGGGGGGGGGGCATAGTGCGTGTCATATAGTCGTGGTCAAGTCACAGTGGGTACAGATCGTGAAGTGGGTACAGATCGTGAAGTGGGTACAGATGGACCCAGCCCAGGGGGGGGGGGGGGGGGGGTCATGGGTGTCATGACCTTACTCAGAAACACAACACCACCAGGGGCAGTTTTTGTTATTTTCTTGTGGTCTTCTGTAAGCTAGAAGTTAATTCCCAGACCGGCAGAAGTTAATTCCAATTCGGGCGAGAAGTCCGTTTCATATTGTATACTTTTGAAGGTGATTTTTATCAAATGTATAATAACAATACGCTTAGTTTTTCCCTTATATGACAATCTATTAATGTGAGGTGTTGTTGTAAACGTGCGTCGATATTTTTCAGGGATGGCAACACAGTACAAGTGTCGGACAACACAGTATTTTTAATTCAAAGACTGCTGGTTAAAGACCCCAAACATAGATTGTTAGCTGATGAAGTGAGTATATACAGTTGTTTTTTTTATATATGTAAATGAGGTTCATTACCCTTCATTCAATCCGGACGGTAAAATAGTGAGTGACCGTAGAAAAAGATGGGTTTGACATGTGTCAGTTAATAATTAAAATATAATATTTGTGCACGAACAATAGGGGTGATGACGGGGTACAGTAAACGAAATTCTATTTAGTCCGTCAGTTAGATGATCAAAAAATAATGGACACGTATTTTTTCTTTGGGCAATCAACCAAAAAATGACAAAGTTATAGCGCGTCAAAGTTCCTACTCTCAAGTAGGGGCACGTGACGTCACTTTTGAGTGAATTTTCTCTTATAAGTGTAATCAAACGTGACGTCATGCGACTTTTCAAATCAATATATCTCGGCAATATTTATATTATGTGAAAAAAGAAAAAATACGTGTCCAATACTTTTTAATAATCTACCTGATAAACGAAGAAAAAAAAATTTGTCATCATCCCTATTGTACCAAATAATAGCAATAAATGTGGTTTCTCATTTCTGAACAACACAATTATTTTATTTCGTAAGTTAATCTATTAAATTCATAAAATCACATTATATATATATATATATATATATATATATATACATGTAATCATCTAATATATATACATATATTTATTTCGATGGGTATCTCATACTGTTAGGTTTAGGTCTGTTATTCATACAAACTTAGTTTTCGCCAATGGTGGTCCAGATTTTCTCTAAAATTTACCTTAGTTGGTTTAGCAGTTTAGGCAACACATTGCTTTTTAGAAAATCTCTCATAACTAGTCTTATGTCAGTGTAAAAGATACTTACATGTATTTTTCTATTATAAATTACGCTTCCGACATTTATTTACTTATCACCAGATCAGGCCTTTATAAGAAGAACAGTTGAAAAAAACTCGATGACCCAAACCGCCTTCTAACAAAACGTAGATTAAAGTTAAACCTGGACTAAAATTTTTGCTGTCACTTTTTTTTGCTAAAAAGAAGATGGTGACAAAATTAGGTTTAAACAAAGACAAGATTTCTATATATATAAAACTCAAAGGTGAACTGACTGACATAGTGATCTATCAACGCACAACCCAAACCACTGGACGGATCGGGCTGAAATTTGGCATGCAGGTAGATGTAATGACGCAGGCATCCGCTAAGAAAGGATTTTGATCAATTTTACCCCGAAGCGAAGCGAGGGTGGGCCACTAGTTTGGAATAAAGGAGTATGTCCTCACATTGTCTATACAAGTTATAAGATAATATTTATTTAATATGTAACTTATAATTTCTAGGTATTAGATCAACTGTCAAGCATCATAGCATCATACGTGATAGTGCCCAATCCACCAGAAGAATTGCAAGTGGTCCCCGATGTGCCATTAGATGAAGACCCCAAAGATAAGACTCCAAATGGGGTACAGTGTTCCAATGAATTGGATAGAAGACCGTTCTTGACCATTCCTGAGAACAACGAGAGGACGCCTGCAGCCAATGTAAGTGCAGTTATTATACAGGGCGTCCCACGGGTTAGTCACACGGAGGGAAAGTACGAATATATTAAATATTGAAGATAGATATACAGGATGTACATCATGACGATCATTATTTATTTATGGACCATACCTGGGAAATTTATGGTTATGGAGATATTGAAGGTCAAAGTCCCAATATTTTTATCAAGATTTTTACAAAAACGTTATTTAGAAACTTTTTTATCGACGCACTTACACACACGCACACACATACACACAGGCACATTGTTTGCGTAGCGCCACAGTTGCGCGCCGCGCTATACATTGCGTACTAGAAAAAAAATGTATTTTTTTTAATTAAAAATACAAATGTTTCTCACTTATAACATTTTGTAATATTACTTATTTGGGTGTACAGAATGCGTAGTTTTAGTCTTTGTCGTAGGTTTTTTACACCCTGTATTGTTTTAAACTTTCATGGTCACTAACATTATAGCTATTAACGGGATTGTTACCATATACCTTGTTTTTTATGAGTCTCCGATGTTTCGGCACTCACTGTTACAAGCGCCATGATCACGGAGTAACTGAAGTAATTGCGGGTAGATGTTATTGGCAGACATATCGATCTACCCTCTGACGTCGTTTTTTACTGCGCTCGATATATACTTACCACTATCGGAGACTATATCGGAGACTCATAAAAAACAAGGTACATGGTAACAATCCCGTTAATAGCTATAACATTGAAGATAGGATATTTTACTGAAGGAAGACATCTTTTGATTTTTTATAAAAACTAGAACTGCATTCGCTGTTTTTGAAAAAGCGCCTACCGAAACCGGGAATCAAACTCGTGAAATGTGAAACAAAAAATATCGAAAAGTCAATATTTAATAATAATAATAATAACTTTATTTGGAACAAGTGCAATGTACATAAAATTATGAATCGTTAAAACTGCTTTAGTTTTACAAAAACTGTGTTGCAGAATTAACGCCCATTCCCGTATAATATGAAACAGTGTTCCTATCAATGTATAAAATTAATTAAAACAATCTGTATAGAGAGAAAATTAAAATGAGACAAAAATATCCACAATTTAAAATCCATCGAAGGTAATTTCAAAACAAAAAATATGTCCGAGTGCATTTTTATCAATATTATTACAAACCAATACTAAATTTTACCAAAAAATGAAAATAAGGACTAAAATATAACATTTGAATTTTTATGCTCACATTAGAAGGTAGGTAAACACAGATAATACAAATCTATTAAAATTACAATATTAAACCTACCTGGACACTACAAACCAATAAATCATGATATAGAATAGTTAAATTCAATATAAGACACAATTTCGCACACATCGTACCAACATCACTGTAAAAAAGTTAATTCAAAGCATACGAACATCATTATTTTGTTTATTAAATAGTAAAAACGTCCAGCAGTACCATACGCTGGCCATCAACTGAACTAACAATTCATTTCGAGCGACTGATGAGCGCGACCAGGATCAGTGGTAGGAAAAGGGGCGGAGCAAGTCAGCAGGCGTGAATCGTTGTAGAAGAAACAAATAGATCTACATAGGGCGCGACTCCAGTTCATGAGCGACAAAAATGCTGTAACATGAGCGATAAACTCCATTATGAACTCCTTTGATAAGTAGAATTATTGTGTTTAAATCTGAATTTAAGTTGTTTTTTCATTTATTTTTATAACCTGACAATAGAAAGAATTTATACCTATACTATCCACTAATTCAATTTTTTTTTAATGTCATTATTGTAAATTAAAGCTATTTTTTTGATATATTTAAAGATTATATTTATTAATGAGTAAATGAGATTTTGGAATGTTCATTTTTATAAATAGTTAAATCAAATTGAAATTATTTTATTTTAAGATGATTATCACGTTAACGAGGTAAAGTCTTTTTCACATTCAAATTAGTTTTAACAATATATACTTTTTTTTTTTGGAATAGGTATTGTTTACTTGATAACAAACAGCACGCAAAGCTGCTTTAGCAGTATTTCGACGTTTAACAGTCTTATAATTAATTATTTATAAGTACCTCTGTTTCTGTATATGAAAGCCCCTTCAGCCAAACAGTGATCCGCAGTTTACATTCCTTAAAAGTAAGTGGATAAATATTTAATATTTTATTTACTTTATTGTATAAACGGGGAGAGAGGTAGTGAAAATGACGTTTTGCGAGCTCCAACCTAACATATTTATTTCTACAGACTATATCCGATCTACGTTTGTTATGGAAATGGTCGGGGTTGAATGGAAGTTGGGAATGTTTGCGAAGTAAGACCAGCATGATGAATAACTGACGCACAGTTAGTACACCAGTGTCCTCATATAATTGAGAAGTTGGATGTAGAATAGGCTTGAAGGTCATAACTTTTAACACACCTCTTTGAGCTCTTTCAAGGCATAATAAAAGGGACTTATTGGCTCCCCCCCATACCGTAACACAGTATGATAATACGGACTGAGCGAGGGCCAAATATACAGATTTAAGAGTAGAAGCATCAAGTAAATTACGTAGGGTTTTAAAAATATACATGAGTTTCCTCGTACGGTTAGAAGTTACCTTAATATGCTCATCCCATGTGAGTGAGTAATCCAGCCAAACACCGAGGTACTTAAGTTTTAATTTACTCTGCAGTAGCATACATCCACAATTTGACATTCCGGGGCAGTTCTGATTATGAGCTTGGATAATAAAGTTAGGCGCAGGAAGAGATGAACATTTTGGTGCAAAAGCCATATAGTTTGTCTTGTCTAAGTTGAGAGTAAGAGAGTTGCAGATCAACCATGCATTAACAGCACCAAGAGCATATTCAGCATATTTTTTAGTCTCCAACCAGTCGCTACCGTGAGCCAGTAGAACTGTGTCATCTGCGTAGGTATTTTGCAGTTTGGCAATGACATATTGCAGAGATCATTCATGTAAACTAAAAAGAGGGTAGGGCCGAGGACGCTACCCTGAGGCACACCGAACTTTAGCTCTACTTCATTACTAATGATTCCATCCACCAGAACGCACTGTGACCGGTTACTTAAATAGCTACTGAACATGTCCAAAGCAGTACCTCTCACACCAATATTCTCCAGCTTTCTAATTAAAATTGGAATGGAAACAGTGTCAAATGCCTTTGACAAATCCAGGAAGATACCAATTGATTTTCGTTTGTTCGTGAGGTTTGTAACAACTGTTTCGGTTAATGATAACACTGCATCTTCAGTAGACTTACCCTTTGTGAACCCGAACTGATTAGCAGCTATAATTTGCCTATCCGTTAAGTATCCTGTCAGTCTAGTATTGATTATTTTTTCCAAAAGTTTTGATAACGTCGTCAGTACCGATATTGGACGATAATTTGAAACACAGTCTCTACTTCCTGACTTAAAAACTGGATGAACTAGAGCCTTTTTCATTGCTTGCGGGAAGATACCACACGAAAGACATAGGTTAAAAATATGTGTAAGTACTGGTAGAAGAGTGAATTTGGCTGCCTTTATCAACGATGCGGAGATACCATCCCAGCCGGTAGCAGATGTGCCCTTCAATCCATCAATCAACCGAACAACTTCTTCGCAGTCGGTACTAAAGAGAGTCATAGAGCTAAGCGGGGGATTTGTGTTGCCAAATAAAGATCCAAAAACAGGACTTAGAGAAGAAGAATCAATTTTCGATGCCAGACTTTCACCTACGTTTGCGAAAAAATTGTTTACTACGTCAACTGAGGAAGATGAGTCACTAGATAATGTTAGCAATTCTTTTGATGGGTTTGGTGATTTATTAAGATTTGTCACCTTTTTTATTAAATCCCAGGTTACTTTTGTATTATTTTTAGCTAGTTCAAATTGTTTGATTTCGTATTGCCGTTTTATTTTCTTTATTAAATTGTTACAAAAATTTTTATATCTTTTATAAGTCGTAAGAAGAATAAGATTATTGGGTTCTTTTTTTGTATTTTGATATAATTTGTCACGATGTCTTAAACAACGCAGTAAACCAGGTGTGATCCAAGGCTTAATAATCCTTTTTCTACTAGGAATAATGGAATTTTGTGTATGATTTTTTACTACATTCGAAACTAAGTCAACAAAAATATTTGTTGCTAATTCAGGATCAGAACATGTGAGTATTGGAGAAAAGTCAATTTCATTTAGGCTCTCAACGCAGGCTGTGACATTAATGCGTTTAGTTGTTGAGCGATTTTTAGGGGTCTTTGTTTTATGACTAGAGCAAAGAACAACAGCGGCATGATCTGTTATTAGTGAGTCTAACACTAAGGTCACTGCATTGGATTTTGTTTTCATAATCACATGATCAAGACAATTCCTATTTCGAGTAGGGAGGATATGTGCCGGCAACAAACCATGAAGCGCTACGGCATTTAGATAGTAATCACATTGAGGGTCGTTATTATATCGAGCAATGTTAATATTGACATCACCCACAATTACGATATTATCATAAGACTTTAAGTTTTTCAAAGTATTATCAAGGCAACATAAGAAGTTGTCTATGTCTCTTTGAGACGACGAGCGATAAAGAGCGATGACAGCAAAACTGGAAGATAATTTCAGAAGAATACCGCTAGCGTTATTCATTACAATTACCTCATGACTAAAAGGGATGTCTTCTTTAATATATATGACTACACCGTCATTTTGATTGGAATAATCTGACTTCATAGAAACATACCCAGGTAATAGTGGAAGCAAGGGGCATTTGCTTAACCAACATTCAGTGAGAACAATTATATCCAATGGAATATCAATTCGCTGCAACAGAGTGAGTAATTTAGAAAAAATACAGTTTACACTTCTAATGTTTACCTGAAAAACATTGAAAGATTTGTTGGGATTATTTAGAAACGATTTACAGTTTTCCGGCAAACAATTATACGACCGAGAAACTTGAAACTGATCAAAGTCATCTATGATATTTGTATTAAGCATGATAAAAGTATGAAATTAAAGGGAGTATATGAAGGCAGCAGCGTAGGATCTGAAAAATGAATATTAATAAATTTATGATCCTTGGTTTTTGGTGGAAGGTTGGTACGAGTATGGATAGAAGCCACAAGTTCACACATTCGCAGATTAGAATAGACTATGAAAAAAGTATAGCATTGAGTGGTTAGTAGTACTAATATGACGGACATTGAGCGACTCATTTGGCACCGCAAAAGCGAACCTGATATATCTATTTGCAGTGTCTTATTTGTTAAAAGCAAAGTACACAAGTAAATATGATAGTATGAATGATTTAAATTATGAAGCATTTGATTTATGAGCACAACAGATAGCCATAATTTACATGCAAAAAATAACGCAGAGAAAATTGTATCAGCATCAATTACAAATAGTCATTCTGTTTCTTTTAATTTATTAAGGTCAGATTCTTCATTTATCCGGATAGTTTTGTCACCTTCTTTTTTTCTTAGATAAATATGCCCATGGGCCACCCAGCAAAAGGAGTAACTATTGGAGCTTGCGAAATCACGCGCAAGAAAGTGTAATCTTTTCATCTTAGGTGAAAGATTATCTGATAGATATATTTGTTTATGAAGTTCACAACGTAGGTGTAGGTGCTCAGTGTTTAACCTGTTCTCTTTGTGAGTTTTATTAAAGTTCTTATAGCACGTAAGAATCTTTTCTTTCATCAATACGCTATTTAATTTGCATACAATGGGTTTATTACTCTTGTCTTTTGTTGATATTCTATATATGTCATGAATATCAGAAGTCGACGCACCTGCATTCAAAACCGAAGATAAACTTGTAAATATGTTCAGAAGGTCGGCTTTTGTTTCCGCTTTAGAAATTGGAATGTTTCTAATTTCAATTGATGAAAATCTAGATTTATGTTCTAGTGCCTCAATTTTGTCCTCCAAGGTGCGAATGTAAGCAATATTATCACCATTCTCCGCTTCTATCCTACTTACTCTTTGTTTGAGTTCTATATTTTGTTCAGATAAGAACTCAATTGAGGACTGTATATTATCGTTTTGCCCCCTGACTTCTGCTATTATACCCTGTAGCGAGTCCAACTTTTCTTCCTGTCGCTGCTTCATTTCTGCAATGGATTTCTGCAGAATATCAAGCTTTCGATTCTGATCCTCTCTAAACTTATTCAAAGTACTCCTGATATCGTCCATGAATTCAATCAGTGACACCTCCTCCCTCACACGCTTCTGCCTACTGTGAACAGTCGCATGTTGCTCCTGAGAGGAACGATTTCCGGCTAGATCAGGTTCGGATTCACTTCTAGTCGGGGAAGCAGCAGTGGGCGGAGGAGTCCTCTTTAGTGGCATTGTTTTTGTTCGGTTTTTAAATAGTCCAGGAATATCCGCAATCAGGAGAGCCTAATGGCACTACCAGGCAAAAAAGTACCAGGCAACCAGAAACCGGCGAAATCACCGCAGGCGAAACAGCAATATCAGCCACCACTCGGGGTACTAGGAGCACAGCAAGCAACAAACAACGAACCTCTCTCTCACAATACGCACCAGTCCAGTGTGCGGCAAAGTGAGACACAAAACGCAGGATTAGGGGCACTGCTGAATCGTCGCCACGCCTTAAAATTGCGGAGCAACTGCCGATGATGGGCGGCGGCAACGGAAGACTGTCGTAGCTAGTGGGGGCACAGAATCAGAGCTCCTTTCGTTTATGCACTCCTATTTTAGTCACTTTATTTTCTATGATTAATATTGTATTTAAAAATTTAAAAAGCGCAAATTAAGTTAACCAAAAACGCGTCTGAACTCCGCAGAGGTCCGAGGGAAGGGGAATATAGTGTTTCTCTACACTGTGAATAAAATTCAATGTTGATTGATAAAGTTGCTTGTGTGGTTTGAAAAGACTGTACGATTGACTTTTCGATCTGAATTCAATTTACAAATCAAAATAAAAAGTTTGCCCTACAGCTTCCTTTTGCAGATTTTATTAAAAACAGCTAATAAAGTTAATAACTTTTGTACCTTTTTTGAAAGCTTATGAAACGGGTTAGTTAATTTACGTTACGTAACGCCAATTTTCATACAGTGATTTTCCAATAATTGACGGCGAAGTTCGGGAAAAATACAAAAAATAAAAATTATTGTTACTAATGTCCTTTTATTTCTGAGATTATGTAAGTTTTGGGTAAGCGCTTTGTTTAATAAAATAATAACTAAATTTTCATCTTTCAGAAAAGTATCAATTCAATGTTCAGAGTGGAGTAGTTTACTCACAATTACTGGGTATTGGCAGGAAGTCAAATTATTTTTTTAAATCTTAGAACTGCCACAACTCGGTAACGATCCAGTTTTGACCCTTAGTTCACTGGACTTAATTTGTTGCGAATAACCTCTAGTTTCACCCCTTTCAAGGAATAGGTCGAGTTTTCCTGATTTCCTGTCACCTTGTATATACAGGCTGGTCCAATTAGTGACGTCAACGATTTTACCTATCGTTAACCTAACTATTATTATTATTTTCGTTAACTGAAATACACAACAGAATGATTAATATACACTTTTTATGGATTTCATAAATATTAGTAAATAATTTGAGATCTCTTTCTAAAAGTTGTAGAAAATTTATTAATAATATTGTAAAAGATTTAAAATTTTCATTTTTTTTTTAAATTATCTCTTAATGTCCTCTATAATACCAAACCACCTAATCATTGGCACTCTTCCAATTATTGAGTTTTGATCGAAAAAACAAGGCAAAGATTATCTGAATAGTCCTGCCAATTTACAGGACAAGATTTTCATGTTAATACGAACTGAGCTTGAAAAATCTATCGTTCCTTGTTTTTCTGAACTAAGCTCAAAAGTGCCAATGATTGGGTGGTTTCCCTATTTCACTCTTACAATGATGACATTATATTATATGACGACCTCCGGGGCCGAGTGGTTTGCACGCCGGGTTTCATGGTGTCGCCGACTCGAGAGGCCCCGGGTTCGAATCCCGGGGGGGCAGATGTTTGTGTGATGAATACGAACGAGCATTTGTACTCCAGTCATGGGTGTTTCATATGTATTTCTATATGAATATACTTATATATGTACAGTATATGTATTCTATCCGTTACCCTAGTATCCCATAAGACAAGCCTTAAGTCGTACGCGTGGGATAGCGTATGATTATCCCCTCCACGTTCTCACGCCGATCTCACGGCGCGACAGATCGAACGTTGCATGGGACGGGTGTGACAGCTTTGCGTATGACAACTGTGTTTCCAAGTCATAGTTTCATACAAAGTCGTAGTTTTCATACAAAGGACATGGTAAAGTTTTGTATGAGTGACTGCCCTGGCAATGTATAAATACTGTACTTAGTAATATTTAATGGTAAATGTGGCTGAATATTTATAATTTCTATGAAAAAAGGCTCAAGAACTTTTGATAAAGTCACAATCTTGAAAATTATGAAAACTACTACTATTTCATTTATATGTCTCCTTACTGCAGTTGATAAAAGATGTTGCAAATTATTTACAGTTATCAATTTCGCATTTTCTTAGAATCTTTCTTCCCATTTCTCTGATTAACTCTTCACAAAAAGTTTTTTAAAGGAAAAATAAATGCAAATAATTTGTTATCGTCGGCCTGACAGGAAATCAGTGAAGTTTTATTTTGTCCATTTGCAAAAATTAAAGGATTAGTTATCATACAGCCTTGTCTCAAGCCTGATTAGAATAATAAAATCTATTATTTTAGGCCTTCAGTGATTTGTTATAATAAAAAATAGGGCCAAATATGTCATAGTTTGAAGGAGTTTAGAAATAATATTGTTATTTTCGATATAATTACACAAATATTTTTTGTGTTCATTTATTCTTCATTTATTTTGTAAAACGGAACATTTCGCTTTTGAAACAGACATGAAGTCAACTTTTATACTTTTAAATATTTGATTATTTCACGAAAGTCGTATGAGAATAATAAACACGTAATAATTAATAAAAAAATATTGTAAAGTTACCGGCTAGTGCGAAATATTTATACACGTTAAGGGCAGTTTCTTAGCCATGTCCTTTCGTAGTTTAGATGTCATAATGCGTAGCATGGGTTGCATACGTGGGCTCAGTTTGTCCCTAGCTTTACAGTGCTCGCTTTGGGGCTAGGCTAATTGTTGGGAGTGTTGGAAATATTTATTTATTATTGGAACGAAGTTCCTCACGGCAGGCTCGGAGGGGATAGGGATTTTGCTGCGCGACCGAACTGAAAAAAATGTGACAGTAAAACCGTAAGAAAAAATCCGTGGAAAAGAGTGCGTGGAATAAAACCGTTAAACGAGACGTGCGCAGGCGCGACAGTCGCATACACAAGCGAGTAGTGTATAATACCTACCTTTCTCTTTCTCCCTCTGTCTTTTCGTTCTCTCATCCCTTCTCTTTCTATTACCACTCCACCCCGCCAATGCATAGTATATACTTATGAATTCATGGACAAGCACGAGGCGAATACTCACATTATGGCAGGCTTGGAGGGAATAGGGATTTTGCTGCGCGATCGAACTGAAAAAAATGTGCTAGTAAAACTGTAAGAAAAAATCCGTGGAAAAAAGTGTGTGGAATAAAACCGTTAAATGCGCATTAGCCCAAGGAACTTCGTTCCTACCTGGTGTCCCACGACACCACATCATTTTTATTTTTTTATTTATTATTATTGTTATTTGACGGTCAGGAGGAACTGGGCGTCGTGTGCGTCGGTCTACCTGAACTCCTGGCGCTGGGCGTCAGAGGGACGACCATAGGGTCCGGCGGCGGGGTCAGCTCGGGGGTGGGGGGCGTTGGCGGCGGGGTCGGCGGGGTCACGGGGGGCATCAGCAGCCTGGCCGTGGGGAGTGGCCGGCCTAGGGCTTGCGTGCAGCGCGTGGGGAGGGACGCTAGACCGCTCATGCCGTGTGAAGTCGCCAGGTAAATGTCACTACTCTCTCTCCCTCTCTCTATCTCTCTCTCCTCTCTCTATCTATCTCTCTCTCTCTCTCTCTCCCCCCCCCCTCTATCTCTCTCCCTCTCTCCCGCTCTATCTCTCTCCCTCTCTCCCGCTCTATCTCTCCCTCTCTCTTTCTCCCCCCCCCCCTCTCTCTCGCTCTCTCTATATCTCCCTCTCTCTATCTCTCTCTCTCCCCCCCCCCCCCCCTCTCTCTCTCTCTCTCTCTCTCTCTCTCCCTATGTGTACACATTGTGTAGAAAATGAACTAAGCGATCTAATCAAATGCAATCTTCATAATCTTCATCATCGACCTATTAATGACCCAATAATAAGTCCAATATTAAAAAGATGATCAACATCTTAAGTCTTATTACCACAGGGAGGCAACGCCTGTCATCGCCATCGTCAGCCTATTATTGTCCCCACTGCTGGGGCTTGAGCCTTCCCTATGGATGGAATAGGGAGATTGGGCCATGACCCACCACGCGGGCTCAGTGCAGATTGATGGGTGCTGACGACTGCAGATGCAGCCGGGACTGAAGGCTTAACGTGCCTTCCGAAGCACGGAGGAGCTGGAGTTAATAAAGTTTTGGTCACCCATCCGATGACCGACCACTGCGAAAGTTGCTTAACTTCAACTATGTTGAAACCGATATACGAGTAATGGCAGCACCATCGTTTTATTTTATTGTTGGAAAGGGAACGCTCAGTCCATTCTTTGTGCCTATTGTTTTCATGTTTTCATTATATATATATTTTTTTTACTTTTACAGAACTTCAATTGTTTAACATTTTTTTTCTTTAACAATTTCCGTTTTATTTTTTTTATCTTTAATGACTTTTGATCAAAGTAAATTTATTATGTCAGACGACCTCCGTGGCCGAGTGGTTTGTACACCGGGTTTCATGGCGTCGCCGACTCGAGAGGTCCCGGGTTCGAATCCCGGTGGGGGCAGATGTTTGTGTGATGAACACGAGCATTTGTACTCCAGTCATGGATGTTTAATATGTATCTCTATATAAATATACTTATATAAGTAAAGTATATGTATTCTATCCGTTACCCTAGCATCCCATAACACAAGCCTTATAGTGCTTACTTTGGGGCTAGGCTAATCGGTGTGAGTGTTGGAAATATTTATATATTTACTAGCGGACCCGACAGACGTTGCCCTGTCTACACGTCTTTGTGAATCTAAACCATTCTCAGATCCCCTTGAACGCACACAAAAAATTTCATCAAAATCGGTCCAGAATTATATATATAATCAAGAATTATATATATAAAGATTTATATATTTACAGATACCAACACATGTTCACGAACAGCCAACACTCTCGGCCCGAACCGCGGCGGGACACGACATATGTGCCCGAACCGAGGCAAGAACCCACCTCCTCTCGCCTACGAAGCTTAGCGCAGAGAATCCCTCGACTAACCACAGATTTCAGAGTAATCCCTTGGTCGGAACGCGCCAGAAACGACCGATGGGATGCCAACGATTACGTTTTAAGATTACCCGTTCTAGATCTTTCTAGAATGCATGCGAACAGGATAATGAACCCTGTCCCGGTGCATTCTGTGAATCCCGAAGCGGTTGTTAATAATCCTAGACCACCGGTGGATAACCAGGATGAATTCAATTTGAATTAATACTGAGAGAAAGGTCGTAAACTACACTATACGGTAAGTCGTATCAGTTCTAAAGCTAATTAAATAAGGACATCAACAGATTAACAATTTATTAAGAAAAAATGAAGCGGATTACAATTTTAGCTCTTAAAACTTAGCTATAAGGTCTAATTCAACATAATCACTGTCACTTATGCAAAAAAAACGTTTTTTCAGGAGAAGCGTTTAAAACTTTAATATCCCAAAACATACAATATTATAAGTTTTTTTTTTAAAGAAAATATAACTAGAAAAAATTCCACGCGGACCAGGCAGCAGACGACTCGAACCCGCACCCTTCGCAATCCGGGCGAATGCACTGACCAGTTCTGCTACCGCGGCCCTCACGGACCGCGTCGAAATTCCTCTAGCCATTCTTAAGCTGCAAGGCAGCGCCATCTCTTCGCATTAGATTTTTTTCTAGTTATATTTTCTTTAGATTTAAACATCAAGCAGTTACATGCTTTAAAATAATAATATATTTTTTTTTAATTTTTTTTAGATGAATAGTTAAGCAGTATAAGCTTTTCATCACGTAAAAATCTTTAAATATTGTATGTTTTGGGATGTTAAAGTTTTAAACGCTCATCCTGAAAAATAATTGTTTTTGCATAAGTGTCGCAAAAGAGGTGCGATATTTTAAAACTGTTCTTCAATCACCGATTTAAGAAGAATTTCCTTAGTCGAAACGCACTAGAAACAACTTCACAACACAACAACTTAATCGTTGTCATGTTGTTGTTTAAATAACCAGGATGAATTCAAATTTAAGGTTAAGCTATAAGGTTCAAATTAACAAAAAATGGTGATAGAGTTCTAGGATAGACGGTAATTAAATAGTATATTAAAGAAACGGCGGATAATCAAGAAGACTACTATTGGAACTCCTATTATTAAGCTAATAAGGTCCAAATCAGTCAAATATTCGCTCAAAGCTTTCTATAATGTATGCTTACAATATATGAGATAAAGCATTGGTGAATAATCGAAAATATTAATATTGGAACTCTTATTACTGAGATATAAAGTCCAAAACAACAACAATATGTGCTTGAGGACACAGTTATAGTCCGGCCGCTCAGAGATTGCGTTTCTGACAGGTCGTGGCAGTTTAGATCTAATAAAAAAAGAGCTTCGAAAATTAACTCTAATGCTATCACCATAAGGAACTGACACGACCTGTCAGAAACGCAATCTCTGAGCGGCCAGACTATAACAGTTTATAAAAGTAATAGTGGATAATCAACAAGATTAAAATGTAAATTCTATTTACTGCGATATAAAGTCCAAATCAACATTATATGAAAAATATATGCGAGTTTTCTAGAATGAACGTTAACAGGATTTTAAACTACCTGCGGATAATCGCAAAAATTAACAATTTAAACTCTGATTACTGAGTCATAAATCAAGGTCCAAATTAACAATATATTGTATAAAACTAGTTTTTTACGGGTTAATGCACGAAACTTTGTTTATTATTGATGTTTCGTAGCCCTTACAGGCTACGTCGTCGAAATCAAATCAAAAATTACAAAAAAGAATTTTTAATAAAACACTTTAATAACTAAATTAAGTAATAAATTCATACATAGACAATAAAACTTTAAAAATTGAACAATGAAATAACCAAACGCTCAATAAAAGTCTTTCGAAGGTAGCTCGACAAAATTAAATAAAATTTTGATTCCGACGACGACGACGACGTAAATAAAGTTTGGTGCATTAACCCGTAAAAAACTGGTTTTATTTAATGAGTGATGTGCGTGAAAACCTAAGAAACAAATATAATATATTGTATGCTGAGAGATTTCTAAAATGGATACTTACAGTAAAACGAATCTTGCATAATCAACAAGATTACAATTTCATCTCTTAATACTGAGACGTAAGGTCCAAATCACCAATATATGATGAGAGCTCACAAGAATGGACGCTCACCGGATTTCAAACTTCCAGCGGATCATCAAGAAGATTACAATGTGAATACTTAATACTAAGCTAACAAGGTCCTATTAAACAACATGCTAAAATTTTCAGTTCAAGATCTTTCTAGAATGCACGCATATTTGAAATGTAATACTAAAGCGTTAAAGTCTTTTGTTTTTATTGTAAGTTCTAACATATAATGCGATTCAACTAAGAATAGGACCGACTGGGCGCCATATTGTGATGTCATAGCTGTCAATTCAAATCAAATAGGTAGAGTGAGCAAAAAGAAGTTTTTATTTAATAAAACTTGTTTACTAAGATTAAGTGAGAAAAAGCATCAGATTTTTTTAATAACATTTATTTACTGAGACAGAAAAAAAAACACTGATTTTTAATAATATTTATTTATTAAGACTGTGAGAGGAAAAACATTAATCAGAATCTAGCTCTTCTATTCCGGTCATCTCTGCATTACCGCCGGAGTAGTTATAATTAATCATGCACTATTACTAGATCACATACGAACATGCATCCTTTATGTAAATGAAAGTTTGAAATCGAGTTTCTGAATGCAACTTAAAGTGACATTTGGTTGACGATTTAGGTTATCAACCATTTATGACCAAAGCTCAATAAGTGAAAAAAATATCAACCGAATCAATCAAATAATATTAATTATCAATATTTGTTATTGTTTGTTTACAAATGATTGGTTTTTATTCTTGAATTAGCGGAGTGCTAAAAAAGGTTTCCAAGTTTTTTTTTGCAAACCATACTTTTCAAGCGACATTTGACAGATAGAGGTCATTGGCTTTCCTATTCTTATTTGAATCGCATTATAAATAGGTTCAAGTACAAGATGTTAGTTCAAATATCATATAACTTGTAAATAATCTATGAACATCATCTCATCATTTATAAAACAAAGTTCCCGCAACGTCTGCTTGTTTGTGTCTTCGTGATGCTCTATAATATGATCTCAAAAATTACTGAACAGATTTTCTTGAAGTAATAACAGTGTTTTAACTATCACTTAAATATTTTTTCTAATGAAGGTATATGTATAAAAAAAGTTATTCTAATAAACTGTCAAAGTAAAGTTATTGATTTTCAAGCATAAAACAAACAACTTAGGTTTGAAAATCAATTGATAAAAGTAGGTATAGTGCCCGGCACGTAAGTTGAACCCAAATTATAGTTTTCAGCGCATGTTTTTTCACAGAAAAACATCATAGCTCTAAAGAATTATTAACAATAAAATATCTAATGAAACAGCAACTGTTTTGTTAAAAAAACATTTAGTTTTGTGTCGTTTTTCTGTGAAAAAGCATGCGCTGAAAACTAAAATTTGGGTTCAACTTACGTGCACTATATCTGAATTCACTGTTGATGGAAATTTACAATACAAAAGACTATTTTAGGGTGTAAGTTATGAAATTAGCTTTTAGCAACAACGAAACAATCAAGAGTCCATAACACCACTGCCTCGGAATTATAGGAAATAAGGCGACTTCTTAATTTAGGTTTTAATGTTTTAAGTTTAGGAGTTATTATTTTAGGTATTATGAAATAAAACTTAGTAGACCTGAAATCAATGTGTAAATATTCCCCCCCCAATAGGGATGATGACTATTTTTTTTTCTTCGTTTATCCGGTAGATTATCAAAAAGTATCGGACACGTATTTTTTCTTTTTCCACATAATATAAACATTGCAGAGATATATTGATTTGAAAAGTCGCATGACGTCACGTTTGAGTACACTTATAAGTGAAAATTCACTCAAAAATGACGTCACGAGCCCCTACTCCCAAACTTTGACGCGCTATAACTTTGTCATTTTTTAGTTGATTGCCCAAAGAAAAAATACGTGTCCATTATTTTTTGATCATCTAACTGACGGGCTAAATAGAATTTCGTTTACTGTACCCCGTCATCACCCCTATTAATATGAAAAACACTGACGTTAACTACTAGGAGGCCAATTTAATATTTCACTGATTTTTATTGATAATTGCATTATAGATGTACTAGAAATGAGAAAAGCTGGCTTTCAGGCTGTAATAGTAAATAAATCAAGTGTCAACGGTATAGATGCATTGATTTATTTATCTATTGAAAAGTTTACTAGAAAAAAAAATGTGGGTTGCCTACAGTGCGAAGAGATGGCGCTGCCTTGCAGCTTAAGGCTAGGAAAATTTCGACGCGGCGAATAGGGCCGTGGTAGCATAATGGTCAGTGCATTCGCCCGGATAGCGAAGGGTGCGGGTTCGAGTCCCGTCCGCTGTCTGGTCCGCGTGGTTTTTTTTTTCTAGTAAACTTTTCTTTTGATTTAAACATCTAGCAGTTAAATGCTTAAAAATAAATAAAAACACAATTTATTTAATAATTGACGTCTGAATTATAATTATATTTTTTATTTAATAGCATTTTATTTGAAGTTGTGTTTGTATCAATTTGTGTGAATATCAATAATAAGACTTAGTAAAAAATATAAGATACGCAATTTCAATTATTTGAATTAAAAAAAAAAATGTGTCATGATAATTGTAAATTGTTCTGCGTCAAAACTTTCAATGTCAAAGGGGACGGGTGCGATCAGAATTTGCGTTGCGTTTCACTCTAAACTGTAAAAATATTGGTAAAGAATGAATCGTATATATCGTATCGTAGTGTTTACGATAACCAATAATCGTGAACACTTAGGATAATCACCGATAACCGATTTATGTACCGGTATCGTTGCATCCTTAAAGATAATCATTATGTAATAAAAAAATTGTGTGTGAGCTCCGACGCACGACTGGAGTTTACTCCTTAAGTTCGATAGTCTAACCAGAAGTAAAAAGAGTTTATTTAACTTAAAAAAGATTGATACTGTATGAAAGGGTAAATTAACAAGTTAATAAAAAAAATACATATATAAATATATATTTATTCATTTCATATACATTTATTATAACTAATCGACGAAATATTTTACATTTAACTTTTTACAATAGTCAATTTCAGATGTGCATAAATATATCATTAGGAATGTTGATAAATTAT